GATAGAAATTGGGTAAATGCTTCGTTATTGCATTAGTAGATAACAGATAACTTATTGAGAAGGGATATGATAGACAAATATTGGCAACATTCCACTTGTAAATTGTACACCCTGTATTAACCAACTGGGGGTCGGGGGTTTATCCGAAACTGATGTTCTATCATTGACTCCTATTGGGTATCGTTCACAAAAAAGCTCCAGTAAGTTGGGAGTTGTTTGAGGTTGACCATATTGCTACAATTTTTTTTCAGCACAGGTTGATGATTTGACTCTACCCTTTGTGAACAGGTTGGTAGATGTTTACTACCAGCGTTATAGTGAAAGGGTCCCAATTTTGTTGCACATTGAACAATGGTTCTTTCAGAACGATAATAAAGGTCAAGTTTACATTTGAGTAATGTAATTCTGACATTCTCAAATGTTACCAACAACGTGCTATCATTGACAGTCCATACTAGAAACAGGCATTCATGTCCCCAAGTGCTCATGTCTTAAAATCCAGAATCTCTTAGAAGCTCGTTCTTTTAATGCGTGATTCTTTTTCATAACGCAGAGCCAAACGCGCAATCAACATCTGGTCCATGCAAAGCTAAACCCCAAGGTCTCGAGATTCCCTTAGAATCACCAGCAACGTCCTCGAGGATTCAAGTAGATCCCAACTAACCTGACAAAACCTGAATAATTATGCTTAGATGACCCTCAACTAGTGACCATCAAACATATTACGAAATCAAAAACGGCGGCTTACAGTAGCCGCAATTGATCAAATCTTGGCTTGATACACAACCAGCCGATCAGCCGATAAGGCACTGCCATGGAAAAGGCCATTGCCAAAGAAAAACCGTTTGTGCAGTGGTACTCGCACCCTCTTCCAAAGGACGTGACGCGAATCGACGCGAATGCTTGGTGGAACATGGTGGAACCAACTGGAGTTGTGAGAGTTGGATAGCCATCAAACATTCACAAGCTTGTGGTTTGGAACACATTCTGACTTTCAAATGTTTACCAACTGAGGTGTTCCGTTACAAGAGTTGGTGCTCCTAACCTGGCAGGTTCAACCGATGGTCATCCATGTTTCAGATGACCAGCGTAGTGTACAACATAGCTGAACATGGCCCATTTATAGATGAATTGCCAAACAAAAGATGCTGATTTTCCAGTTCGCAAACTGTAACAAATTAGAGGATACAGTATCAGAAATTGTGGAGGGTTTCCTAAAATAGGGGGTATCCCCAATTATCTTTTTTTTTTTTGGGGGGGGATACCCCCAAATCATCCAGCTCTTCGTTGCGCGAGGACGGAGAGGCCGCTGGAGGCGGAGCCGGCGGACCAATGACTTTCGACGGCGTGATCTACGAGAAGGTCCAGGTCGACGTCGATGATTGGGGTTAAGAGCTGCGCTTGGCAGCTTGATCCACCATTTTTTTTGGGGGATTAGTTATTTAATCTTATTTATCTAAAGAAATCTTGATGTATCCAGAATATATACTGATTTATCTAGAAAATTCTTGAAATATCTAGAATATATACTTATTTATTTAGAAAATTCTTGAAATATCTAGAATATATACTTATTTATTTAGAAAATTCTTGAAATATCTAGAATATATAAGTGAGAACCAACTGGTGAAGGCTAGTTGATAATGCTTTGTTCGTCATGAATCCTTGGCAACAAATGGATAGAAATGCTGGTAACATGTAATACCCAGCCAAGCATGTGTCAGGGCATGGGATGTACCCAGTGACCCAGTGCCTCTAGGCTGATCTCCTCAAATTTCTGGATGTTGGCATGTTTTGTGTTGTCTGAACTTCATAACCCATCCAATACATATCTGATATTGAACCATGTTCATCCTATGTATTTGTTCAAGGGTGAAACTTGATGGATCACTAGGTGTTGCCATTTCACTGTTCGTCCTTGGAGCGTGTTCATTGTTTGACCCGATCATCGCAGGAATTTCCTTGCAGAGCCGCGGGGATAATCAATGAGTCATGGAACCAAATGAAGCAATTAATGAATGAATCAGTGACTAAACAAATCTGTTTGGTGGTTTGGAACATGGCTTTTATTTTTCCATATATTGGGAATTTCATCATCCCAACTGACTAATATTTTTCAGGGGGGTAGGTCAACCACCAACCAGTAATGAACGAAGTGACTAAACAAATGAACGAATGAACGAATTGAAGGATGGGTGGATCACCCAGATTTGTTACAGTATCCACCCACCTGTATCATGGAAAGGAAGAAACTCGTCCTTTCAGAGAGCGGTGACTCTGAACGTTTTTTGTGACGCAGCGACAAGTTGAGTTCTGCAACATCGAACAGGAATGGTCTGGGTTTATAGATGTTGATAGCCCATTATGTCAATACATATATGATCATGTAATTTATATGTACAGTATTTATGTGTATATATATATTATAAATTACTTTACTTCGTGTGATCCCCACCATGACATTTATACATTTTCTTACTGGCAAATCTTCTGGCATTCTATCTGACATATCTTCTGACATTCTATTTGATTCTATCTGGCATATCTTCTGGCATATCTTCTGGCATTCTATCTGGCAAATCTTCTGGCATTCTATCTGGCATATCTTCTGGCACTCTATCTGACATATCTTCTGGCATTCTATCTGGCATATCTTCTGGCATATATTCTGACATATCTTCTGGCATTCTATCTGACATATCTTCTGGCATATATTCTGACATATCTTCTGGCATATCTTCTGGCATATCTTCTGGCATATCTTCTGACATATCTATCTGGCATATCTTCTGGCATATTTTCTGGCATTCTATCTGGCAAATCTTCTGGCATTCTATCTGGCATTCTATCTGGCATATCTATCTGGCATATTATCTGGCATTCTATCTGGCATATCTTCTGGCATATCTTCTGACATTCTTTCTGACATTCTTTCTAACTTTCTTCTGCACATTCTTTGTCCCATATCTTCCTACATGAGGTCCGGCAGGGAACACTTGGCGTGGATACTCGCGGTTGAGGTCCGGCAGGGAACACTGGGCGTGGATGGTCGTGGTTGAGGTCCGGCAGGGAACACTGGGCGAGGATGGTCGTGGTTGAGGTCCGGCAGGGAACATTGGGCGTGGATGGTCGTGGTTGAGGTCCGGCAGGGAACACTGGGCGTGGATGGTCGTGGTTGAGGTCCGGCAGAGAACACTGTGGATCGCGGGTCGCAGTTGAGCAAGGACGACGAGGACGACGAGGACGACGAGGAGGACGAGGAGGAGGAGGAGAGGAGGACGAGGCAGGAGGAGGCGGAGGAGGAGGAGAAGGAGGAGGAGGAGAAGGAGGAGAAGGAGGAGGACGAGGAGGCAACTGACATAAAATCTAACAACCCTCACCTGGCAGGTGGGGAATAATATATATATATATTGTTCCAAATTGTTCCAAACTCCAGCCGCTCCACGAGGCGAGTGTGGACTTCTTGGAGAAGTGCCCCTTCGACAGGGATGCCGTTCGACAGGAAATCCCCGGTTCAATGGGAAAATCATCGACCAAAATGGAGGGGATGTTTTTATTTTTATTTTTATTTTTATATGTATATATCTAATCCCCGTGGCAATTTCCACTCTAGAACTGGTGAACCTGTGCATAGTTTAAACGAAATTCTTAATGTATTGGAATTTTAAAATTGATGTCAGGCTAGTCATTTTATTGTTGGGGGGTTGGGCTAAGCATTTTATTGTAAAGGTAAATCCTGATGATTTTTAACATCTTAAAATTCCATTCTCATTTTATTCCAAAAAAATGTTTGCTTGGAGCATTTTATTGCAGAATGGAACCAGTGTTTTTCCAGGATCTTTTTATATCGATTTTATTGGGCATGTCATTTTAGATTAGCGAATTTTCAGGAATTTGAAGGAATTCTAAGGAATTTTAAGGAATATTAAGGAATTTTAAAGGAATTATAAGGAATATTAAGGAATTTTAAAGGAATTATAAGGAAATTTAAGGAATTTAGAGAGTTTTAAGGAATTTTAAGGAATTTAGAGAGTTTTAAGAAAGAGGAATTTTAAGGAATTCGGAGGATTTTTAAGGATCTTTAATGTTTTTAAATTTTAAAGGATATTTAAGGATTTTTAAGGAGTTTTTTGGATTTTTAAGGAATTTAAAGGATTTTTAAGGAATTTTAAGGAATTGCCACGAAAGAATGCCACCGTATTTTGTTGCTATAGAATGCTATTTAAAAAAAACACTAAATATTTGGGCACCTTCACTCTAAAATACCCCTATCTAAAATGGATTTCCTGATCTCTTTTTAAAGATGCGTTTCTGAGGGTCTTCAAAATTGGATGAAATTGGATGATGTTGGATGCACATTCAAGCATGAATTTGGTGGCAAGGCATTTTATTGCAGAGCCAGTTTTCATTGTTTATGTGCATTTTAAAGCCTGAGGCCTATGCACAAAAGTTAGACCGCTCTAAAACTCCTGCACAGCTTCACATAATGAATTGGCACCCCGATTATATCTATGTATATATATATACATACATACATATATATATATATAGTGGGGGTGATGTATATATATATACACATATGTATGTATATGTTTATGGATTTTCATGGATTTTCCATGTTTGATGACACGGGATGATAATGGATGGCACCAGCCCTATCAGCAGCCACCAATCCAGCATCGTTTTTGCTGATCCAAATAGGTCTGATGGTGTCCGCAGAGTTATAGAACTTCGACTGCAGGAGTGCCAAAAAATGAAACAAGTGCAATGAACGTGGTTCTTTTCTATATATTTGTTTAAAATTGTCTCTTTAGATTTTTTGGGGCCCAATCATAAGTCTTGGATGAACACCAAACATGAACAGAAAGCAATTACTTGAATCCAGCGTGTGAGGTTGAACATGCACCACATATCAACGACGCATCGTCGAGCTTCTTTGGATACTGCAACCATTTTGGATGTGGCGACATGAGGGCTAAACGTACCAACAATTTCAAGGTGAAATGCAACTCTCAATGGGTAAACGGTAAGCATCTTTATTGTCAGAATATGTCGTTTTTCAGATGGTTTCTTTGGATATAATGTGGATAAAATGATACCATGCCAATTGGCATGGTCTATTTATCCATAAATCACCATGCCAATCACCATAAATCACCATAAATCACCATGCCAATCACCATGCCAATCACCATGCCAATCACCATGCTAACCACCATGTTGGCAGTCTATCTCATAGATTGGCATGGTCTATCCATGCCAATCACCATGCTATCCTGACCCACGGAGGTCCCTGGCAGCCGATGCTGATGTGGTGGTGGCCTTTTCGCAGGGCGGCACCATGCTGGCCATCTACATGGATGAGATGCGCAAGGCACGACAAGGGCTTTTTAAAGGGGATGTAGCCAAGAAATGATGGGTTTATAGATGTCGAAAAGGAAAATCATCAACAGAAACAAGGAGTTTTGATGATTTAGATGTAGATAAGTTTTCTGCTTTCGAGATAGATGAGTTGAATTGAATATAAGTTCGTAGAAATAGAAATCACTGTGGGACTGTGGGGTTGTGGATGTACATTTCTCCATGGCTCAGCCACAAGCTCTTCAGAAAAGTTACCAGGTACCAAAGGGTGGTCCGGCAGCAGAGCACCACGGTGATTACCCTCTGGTTATGTCAAAATAGCTATTGAACATGGCCATAGAAATAGTGGATTTACCCAGCTAGAAAATGGTGAATTTCCATAGTTATGTTAGTTTACCAGAGGGTAGATAGTTTGTAGTCAATGACATCTACTAAATATACTGGTGACCAATGACTTTCTCCACTATGTATCACTATGTGCTCTAGTAAAAAAGTACCAGTGTGTAGTCACATGCAACAAATGTCACTAAGCAAACAGTACGAATGATCTGATGTACTTTCCAAACGGTCTAAGAGACAATACATGAATAAAAGACTGACCTGATTGGTAGTTTTCCTCATCCCTTTAGTATCTATGACTTGAATGAGTAGTTCCAATGATGAATATTTGTTCCCATGGGTGGTTCAGACAAAGCATCCGCGTGTTTGTTTGTGATATGCCAATCTTCTTTCAAGACATTTTTGTATATATCCTTATCATTTAAGAATTGAGAGTACTATTTGTGTGTAAACCCAAATTATCTTCAATATGGGTGACATGCGCTTTTTCATTTTGTAAGTGGCCATGTACTGTAGAAAGAATCTGGTGAATGATCTGACCACTGGGAACTTCGGGGGGACAATGGTGCCATTGAAGTCTCAATTTCGGCATTCCGGGCACATGTCGCAGTGCCCCTGATCAGGTCCACGATTTTTGTTGATTATTCGGGTCCAGCAGAAGAAATCCATTTGTTGCAGGGCTATTGGCATGTAATTTGCGTTCTTTTTTTTGCTGGCTAAAGTCCACTCTAAATTGGTAATATGCAGGTTTTGAAGTTTGGATATCCCAAAGCCTAGTTCGTTATCTCCCAATTCTCCTACTTCAATCTCAAAAAAAGACACTTCTGCTCCACATTTTCTTGTCTCACATCCCCTCATATTATACATACCCCTGGATAAATGGTGAGGTATCACTGTGGTATGGTTGGAATGTTTCATGAGACTTTCAGGGCGTTTAATCCGGGTTTGTTGGTCATGTTTCTCATTCAACTCAAAATCCACGACATCTATTCCTTCCCATCACCAAATGGTTGGTTTAGTTTATGGAATTATGTATATATATATATATTATTTCAAGGGTTCAATTCCGCATTTGCTTGGTTTCATATCAACTAATCCACTCAAATCAACTAACATGGACTATAAACTCTCAGCCTAGATATTGTCAATATCCCCTTCCAGGCAAAAAAAATCTGGTGGTAACTCCCAAATATCTAGGATTTATAATGGATTTATGATAGATCTCAGATCTCAGATCGATCGTCCCAGACGTCAGGCCCTTCGTCCGGTCCAGTGGCGCCTGGGCGTCTTCTTCTGCGGGGCGATGATCGACGACGAGGACTTCCAGCTCTTGGACAAGCTGCCGCTGCCAGCCCTGTGCCGGGGTCCAGGGGTCCAGGGCCTGGGTCCTGGGGGCTGAAACTATTGGGGATTCCTATGGAAAAAAATTATGAGATTAGAAATATCGTTCCCCAATAGTTTTTTAGAATGGACCATATTAGAATGTGATCAGACATATTGGATTGGAATGTGATCACTAACATATTTCTGATCACTATTAGAATGGAATGTTAGAATGTGATCAGAAATATCGTTCCTAATCTTACGGCAAGACCCTGAGGTTTGCCCGGGCTCGCAACGAACGTCAGGGCAAGTCAAGGTGACGATGATGATGATGATGATGATGACGATGATGACGATGATGACGATGATGATGATGATGAAGAAGAAGATGATGATGATGATGACGATGATGATGATTATTATTATGGTTATTATTGTTATTATTATTCTTATTCTTCTTCTTCTTCTTATTATTTTGATATCTTCTTGAGGCCCTAAAAGAAACCCAAATGACTGTATGGTTAATTGTTCCATGGGGCTGGGGCATTTTGATATCTTCTTGAAACCCTATAAGAAACTCTAATGACTGTATGGTTAATTGTTCCATGGGGCACATGTTCTGGTTAACACCCTAGCAACATAATTGAACATAAGGTGTTTCCTGTTGTTTGTCGTCGAGCAGAATTCCCTGGTATTTACGCTATTCTGGGCTTGGGCAAACCTCGGGGTCTGTGTGTAATATTAGTTTGGTAAATAGTGGGATTAGAATGGGATGTTTACCAACAGTATGTCAAAATCATGGCTTTTATGGGGTTGATGGGGATATAGAACCTATATTAAGCAATCATGGGTGGCTAGTCATGGAGCATCAAATTCAATGGAGTGTGTTTAATTGGATGTGATATAATAATGTATACGTATATTATACATTTAATGGGGTATGTATGTATATCTATGTGTGTGTATGTATATATATATAGAGGCATCCTGGAGTAGATAGATTATGCAACTTTCAATCCAGATCCTCACTAATATATGGGAATATGTTTGAGAAACACAGATTAAATCTGCTTCAAGATGATTTTATAGATAACCAGAAAAAGACCAAGATAATGGGTTTGTCAATGATGAAACTGTTATTGGACCAAGTAATTGGGATGTAAAACCAACCACGATCTGGGGATATTTTATGGGACATGTGACAAACAATACGACCAGTAATGTAAGACATAAATATTGGAAAATTCAATGTTGCTATCGTAATTCACAATACGTAGTAATGTTATTTTCCTATATGGTAATGTGATATCCTCTGGTAGTTTAACATATAGCTATTGAAAATCACCGTGTTTAAGAGGTAAATCATCGAACTAAATGAGTCAACCCCCAAAAAAAAACAAAATAAAGATCTCTTGCTATCAAGATTTGCTATAAAGATCTCTTGCTACCCCCCCCAAGTATGACAAGATCTCTTTGGGGTAAAATCCTTCTATCAAAATGGTTACTTTGCTCCTACCATCGGGATTTAGGTCCTTTATTTCTGCAGTAAGGTGCCATGTGCGATGATTTTTCTGAACTTCGCAGATAAAGAGTAGCTAATGCCGCGCCATATCACGTAACGATCCATGACATACCCTCTGGTAAACTAACATAACTATGGGAAATCACCATGTTTAATGGGTAAATCAACTATAGATGGCCATTTTCAATAGCAAACTGTTAGTTTACCACAAGGTATCCAACTTCTTGTCGATTTTCTCACCCATTTTCTATCCCTACTATCCCTACGTCTTTCGACGCCAGGTACATCCACGGCGGCGATACCGACCCTTGGGGACGGCATGGTGAGAAGATGTTGCCCAAGATGTATACCGAGCTGGAGATGTCGCTGCGATGTGGGATGGCGGGCCGTCATCGATGGGTCACGAATGGGGGCTGAAGCATAGAATCAACTGCTTGGTGGTGACTGGAACATGGCTGGATGATGACTTTCCATTAATATTGGGAATTTCATCATCCCAACTGACGAAGTCCATCATTTTTCAGAGGGGTAGGTAGTCCCCACCAACCAGAATCAATGGGGATACAATCACGATTTTCCAGTGGATGTGGCACCTGAATGGCTGAATGTCATCTAGAAATGGGTCTGAACATTTTCGGTATCCTTACAAAATGGTCAGAAAAGATAGGGAATGTTATGATGAACCGGAGGATGGAATGGGGGTAGCCTACTTTCAGACAGATCCACATAGATGGATAATTAACCATCAATATATGGAGATATGTCACAATGGAAATAATGGAGATTTCATCCCTTATTAATAATAAATTATGGATAATTATCCATCCAATATAATTATGGGTCAATATTTATTGGTCATCAGCCATCAGTGCATGGGTATTTAATGGGAATATAAGCGGTGAGCTGAGCCTCAAGCGTTTGGGGCATGAATATTCCCTATCAAAGATGGGGAGCCAGTTGGAAGATGTTGGAACTACGAACCGGTGTCAGCTGCATGGTGTGTGAAACTCCTCATGGAAATATCCTCGGAGTAAACCACTGGGCCGCTGGGGGTGACTCAGCTGCTCCAAGGTTGGAACACTCAGATGGCCACAGCTTCCCCAGCGCTCAGCCACGTGCTGGGGAGATCTATCAACGTGTGATATGCCGAATGCGCCACGCCACGAAGACACTGGCTGGGTGCCAACGTAATGGCAGTGCCAGTGCGTGATGTCACTTTGAAAGGGGGAAAGACTTTCATATGAGATGATCGTACTGTAGATTTTATCATATATTTATATAGTTTATATATGCTGCACACATGTTGGATGATCTTGTTTGGTCTCGACTGAAGTCTACAGACAGTACACGGGCCCAAAGCCATCAAGACAAGAGCACCACAATCAATGCCAAAGAGCTCACATAGAGTCCAGATGTATATTAATTATATATATTACTGGTATCTTGAGTTTCTATCCCCTTTGCCAATACACTCCTCGTTGATGAGTTATGATTTCATTTGGGATAGCCTTTGGCATTGCAACATGGCTGGAAAATCCCCCAGTGATGAAACATGAGGGTCGATGGCATGCCCGAGGTATGCGTCTGCGATGGATTTGATTGGTGATGCGAGCAGCAAAAAAGAGTGAAATCCCAGGGTAATGAGGATGGCTGGAAGCCCTGAAAGATCCTGAAAGCATGGCATCACAAAAAAAATGGCTCATCTCGTGGATGGCTCGGATCGAAGCACCCGGCCCTGCGCGTGGAATGGCTGACCAAAACATCAAAACATGAAGTCTTTTCAGTGGCCCTCAGTTCGGCCATGCGACTTTGAAACTGCGATTTCAATGTTCACAGCACAAAAACCCAAGAAGAACCCAGTTTGATGTTCAATTACTTGGACTACCATTCTGGTGATAGTCCATTGGCATAATATGACCACATATTTTACAAAAGCAGAGTTTTGTTTGGGGAGCTTTTACAGGGGACCCACCACTCTGCAGGAGAGCATTGCAAAGTCCAAGGGCCAGAAGGCCTGGGTTTGTCAGGTACTGTATACTTCAAACATGTCATTTTCATAAGGCACATTTAAGGAACATGATGATTAACCAGCAGAGTTTGGTACCTTATCTTCAGACAACGCCATATCCTTCAATCACCACATGCTACCCACAGAAACATCTCTGGTTTCACAACGTGGATCTAAAACAGAGGTGCCTTGGTAGATATGGTGACTCACCATCACCAGATCCAGCAGCTGGAAGGTTGATGAGTTCTTCACGAAGTAGATAGTTTCGTAGCCTTTTAATCAGATCCGAGACATGACAATCATCCAGGTCTTGTGGATGAAGAAGATATGTATAATTGTGCATATATATATATATTATTTTATATATACATGTACATATATGTAAATATATACGCATGTACATATATGTACATATATGTACATATATATATCATATATATCATATATATATAAATATATATATATATTAATTATGTCACGTCGTGGGTGCTCAAGAAAAGGGAACCCCCCCAATGGGATGTTTCCACCATGTACCAATCAAACAAACGTATGAACATGTTTACTGTAAATTGTAGCCCCCAAAAAACATAGTTAGGTTGGATTTGCCACTGTTAAAAAGTAGGAATGTACCAACTTCTATCTTTCTGGGGGTTGCTATAAGCAGAACAATGTATTCTTTCCCACTTTATTCCTCATTATTCTTATTCCATTCTCCCATATTCTTCCATCATAGTCCCATGAAATGTCCCACAGGATGAAAAACACCGTGTTTTTCCCACTATTATCTCCATGTTTTCATTCCGTTTGATAATTTTCCCAGCTCTCCCTCCAATTGAAGATAATCCCATTAAAACCCCCCCAATTCTAGATGATTTGCCCAACAAACCTCCATAAATGTTAGATGTTTTCATGTTTTTTCCCAATAAAACAACACCATTTTTCACATCTTTCACCAGTTTTCCCGGGTTTTTCCCAGGTTTTCCCAAGGTTTTTCCCATCCTCTCGAGCGACAAAGCAGGTGGTCAAACTCTCGGGCACCGAGTTCCGTCGACGCCTCCGCGCCGGTGAGGCGCCACGTTTTTCACAACTTTTTGGGTGAAAAACACATGGGAAAATCCTCGGGAAATGATGAGAACATGGTGATTTTGTGCCATTTTTTCAGGCTTTTGATGGGAAAAAATGGAAGAAAAACACTGAATTTAGACCTGAAAAAACTTGGAGGTGAGCTGGGAAACTTGATGAAGATCCGCTAGAATTGGAGGTTTTGAAAAGCATCGAACTAAATGTTGAATATAAGGAAAGTGAACAGTGTATGTAGAATTGGGGATATAATGGGAATATAGTGGGGAATAAATTGGGGCATGTAATGGGGGAGTATTAGTATAGAATTAATTATTAATTTAAATTGGTGTCATCAAACGTGGCATGCTGGTGAATCCCCGAACTAAATGAACATTTTGATATGTTACCGCTGGGAAAATAATCGAACTAAAAGACTATAAAAGATATATATTTCCAGCAAACCATGTTTGAAGAGCCAGGGGTAGTGGATGATTATAATCTTGTTTCTCATATGGCTATGGATCAACACCTATGTTATATGTACTATTATTAGGAGATGAACATCCATTTACCAGCTATTTTGATCTATTTTGATGTTTACCATGGGTACAAGGTTTCGACTGACTCATCCCCATATATCATTTTAATTTGTTTCATCTTGTTTTCTATTATATGTACATATATATATGTAGAGAGAGTTGATTTGTTTTAAATAGTCTAGTCAGTTCTAGTCATTTAATTATCGCCATAACTCTATGAGATGATTGCATATGGTAACTCAACATGTGGTGATTATTTATGAGTATCCAGAATTCCATGAAGGGAATTCCACTACAGGAAGCAATCGGTCACCTCCAAATCACTCAGATCAGGCTTTCCTTTGATCTTCCCTGAAGGCAATCCATTGAATGATTGAAATTGTCAGGCAACATTATTGCAACGTCTTGGTGAAACGATCCATTTCTGGGACTTTTATAACCTATAGATTTTGAGGACCTCCGTACATGATCGGAAAAAAATATGGCTTCCTGTATATTAAGATACTTTATAGATACTTTATAGATGTTCATGAAGTCATCCCAAGATCAAATCAGGATAGCCCACTTTGAATGGTATTTACCCTTTCATAATCGAAACTGGGACGGAGAAATCGATGTTTTCTTTCTGTTTTCTTTCACAGTCGGGACATCAAAAAAGCGCGGACATTGGGGATGTTCCACGGCCAAGTTTGATTGGGGTTGAAAGGCTTGTAATGATGGATGTTTTACCTCGTTCTTGAAAAGACATGATCTTGGAGACATGGAAATGGGATGTTTCATGGGTGACCCTAAGTGACCTTTTTAAGCTTGCCGCTTGCCGCTCAGGAGATCCCCGAGTGGTTTGCCTTCAAGTCCGTTGCACGGGACCCAGTTGATCCCCAGATTGCAGATACCTGGTTTTAGCCGCAGATCTCCACTCAACCAAGGAAAGCTGAGGGATTCATGTGGGAACCCTACAAAATAGATCTTGGGCGTCAACTGCTCATGTATACCTATTACTTGGAGTTTCTCTCTAGGTATAGGAGAGTACAAGCTGAATAGTCCATCGGCAACTCAGCGAAGGTTGGCTGTGGACAACGAACGGTTGACCCTGGTGTTATCATGTTGATATATGGGGGTTTCCTGAAATGGGGTACCTCTAAATCATCCATTTTAATAGGATTTTCCATTATATACCATTTGGGGATATTTGGGGTACCTCCATTTATGGAACCCCCCATATATGATGAGTGAATCTTATATAATATCTCAATATATCTCAATTCTCAAGGTGGTTGAATCCATGATGTCCAAATATTGACGTCACGGAATGATGGCTAACTTCTCTCAGGCTACAAGGTGGTGCCCCAGTTCGTTAGCTAAGTTGGTGAACATAACTCCCATAACTATGGTTTATGGCAGATATAACTATGGTTAATGGGGGTTATAAACCAACTTATAACTGGGGGGCACCATCCTGTAGTGAATCATGATCATTGCAGATGGGATGATCATCCGAATGCCTCAGGTGGACATTTTGCGCAAGGCAGGCGACAGCGCTTTCTGTGCATGAGCGAGCGGTGTAGCCATGCACTGAGCGTCGCTGAATCTGCCGCGCGTAAGAGCGTAGCGTAGCGACTAGAACACGTAGAGCTGCGCTGAGCCGGCGCCAATCCAATCCACGGTGGCAAGGGCAGACCCATGAGTTTGACGAGTTCAGCAGATTTGGATGTGCAAAACATCGAACTCGATGGGCCGTTGCTTCCAGTTCGCAAATCGTTAAACTAAACCATATCAATGTGGACATTTACTGTGACATACTGTGACTATTGGCCTCCTAGATATTTATCCTCCGGTTGACACAAGTAGGTTTATGGTTTTTTGAACACTATTGAACAACGGTACTCATGAGTGGTAATTAAACCTGGTCCCTGCGACATCCCTCTTGAGGCCCAAGCCTATCGGGTTCACTTGCGAGAAAGATTGTGACTCTGGACAGACTTTGACCTTGGTGACTTTGTGAATCTAATGCTGCTACAAAGTCACATATGTAGTCTTGTAAAGACACTTGAATCAGTCTTATTGGTGCTTTAATTTCAATCATGTGAAAGTTCAATGACATTTCATTTTGTAGAGATATTTCTTTTCATGAGGTCTCAATACGAATTGAGTGGGTTACTATAGAATCAGAACGTCATACTGCGTCAGCCCTTGTCACATTAGCAGACCTACGAATTCCGTAGGCCACAGTGATGGTCTGAATGCATTCAGACCGTTTTTTCACAGCTGAACCATAATTTTTGGCCCCGCGAAGAAAAATCAGAGCCCGAACCACTTTTGACAGGTGTTGAATGAATGATATTGAGATCAACTGACAGCGAATGGTGTTGAAAAGAGTTGTAAAACTCACAGACTTTTCGGGGATTCAGCCAAAATCTGCCCGAGTTCTTCAGATCGAAAAACACATAACGTATTCAAGTCATAAATGGGGTTCACTTCGTTGGTTTGACAAGCAGGAGTTTGAATTGGATCCGCTCATGACGCTTAGATGCCGTTGACAAACTGGCAGCATTCGAAGTTTTTGTTTCGGCCGATACTCCAACATGCAGCTGAGTTGTTCCCAACGCTGGTGACGGATTTATCCAGCCGAAAACCCATGGCAATCAGCCCGAAATCCTCCAGGCTTTCAACCAGTCACCAGGGTTTCCGTGGGATTCCCACCACATCGACGGAAGACGGTCACAGCCATCCTGAGGTTTTGTGACATATTCTCTTCTGGGATAGCGAAGCATTGTCCTGAATCTGAAGACAATCTGATTTATATTTGGCGACAACATGAAGATGTGGTGCCAACTAGCTTTCGAGCAAAGCTGTTCAGAGCGTTCAGATCAGCATTAAAGCAAGCCCGGTAAGAGGAGACATGGAGGAGATCCAATATGACAATGAACCAAGGGTAAGGGAAGACACGGAAGGAATTCCTGACTTGATATACAGATGGATGATTCAGGATCCGTGAATTCAAATTCTTGCGATTGACTAGTTTTGGTGGAGCTACACTTCAATGATTCGCATGCCAACATGCAGTGTATCTTGCCAGACAGATGATCACATTCCACATTTGGGTAGGCACATACTTCCGACTGGAGTGGCTGCGGGTACCGAACTCCATCTTCAGATGTAGAGGTATAACTGTATAACATACATTAACATACATGGAAACAGAATGAAACAGACATAATTTCAACACACACACACGCACATCTGGTTGGTGGTTTGGAACATTTTTTGTTTTTCCATATGCTATACTAGTATTGGGAATTTCATCATCCCAACTGACGAAGTCATATTTTTCAGAGGGGTTGAAAAATGAAACCACCAACCGGGCATGATTTCAACACACCAATCGACACATCGATTCAATACACCGATAGAAAGTCGGCCCCATGCGTTTTAGGACTGGGGAAAAAAAATCAAAAAAGAGATAGAAAATGACTGAACATGTTATGTTAGAAACAGTCATTGCATGTTATTGCCTCATTTAGCTTGTGTTTATACTGATAACTTATTGTTTCGTCATGCTTCAAAAACAATCTGTGGCGATGTTCTGGATTGCTGGTTTTTGCAGTCACTTCCTCGCTTGTTTTGACCTGACCTTATTCGGAAGCGATTTCAATTTCATTTGGGAGCTCAGTTCTACTACTAGATCTACTAGTTTGGTTAGTTGAAAAACCATGGCAGCAGAGATAATATCAGATAATTTATATTAATATCTTCATACATGTCTGCGCGCAAAGCTGCATTGAATCTGGATGCATGCTTGAACCCGACACCCCTTCTGAAAGTCGCAGAATAACACCTAATAATACGGTTGCACACCTCTTAGATTGTTTTAGTGTTTTTTTTTACAGTACTTTGAATATTGGCTTTAGATGCTCAGAAAGCCGGAGATCCACTTCCAACAATTTCCAACATATGAATCTTGCGTTCACATGGTGATTTGATTTAAATCCTATAAGGTTGTGTTAGCTATCTCCGTTTAAAAAATTGACGTGACTTACTGACTTGCGTTCTCATGGTCTTTTGGAAGTTTTAGATGTTTCATTTTTTCAGTTTGCATTTGTACAACAGACTGTCCGCAGTTGGGGTGACTCAACAGCTGCCAGTTTGGGGACCCAGTTTGGGGACCCGTGGTCCCCCAAGGGGGATGGTCCTCAACCCAGGGATGCCCATGGATGGATGACCATGGAAAGATCCACCCATTTTTAAGTTCGGTAAACCGGCCGGTAAACCATCTATTTCGATTAGGGCCGTGGCTTCATGGCGAAGTGTTAGTCATAACCAGAGGGTAAATGACATAAATGTACTGATATGTACTGATGCATATTCAGACACACACACACACTTTTTCTATGAGATCTATGGGCCCAACGCTTGTGCTCAAGAACCGCATGGTTTTGGTCATTTTTTCAGGTTCAACATATACCATATACTGCAGGAAAGTCGCCGATATTCGAAACCCAAAATGGCGGCCATGCTTAGCAACAAATCTATCGTGCAACTTCATTTATTCTTGGCGCCATGGCGCCATGGCATGACGCAAAAGGCAGGGTGAAGATGTGCAGGGGGCCATGGCATCTCTACTACTTTGAAAAGACTACTCGTAGAAGAAGCATGTATCTATTTGTTGAACAATTTATATAGTTTCTACTGTAGCCATGATTTCTACAGGTGCTCTAGTGGGTACAGTACCCAGGATCCTTTGAAAGACAGCATTGTCAGGAGCTTGAACAGGGTCATGTTTTATCTTTAACTAACCTCTGAGATGAGCGTTTTGATCGTTGGAATCTAGGCACATGTGAGCCCGTTTCACATGACCCACCTCCAGTACCTGTCTCTAGGGAGCGAAGGCACTGACCAAGTTGGTGCAGAACGCAAGCAAGGTGCCTTTTCCTTTTCGGGCTATTCCCCTTAGTCGGGTGGTGCATATATCATCATATATCATCATAGGGCGTTAGTTTCCAACCCCTATAATTTATTCGGTGCTGCCTCAATGATAGATGCTTAAGATTCGCCCATCAATTATACATAGACACAAAGATTGGTGGTTTGGAACATGTTTCTTTATTTTTCCATATATTGGGAATAATAATCCCAACTGACTTTCATATTTTTCAGAGGGGTAGGTATACCACCAACCAGTTATATATTGGGTAGCTGATGATCCCATGATATCATAGAACTTGCCGATAATTAGCGGCTTGGGTAACTTCGGCATAGAAATGGCTATGAAATGTCAAGGTATAAAAAAATATAAAAAACCTCCCAAAGACATTCAAAAACCCATCTGGGATGGTTTTCAGTTACCGGGGGCCTCAGTTAAAGAATTTTTCGGATTTCCTCCCACGAGCGCCTGGGCCAATCAACAAGGGAATGCCGACTGAATTTAAAGCACCTACTGCAACTGCATCCTGGGCTTGGCAGTTCAGGTTTTGTTTGAAACGATGGATTTGTGGATATGGACAAGATTGGGAACCTCAAAATTGGATGTGTTGGTCTAAAAGCTGGCATAATATGACCAAAATCGGATGGTTTCATCGACATAACATATGCCAAATTTTGTGATTCCCAATGTGTCTTGAACAATGACCCATAGCCACCCCTAAAACATCCAAAAACTCATGGAAGAGACAGCCCCGCAGCATAGCGTAGCACGGGAGATGGTTTTTGGGATGGGGGTTTGACTATAGATCTCAGAGCTTTTTTGTGTCCGGGATGGCTGTGCCACGGTAAAAACTCGGATTCTATTCCTATGCATGGGGGATTCCATTTTTCATATTTTTTCAATTTTTTTCATAGGGATTGATGTACCCCCATGATGAAAATATTGGATTCCCAAGGCATATCATGGCATACTATAAGCATACCCACAGCATGTAGCCGCGTAGCCTGGCACCATCGCACAAGGCAACCGATGGATGGCCAAAAGCGTCGCGGGGCCAGAGCGGAGGGGGAACATCTTTCATACTTTCAGGATCTTTCAGGACCTTTCGATCTAGCTGCGAATCTAGCTCCAGCTTTTTTTTTGAGAACTGGGGATGGGTCAAAACCAAAAAAGCTACCCACTTTCCCACAGCCCCCCGGGGGATGACCATTCCAGGCTGCACCTCATCTTCCAGGTTTCGGCGGGGAAAGTCGGGAAAGTGATGGATTTCCACATCGTTTTTGGGATGTGAAAATGTGGATTTACCGGAGGGAACCCCCATTTTAATTTATTTGGTGGCTGAGAGAGCGGTTTGGGTTGTATATGTACTCCCTCAAAATGAGGAGCAAAGGCACTGCAATTGAGTTTCCCAATCACATGGTACTACGATGTACTACGGACTTGGGGACATTGGATCCAGAAGGAACAAGCTGATGATCTGGAATGATTTGTTGCGATCCCCGGCCTCAGAATGTGATTAAAACCATGGAACATCTTAATGGAAGCGTCCCAAAAAACCAGCTGTTTTGCTGGAGATGAATTTCCCGTGGATTTCCCGTTCAAATGGCGTAGCCACCGAAAAACCATCCGGGAATCCGGGAGGCACTTGACGATGCTTTCCTCGGAAGGTGAGACATCATTCGATGCCAAGATTTGGAAACTGACCGTTGAAGCAGGTAATTTTCAGAAGATCTGTAACAAACATACGACAAGGATTGATAAGTCAGACATAGTGTTAGTATGTGGGGTGTGTATATATACATTTACATACTATATAGTTGTGAACGCATTCACCAATTACTAATTGGGATGCACCGGAAGTATTGTGACTGCATGACTTAAACTGTGGATGGGATTCTACTATCAGAACATGTCGGGCCAACTGAAACATGTTATGACCTCGCAGGCCTCAACGTAAACGATCATAAGGAACTCCAGGCTTGGAAATTGCAACAACTTAATTTGAATCATGAGTTAAGGAAATAATACTATAATAGGATGTACAATTTACGCTCTGTTTCGGCCTTCTTGTTCATAGGCCTGCATAGTTTTCTTTGCCCGCTTCCCTACTGGAATGTCATTCTGTTTGAGAGTTTAGGGAAACATGCGGCATTGTTTGGACTGGTCTAGTCCACAAATCCAAGTCTGGCTTAAAGGGTAAAGTGCGCATTTACTGGAAACCATGGTCTGTACCGTCCAAATAGTTTTATTTTCCTTGCGCTGTGAGTCACTGGGTGTAGGCCTGAAGTCGGGACATCCATGGGTCAATTAAAGAGCAAGCAGCGCACATCCGTCACTTTAAAACACTTTTTGAGCTGAGTTCCGACCGGGTTTTGCCCCCCAGTCACTTGGTTTTAGTTTTATACTACTTCCACGATTCAAAACCATCAAAAACCCCAGGGTTTGAACCACCATGAACCACTCAAGCCACGGAACCCCAAAAATACCGCTGATTTACGAGCCTCGGTGTCAGCATCAAAAGCCCGCGAAAACTGAACCGCCAGCACTGCCTCTTGGCTGACAGCATGGCAAGGGTTGGATGGAGAGTGAGCCCCAGTGCGGATAAGTTATATTCAGAATCCCCAACATCCGGAAAAACTCAGGGACATGTTCTATACTTTTCTGATCTTTTCTGTAAATGGCGGTTTTAGTGGTAAATCATCTATATAGACTCTATAAATCGTGGATTTTCCAGCCAGCTATATTGGAGTACCAGACAGTATACGACATGTTTGTCGCTTTTTACAAAACCTGGGGGAGTTGCATGACATTTGGGGAGTTTTTCGGTAAACATTACGTGATTGTACTAACAAGGCCCAATATCCAAGGACATCGAAGCAAGAGACCGACTTTGCAGACCAACTTAGCAACCACTCCAGGGTCTGATACATTTGGTTTATGCATAAACCATAACCCACCATAACCCATGGGACGTCCCTATGCCCAGTTTGGGTTCGCGCAAAATTGGATTGTGTGCATTGCGAAGCATCATCGCAGAGTGGGATGCTTAGATTTTGCAATCTTGTGAACACTTCATTCTTCACCATAAACCCATCAGCCTAGGGGGCACCGCATGGTTTTACACCAAATGAATTATTTACAATATCATAAATTTTCGTTGCTAGTATACTACTGTTCCATCCATTTCCAGCTTTTTTTGCACTTCCCGTTTGAATCAATTTTCTATGGTTCAGTAATTGTTTTTTATAATTTCAGAACTGCTTTGAATACTTCAATAATGGTTCAATGCTTCGGAAATGTCGGGTTTTTATGGGGTTTTCCCGTTTCTGAACCATTAGAACCGTTAAAACCTCTGGGTTTTCAAGATTTTCCATAATGGTTTTGCCCATTCCTGTAGGGTTGTCTAGTGCTGCTTGGGAGTCTGCCACTCCCCAACGTCAACCCAACGTCAACCCAGGCCATGGCCAAGACCACCCGCAGCCCTCGCAGCAAGCGCACCACGACGCGCACGCGCACCACGCGCACACGCACCAGGGCCCCTGCGCATGTGCGGTGCCACAGGGAGGGCCCTTCGGAGAGTTGCTGGGGTAATGACAGATGATGAAGTGTGGGAAGGCAACCATAATTAGTGGGGATATGTTTTGATATTTTATGGGATACAGAGAATGAAATATCAGAACATATAATAATCTGATATATATATATACATACGTGCCTATATAGAATTGAAGGTAATATCTAGAACGTATATATATATATATTATTATATATTACTTACATTTGCTCCTGTGTCCCGTGTTCCCACCCCCCTTCCCCAATGGTTTTGTCCCCCACCTACCAACCTGAATTTGCACGTTGTTTGCAGCATTTGGAAATCATGGCCTACCATGGCCTACCATGTGCATGCCTCCGCTTGCACCATTCGGACCCACAATTCCCCAATGAGACCTTAGCCAGCTATGTACTCTAGACATCTCTAGACTCTGGACCAATCTACCTCTGTACTACCTACCAAACTTACCAAACTACGTCTCTTTAGTTCAGGCATTATTTCAGGCTTCTTTCTGATTTGGGAATGGCTTGCAAAACTGGGTAATATGACTGGTCAAGGGTAGTTTCATCATTGATTTTGCCTCCAAAACTGGGGATATGCATATCCACATGAAAGAAATATATACATGTAAGCAATGTAATTACTATTGATATCTTTTCATAATATGTATCTATCTATCTGTCTGTCTGTCTATCTATCTCTCTCTATCTTTCTATCTATCTAACTATCCATCGATCCATCGATCTATCTTCCTATCTATCTATCTATCTATCCATCCATCCATCTATCTATCTATCTATCTATGTATATATATATGCAGTAATATACAATTATGATCAAAATATGCAGTATATAATATATACACATATGCAGTAAAGTAATATAATACACATGCATATATATATATATATATATATTATACATACATATACACATAATACCCAGCTCCATGTCATAAAAAGCTTTGCCACGTCTGGTCACATCCATTTGTTTCCTGCTCCCTGAGGCCAAGAAGAAGCAGGTGCCGTCCTAAGCGATGGATGTAAAATGAGGTCGGTTGGAAAGGTAAATCATCCCCAGATGATACACTGTTCTAACATATTCTAATGGCAATAATATTGACTTATCAATTAGGGTTGGTGAACATTTATTGATACTCTAATGTGGGTAAAAGAATAATAAACCACCCATTTGGGAATGGTAACCATACCAACTATTTATGGAATTTACCATCTTGTATTTAACATAGCCATGGAAAGATCCATCCATTTTTAAGTTCGGTAAACCATCTATTTCTATGGGCCATCTATGCCATGGCTATGTTAGTCATAACCAGAGGGTATATATATATATATTTACCATATGACCATAGTTTATCACCATTAATCACCATCATTAACCACCATTATACATCAGTAATACCTCATTATATCAGGACAATGACATTTTTTTCAGCACTTGATCATCGATGTCGGACATCCCAGCAGCGCCATGCACGATCCACAGATGTCTGGTGGTTGTTAAGCATAGATGAGCTATGGATAGCTATGGTAGCTGGTGATCTCTGGTGTTTGTAACTTCATTTGCTTGCCAATTTTTTGATGTCATTTTACAAATGGCTGTAAGTTAGGCTGTAAGGCACTGTTTTTTTCAATGTCTCTTATATCCTCAAAGATATTAGGTGGATTGTGTTATATATATACACACTCTAATTATTAATGTTATAACCCAATATTAACGGAGGATGTCATTATTATTGTCATATCTTTTATGTTATAACCTATATCTATCTGTTTTGTATGCATATCATCTGTTATTAATGTTGATTATGTCATATCATCGTTTTATAACATGCGAAGTCATATCCTAAACCATGTTAAAAGTTAAAGTCATTAAAACATATGTCCTGAATTTGGCATCCTAGAGGGATTTTCGGGGTTATAATCCTCGTTATGAACGTTACCCTCTGGTAAACGTTAACAAAAAACTATGGAAAGATCCACCATTTTCTAGCTGGGTAAATCCACTATTTCTATGGCCAATGTTCAATAGCTATGTTAAATTACCAGAGGCTAAAATCCAATCTGAAATCCCTTTAGATCCCATGAAAAACCACCATTTTTCTATGTTTACCAGAGAATGAACCCTCGGATCATTGGCCACTTCGAAACACCGCAAGGTGGTGAAGCCAGCCAGCAGCAGGCGGAGCCTGAGGGTTCAAATGAGGATTGATGGCCATTTCAAGACATTTCAATAGGGAATTTGGACATCCAGATTTCACATAGTTGGCAATAGGGAATTACACTCTGGTTATGTCAAAATAGCTATTGAAAATGGCCATAGAAATAGTGGATTTACCCAGCTAGAAAATGGTGGATCTTTCCATAGTTATGTTAGTTTACCAGAGGGTATATATTGCCCTTTTTAATGCCCTGATAAAATTGGGTTCGTTTGTGGGTTTGTTTGCCATTTTAGTAGGGAAGTGGTGATTAACCAATGGTGATTAAGCAATGGAATATACCCTCCGGTGTCATCAAAACATGACGGGACGCTGGGAAATCTCCCAACTAAAATAACCCATTGGAGGCTTGTTTCCATTGCCATGTTTCATTATCAGAAGATATAAATATGACTATGTATATAATTGTATATATATATATGTATATATATGTATAGTTGAACGAACAAGCAGCTTTTGGTGCGTTGGACTCGGATCAGAAGGGCCTGGCCGCCTTGCTCGTTTCGCCGTTTCGTCAGGGGCATGTTAAGAAAGGACGCCCTGGGCTTTGCCTTGAAGGCTGGTGGCTGCGCGACATGAGAAGCTGCACTATGTTTAGTTGGAATGTGTGATGACTGCGCATGATCATGCATATATCATGATTCTTACTTCCATATCCCCGTGTTTGCGTTTTCCCCCCCATGGGTGGGTTTCAGCTGCGGGTCTGATCCTGTGCTCGACAACTCGCAGGCCATGCTGAAAAAGAAGGCCGGAGATGACGCAGTGAATTTAAGCAACATTTTCGTGTGGGGTTCAATGGGATATCATAGGGATATATATACATTTATATGTAATTATATGTATATATATAATATATATATATACATAAATATGATTTTATATCTAAAAATTTACATATGTATACTATCTGATATTACTTTTTTTTCCCTTCCGCCTCCACGGCGATTGGCAGCCTTTTGCTGGAAGATCCCAAGAATGACCAGCCAGGGTCATTTTTAGAGGTCAAAATAGGACTCGACATGCCAAAGGCTACACTGAAAAGGCCAATTACAATAAAACTATGACATTGAACACACATTAAACATGTATCAACTCAATATAGCTATATATTGATAAACCATAGTTTTCGCATGTTTTTGCTCTATGGTGGGTTTTTGCACGTATCCGGTTTATGCAGAAAACACACATCATTATTGGATATTATTGGTTTGTTTAGTTTCCTCGTCTCCATGTAACCAATCCTCACATAATTTTAGGTGACATGCCCATGACATGCCCCACAAAAAATATATAGTATATCATGTATGTCATATATAGTTGCTTAATGTTGCTTATCAAAAGGAACAATATTTATAATATATATATACATACATATATACAGTACTTATAAAAGCTAAACATCATTGTTGGTTATTCTCATTTTTAGTGGTCACCATCCAACAAAACTCACCCTGCGCCGCTTCTGCAGGGCGGTCGGACAGACATCGAAATTCAAGACGCGCCACTGGGATGGTGTTTTTGTTGCGGAAAAGATGAGGATCTCACCAACAAACAGGCTGATGTTCATCATAGTTACTTACACCTAGAAAAATAGTAGGTGATCGTTTTTATATACAAAGTACTCAACATTTTTATGTGTTAGATGGTTTCAAACATCACATTTTGCTATGGTTTCATCCCAAGAATGGATCTTTTTGTACAAATCGTGACTTTTGAGGCTTCACCATTGCTTGTTGCTATGACTATTGCAAACATTATTAGATTAGGATTATGTTAGATTATGACTATTGCAAACACTATTGAATATTGCTATTACTTTCTATGACTGTTGGATTAATTTGGATTATGTTAGATTTGCCATCCTTATTGCCTACTATTCCTACTACTGTCCAGTCCGGATCAACAAAGCCTGGGATTTTTAGAATCGTGACACCGTGACTGAGGCCGAAGTCACATCATTCCTTGATGACGGAGGTTCCAGAATTTTAGAAGCGACTTATGGGCGATTTCTTTCGTGGGTCGAAAGATGGAATACCTCATACCTCCAAAATTCTTCAAAATCTAGTACCATTATGTACTATTCTAGTACTCTCCTTACCATGTTTTGCTTCTTGGGTAGCCCTTTCAGAGGCAACTCTGTGTTCATCAATGGAACCAGGGCGGATTGAGAGTGAACCATCACGAGCTGGCTTGATGAGCCCCAACAGTTATAGTTCTGTAGATACGAATGCACACTATTGGAATGCATTGTACGTATCATATCGTATCGTATCATATCAGGTATCAGGATATTATGATATACATGTACATAATTATGTACCTAGACCCTCATATTAACATGTATTAACATATATTAGCATACATGAATCCCATAAAGATAGGGTTTTTACCGTCCTCAACGGCGTAGAACTACGCCAGGTTCCCCTACAGGAGCGGGCGGGGTACCCCTTGGTGCGCGACAAGGGCTCCGTGGACCCTGCCACCTGGCGCAGCAACGATGGGAAGGACGGATGGAATGGGTGTTTTCACCGTGGAAAACCATTGATACCTTAGGGAGATGAACATAAAAAAAAACAGAAAAAACCACAGAAAAACCTATGATGACAGCTAATTGGCAAATGACAACCTAATAGAACATGTCAGACATGGCAATTTTCAGGGCACCACCTTCACCTGGATAGCTTTTGGCTGGGAAAAGGAGGGACATATATAGGTATATCATCTTATAAATGGATCATGTTCGATAGCTATGTTATATAATGTAGGGTACTGATTAGTGTAGGGCCCCCCCCCCCCTCCCCCTAAACTAATTTGGGGTACTGAATAGTGTGGAAATTTCAAGGGACCGGGTACTGAATAGTGTGGAATCAAAAAAAACTGATAGAATTCAATTGATTTCAATTTACTTTCAATTTACTTTGAATTGATTTCAATTTACTTTCAATTGATTTCAATTTACTTTCAATTGATGTCAATTTACTTTCAATTTACTTTGAATTGATTTCAATTTACTTTCACATTACTTTCTATTGATTTCAATTTACTTTCAATTTACTTTCAATGTATTTCAATCTACTTCCAACTGATTTCAATTTACTTTCAATTGATTTCAATTTACTTTCAATTTACTTTGAATTGATTTCAATTTACTTTCAATTGATTTCAGTTTACTTTCAATTGATTTCAGTTTACTTTCAAATTACTTTGAATTGATTTCAATTTACTTTCACATTACTTTCAATTGATTTCAATTTACTTTCAATTTACTTTGATTTTTTTCAATTTACTTTCAATTGATTTCAATTTACTTTCACATTACTTTCAATTGATTTCAATTTACTTTCAATTTACTTCGATTTTTTCAACTTACTTTCAATTGATTTCAATTTACTTTCAATTGATGTCAATTTACTTTCACATTACTTTCAATTGATTTCAATTTACTTTCAATTTACTTTCAATTGATTTCAATTTAATTTCGATTGATTTCAATTTACTTTCAATTTACTTCGAATTGGTTTCAATTTAGTTTCAATTGATTTCAAAGTAATCCAATAGAAAGATCATAGAAATACCAATAGAAAGATCATAGATATAACATGGAAATAGCATAGGAACCACAAAGAAATCCCATAAGAATTCCCATAGCAACCCCATAGAAATATCATAGACACATAATGTATATAAATACCTTGGAAATCCCACAGGAATCCAATAGAAATTCCATAGAAATATGATAGAACCATCATAGAAATACCATAGAGATCCCATAGGAATCCAATGGAAATCCCATATGAATACCATAGAACTCCCATAGCATCCCTTCAGAAATCCCTTAGAAATCCTCCAGAGATATCATAGAAACATCATGGAAATCCCATAGGACTTCCATAGAAATCCAATAGTAATACCATAGAAAATACCATTAAAAAAAAGCTTTCGCAAAGGAAAAGGTAAAGGGAATGTTTGAAAAAAAAAATCAGCTCAGGAAGCAGCTGGACACAATAGTGAACCCGCCAAACAAACATGCTATTGTGGATCAGGGTTGCTCATGGACTACCCCCTTGAAAAATCTTTTGGATGAATTTTGGGAGATTGGGCATTTCTGATAATTTTAAGTGAAAGAAGCTAAGAAAGTAATTAATTAAAAGAAAAACAGTTTTAACAAAGGAAAAGGCATAGGGAATGTTAATAGCAAAGGAAAAGGTAAAGGGAATGTTTGAAAAAAATCACCTCAGGAAGCAGCTGGACACATTAGTGAACCCGCCAACCACACATACTATTGTGGATCAGGGTTGCTCATGGACTACCCCCTTGAAAAATTGTTAGGTTGATGTTTTTTTGTTTTGGTTTTAATGAGGCATGATATATTTTGGGAAATTGGGCATTTCTGAGAATTTTAAGTGAAAGAAGCTAAGAAAGTAATTAATTAAAAGAAACAACTTTAACAAAGGAAAAGCTATAGGGAATGTTAATAGCAAAGGAAAAGGTAAAGGGAATGTTTGAAAAAAAAATCACCTCAGGAAGCAGCTGGACACAATAGTGAACCCGCCAACCACACATACTATTGTGGATCAGGGTTGCTCATGGACTACCCCCTTGAAAAATTGTTAGGTTGATGTTTTTTTGTTTGGGTTTTAATGAGGCATGATATATTTTGGGAAATTGGGCATTTCTGAGAATTTTAAGTGAAAGAAGCTAAGAAAGTAATTAATTAAAAGAAACAACTTTAACAAAGGAAAAGCTATAGGGAATGTTAATAGCAAAGGAAAAGGTAAAGGGAATGTTTGAAAAAAAAACCTCAGGAAGCAGCTGGACACAATAGTGAACCCGCCAAACAACATACTATTGTGGATCAGGGTTGCTCATGGACTACCCCCTTGAAAAATTGTTTGGTTGATGTTTTTTATTTGGGTTTTAATGAGGCATGATATATTTTGGGAAATTGGGCATTTCTGATAATTTTAAGTGAAAGAAGCTAAGAAAGTAATTAATTAAAAGAAAAAAAACTTTAGCAAAGGAAAAGGTATAGGGAATGTTAATAGCAAAGGACCAGGAAAAGGGATTGTTTGAAAACAAAACTCAAGAAGCAGCTGGACACAATAGTGGACCCGCCAACCACACATACTATTGTGGATCAGGGTTGCTCATGGACTACCCCCTTGAAAAATTGTTAGGTTGATGTTTTTTTGTTTGGGTTTTAATGAGGCATGATATATTTTGGGAAATTGGGCATTTCTGAGAATTTTAAGTGAAAGAAGCTAAGAAAGTAATTAATTAAAAGAAACAACTTTAACAAAGGAAAAGCTATAGGGAATGTTAATAGCAAAGGAAAAGGTAAAGGGAATGTTTGAAAAAAAATAACCTCAGGAAGCAGCTGGACACAATAGTGAATCCGCCAAACAAACATACTATTGTGGATCAGGGTTGCTCATGGACTACCCCCTTGAAAAATTGTTTGGTTGATGTTTTTTATTTGGGTTTTAATGAGGCATGATATATTTTGGGAAATTGGGCATTTCTGATAATTTTAAGTGAAAGAAGCTAAGAAAGTAATTAATTAAAAGAAAAAAAAACTTTAGCAAAGGAAAAGGTATAGGGAATGTTAATAGCAAAGGACCAGGAAAAGGGATTGTTTGAAAACAAAACTCAAGAAGCAGCTGGACACAATAGTGGACCCCTCAAAAAAAACATACTATTGTGGATCAGATTGTAATTTCAAGTGAAAGGAAATTTCAAAATTTCAAGTGATCAAGTGAAAAAAAAAATAAGAAAGTAAAAAAACACTTTAGCAAAGGAAACGTAAAGGGGATGTTTGAAAAAAAAACTCGCCTCAGGAAAGCAGCTGGACACAATAGTGGACCCCTCCTCACAACAAACACACATTATTTAGGATCAATATAAGTATATTATTATAGAAGATTTTAAGATTTTTTTAAAAACAAATTAAACATACTTGTTTAAATAAAAAAATACAAAAACAAAAAATAAAGACAAACAACACGAAAATATAAAATGCAATTTTTAGAAATATAATTTAAAATTTGAATTAAACTTTCAAAAATCGAATTCTTTTAATCAAAAAAATAAAACATAATTTAAAACAAATTAAACATACAAAAACTGAAAAAACTTACCCCAAAATCCCGTGGACACAATAGTGTACCACCCCATCATTTCCAAAGGTTCACAATTATTTTGGGGTCTGTGGACACGATAGTGTACCCCCACACTAATCAGGACCCAACATTAACCAACGGGCAATGTAATAATATGTAATACTACCATATATAATATATATATACATAATTATATCCACTTACCTTTTATATACATATTGCCTTTTAAACCTCCACTTACCACTGCCGGCTCTTTATATATGATGTTATCCAATATATGAATGTTTGTGAATTATTTCTCTATGTGTATCCGGTTGAATCCCAGAGTACCCTGAGAGTTAGCTCATGGCTTTTTGGAGCGGTTGATATCCTGAAAGGATGACGCAGCAAATACACAAATCATGGGGATAGTAGGGATATTTCAAAAGACACCGAATCAAACTTTAGGGAATGGCTCCATTTCTGAGTGACACCCATGAAATCGGATAGGTGAAGAATCCATCCTCAGGAAATATCCCCAAAAATGAGCCAATTGTATTTTAGCCATGCAAAAGTTCTTCTCTGTGCAGGTCCCAGAGAGGAACCTCATGTAACTTCCCTGTTCTGAAAAACCAATTCTGTTGGTGAATGCTTAGTGAATTTCTGATTTTGACACCATAAATTGATGTCTTGGAAGTTGGGGATGAAAAAACTTGGTGATGTCTTCGGAACATCCAAGCCCTCAGGAGCCTGTTTTATGACTGGTCATTAGAAGCCTGCCAAGAAAGAGGGTAAGAATAGAATCTCGATCCATTTAGACTTAAAACATCTCAAAAACCCCCATTTATGTAGTATCAATATGTATCAATCATATATTTTGTAATGCATCCAGTTGTTTGTTGAATGTTATTTTAAATTATAGTCATTGATCATCAGATCCACATGTGCGTTTGAGGTGTCCTGGGGTCCCGTTCTTTGCCGGTGAATCGGTCATTTTTTGGCAGGAGATCATTGTGGACTTCAGCCGCCAGCAGTCCCAGTTTGCCGAAATTTCGGATGTTTTTACCCGCGCGAATGCTCACTTTCACCAGTGAGAAGACTTGTTGGTTTCAAATGTTGGTTTAACACACACAAGACTTTGTGGTGTTTACCAACCATAGATTCGATGCCATAGATATAGGAATATAAGCAGCACACAAGTCGATATAAACCATACAATTGGTTGGTTGGTTGGTTGGTTGGTTGGTTGGTTGGCTGGTTGGTTGGTTTGTTGTTTTCCATTTTCTCTAAATAGACACGTGATTTTGATTTACGGTACTCGACCCGTATGGTTGGAATGGGTCAATCCGTTTACTGTATTATATAATGTGGGTAAAACAACAATAAACCACCCATTGTTTATACCACCTATTTATGGTGAGTTTGGGGATGGATTATTTATTGTATTACCATTGCACTATCCACATTTTGTTGTGATTATATGTTGACCCGCATGCCAATATCTTTCAAACATTTGATGTGACAGAACTTTGTTTAGAAATTTAGGGCGACAGTCGAAATGACCGGACTCGAACCCTTTTTTTATCACCTGCACGCCGGAAATCACCCGAATGACCTGCAGTGACTGTAGTAGTAAAACTGGGACGTAGGGGACTCCCGGCCGCAATGGGGGGAAATCAGTACTGGTCGAATCAGTTCATAAGGGCAAAAACCATTCAAAATCCTCCATTGGATGCGGAACACTTTCAGGAATATTTCTCTGATTTTACTTTAAAATCAGTATTCTTGCACAGAGAGGCCCGAAATCCATTTGTTTGTCCTTACCCATTGTCTACTGCATAGGGCCAGCTAGACATTCGTTCAGAATGTGGAAAAGTGGTGCAAAGAAATATCGAACTGGGCGCAAAAATCTATGTGCCATGCCCAAAAGTTGGAAATAGTTGGATGAAACATAACCACGAATCGGGGGATGGTCATGAATCCATGTTCATATGGATTTGCCCATTCAAAAGGCCTCCGGTGTCGCTGAGGACACGCATGGCTTCCAGATAACTGGGGCCAAGGTGTGAAGGTGCCATGACGGCGAAAGATGGGGATTTGACCATCACTTTGATAGTGCTTTCATGTGGTTATGTTTTTTTTCTGCTTGGTGGTGACTGGAACATGAATTTTCCTGGTTAATCTATGGTATTCTATGGTTAATCTATGGTTAATAATGGTTATATAATAATTGGAATAACAATATATCTGGTTGGTGGTTTGGAACCATGGAATTTTATGACTTTCCATATGGGAATTTCATCATCCCAACTGACGAACTCATATTTTTCAGAGGGGTAGGTGAACCACCAACCAGTAATATGTATATATATATAATCCCATAGGATCCATGTATGGTATATATGCTAACATTGGGGGTATATTGATGGTAAACGTTGCCATATATAATATATAGCATACATGGATCCTATGGGAATGTTTTTTTTTACTGTAGATATACAGTATACCCTCTGGTAATTTGATGTAATTTCTTACATAGCTATGGAACATGGCTGTAAAGATTAGATGATGATTCACCAATTAGAAATGGTTCAATGGCCATTTCAGGAACCTAAATTGGAGGTACCTACCATATACAAGGTCTATATAAAGCCTATGTAAGGGAATATCCCCAGAAAATATGGCCTTATATGGTACAGTACCTCCATTTTAGGATCCTGAAACTCCCATTGAATGGTGGATCTTTCCATAGTTATGTTGAACTACCTTAAAGGGCAACTATCCACAGTCTCCATTGTTCCCAATCACATGATGGCTAGATATGTATACTGTTACTATAGAGATAGAGAGCAAAAGAATTCATATTGAGATTTATATGGTTTCTGATTCTGATTATGGTGATCATGAAGATGAAGATGATGATGAAGATGATCACGAAGAAGATGATGCTGATCATGATGATGATGCGGCAGCCATGATTTGGACTGGATTCTGACATTCTAACGGCAAAGAAAATACCTTCATTCACACTACATCACACTACCCCCCCCTTCCAGGGATCACCTGTGGGGAATGTGCATGTCCAATACAAGACTTCGTGACTTAGTGGTTTCAAACGCTCTTCATCAATATGTTTTTTTTTTAATACAAGAATACAACAACAATACAACAATCAATACAATACAACAACAACAATCATTGATCTGATGATCTGAAATTTTAAATCGGATGTTTTTCACCATCCCATCGCCGCGGCGCTCGCAGTCCACCAAGCCGAAGAGTTTCAAAAAGACCACCGGCGGTGGAACCTACACGGCGCCCCGGCCCAGGGAAACAGAAGAAAATGGCTTCCCAAGATGAGTTACTAGTGGAATCTAGATGAATCTAGTGGATATGGCCCAAGTGTTGCGTTTTACAATTTACCTTCTAAAACTACATCTAGATTCTAGATACTAGTGGAATTATATCTGGGAAACATTTTTTTTTCTGGAAGTGGGAGATGCTACTAGAAAAAAAATGGTTCCCAATATACACCAAATATGCCCCAAGTGTTGCATTTCATATGTAGATTTTACCTTGTGGGATTACATTTGGTGTATCTCAAATGGAAGGATATTTAAATCCACAAAGTGAGAAACAATTCGATTGAAACCACCAGAGCCAGTTGTATTCCTCCGTTAGTGGTTTTGTGCCCATCGCGGCTGGTGATGATTCCAGGATTCCAGGTTGCCCATGTTTAGTTCCTCATATCCGAAACATCTGCATCACATTGCATCACAACAACTAAAGGTTTTTGTTTCCACAGCTTAGTCCGGCACGGTCATCCAGCTTTTATCAAGCACTGAGAATTGTGGATCCTGCTCTCAACCATCACGGGTGTCTAACAGTGCAGCGGCACAAACTTAGTTTCTATCAGAGTTTTCATGAGAGTTTCAGCGGAGTTGTGGAATTGGTGGGCATCACAACCATATGATCAAGCAAGTGGGGTTTCCTTCGATGGGTGGGTGTAACGGAAAATCTAGATGAAACCTTATTTCTCACTCTTGTTTTTTGCAGATTTTCCTTGAAACCAATCCATTGAACATAATACTTGCTCAAAATCCCAACTTTTAAAGGTGATATCCCAATTTGCCATGATTTCCCATGGTTGAATATGACATGGTGATTTCCCATGGTTTTTAACGTTTAAATCCCAACTCCAAATCCAGAAACTCCAAATTTGCGAGTTTCGCATCATTGAGGTAATGGTGAGCCCTGAAGGAAAAGTCTTCTATCATCGCAAAGCTGCTGAGGAGTTTTATGGCAAGGCCGGTCCAGTGATGGTGAGCCGTAGATGGGATGAATGGTATGATGGGATGGTTGATATTTATAAATTCTGAAAAAAAGAAAATAGCAAAAAGTTGACACACAGGAATGATTTGTGTATATATATATTATAGTCTTGCTTTTGAAGCATGTTGGTTGAAATGAGCAAGACACGTTTGGTGATTCTCTGGGTATGACATTGTTACCCACAATTACACGTTCTTAGGACTCCCATGTTGTGTGGTGGGACTTTTGAACGTACAGCCACCGGAGGTGTCCTATCAAAAGAGTTTGATTTCAGAAAAGCAAACCAGGGGGAAGCCAGAGTCCATCTTGGAAGCTTGACAGATCTTGACAGTATGTTTCAAAATGACATAAATAATTATATAAATATATTTGACAGTTCAGAGTTGTGTACACGCTTGAGCTGTATCAAGCTTTTCTGTATCATTTGTGTCAATGCATATCTCTCCAACTGTGCGGATTCCTTCCACATCCTTCCACCATTGGCATGAGATCCATTTTCAAATCACAAACGAACCTTGCAACCAGGATTCCGGCTATAGCCAAGAAAAAAAACCTGTTTAATTGGTTCAGTGTTTCCCCAACAAACCAATCCATGATAATCCATTGAAAATCAAGGCATGCTTGATCTCTCCGTTGTAATTACAATCTCATATAATCTCATATAATCCAATATAATCCCATACAATCCCATATAATCCCATTATCATACCATGTGATCCCATAGGGAAGTGCCATAGCCGAAGTTGCCAAACAAACCGCCAAATCGCCAGCCCTTTAGCCTCGAGCTGGGCTTCAACGGCCAGGCTGGAATCCATAGTTTGGGGTGCCGCCACCTTATATTAGTGGATATGGAAGAATAGGGATATGTTGATATGTAACCAACAAACCATTCACACATGTATGCTAAAGCTTTGGACGATGTGATCTCCTTGATATTCAATTGATATGGCATTTACATGGTATTTAAATATATTTGATTCACCCAATGATGAAAAAAGGCATTGGGATACTCGCAGCAAGCAACAAACACGGGTTATCTTTAACGGTTGAAAGTGGGGAGATCTACGGTAAACATGCCTCAGTGGGAAGCCAAACATGGGGATGCAAATCAACGCAAGACATGGAAGGTTTTAAGCACCAAACACAACTAATGCTTTCAACCCATCTCTATGGTGGTTTAATGGGATTTAATGGGATTTTACTGGGAATATTGATTGTTGGGATTCATTAGGCATCATCCCAAGTCTCCCGGGTAAAAAAAAATAATCGACAGCACCAAGCCACCAACTAAACAAAAATGGTATATGCTATATGATCTAACCGATTGAACATGTATTTTTTCCCCCAAAGATGGGGATACAACATGATACTGATACAACATGATACTGATACAACATGATACAACCATCAATAGACACGGTAAACTCTGAAAATAACGGGTCAAAGAAGGTCTCATGACTGGCCAAGACAAATCAGCCAAAATGATGCGGCTGAAGGTGGCAAGTCTGCCCATATTCTTTTGTCACTTAATGGGAAAACTGATGATAGGCCATGAGATTTTGAGAGCGAAAATACCCGAATTCCAAAGACAAACCCACGTCTTTGGGCTGAACTACCACTGCCCAGATGCACCAAACCGGTTGCAGGTCCATCTTGGTGTTCTTTCAATGGGATAGAGATACCAACAAAGTAGTGCGTAGCACCATCCGATCCACCACTAAACCAAAAACAATTGTTTCATTCATACTTGTAGTATCTTGTAGTAACCACCAAGACAGAACGGGTTGATTTCACCCCTATTCTAGTAGGATTTCATCAAGTTCTATCTTTTGGCGATTACTCCAAACAAAAGCATCCGCATCTTTCATTATCCAACATTCCGAACCATGATAATTTTCAAGATTTCATCTCCCACAATTAAAACAGACACTGTTTTTCCATTATCCCCATTATAATCCCAATCATAATTGCCATTGTATGATAGGTGATTATAATGGGGATAATAGGCGATTATAATGGGGATATATTATTATGATCATTCATCCCATAATTGCCATTATGATCACCTTGCGAATCAAATTATAATCCCACTCATATCAATATATATATATATACTGTATATATATGTATATATCCATGCCCATTGTATCGTTTTGGATCAAAACCGTGGTACCCGAATGGCACCTTAAACTTTTTTAATGGCTGGCGAATGGTAATGATAGGTGACTCATCCTTAGGACCCAGGTAGAATCCAATTGTATATTACAATCAGCCTCTGGTAAACTAACATGACAATGGAAAGATTCAACTATAATGGCCATTTTCAATAGCTATGTTAAATTACCAGAGGGTATAATCCAATTAGAATCCCATTCATATCCATCCCCATTATATCCTCATTAAAGTCCCCCTGACATCTCCAACCCCCGTAGCTTGAGAATATGAGGTCCGCACAGCTAAGCTCCAAGGGCAAGAAGCCGTGACTTGGCAGCTCCAAGCACCTTACCTTCTAATGTGAAAATCACCAGATGGAACAGTGGGATTTGAAGCCGGACCTTCACTTTTTTCGTAGGATTTTACCCAGGTCTATCTTTTTATTTGGGGTTTTGTACGAAACTTACCCGAACGGTTAATTACTAAGCTATTCAGATTAATGAAAGGAATGCTGGTTGGTGGGGTGTGCAGGGCGTGGGCAGGGAAGATGAGTGGACGGGTTTGTCCCAAAATAGGAGTGCCCTGTCGTGATTCTTTTGTCAGGGAGTTTTTGATGTTCAACCATGAAATTTAAGGGGGTAATTGATCACACGTTAACCTCGAGAAACCCCATTAATGATGTCAGACCTTGGCGATAATGTGATGAATGCGGGACAGCTGATGAATCGCCTGGACGCCCAGATTCAAGTGGCACGAGCCTCCATCAAGGACGCGGTTCGGGGGTTTCTGGTTAGCAGATGCCATGATCAATGGGATGTACATGGATTCATGGATCAGAACCAATAGAACTAGTAAAATGATCTACAAAGACATCAAAGACCAGGTGCCAGGTTCAATTTAGGTATCATTTGGTATGATGGTAATGTTTGTTATAACATTCATGTTTGGGACTATGCAAGTTGGACACGTAGCGCCCCTGAGATTTCACGTAACGCCTCTTCAGTCACCATCAGCAGGGGCAAAATGCACCAGCGGATTGGGATTCTATATACCCTCTGGTAATTTAACGTAGCTATTGAACATCACCATAGAAATAGTGGATTTTCCCATTAAAAAAATGGTGGATCTTTCCATAGTTATGTAAACGTTTACCAGAGGGTAACATCACTGATTGATGGGGTTGGTGGTTTGGAACAATCATCCCACATCCCAAGTGACTAATATTTTTCAGGCTGAAACCATCATCGTTGGATACCCAGCAAAATCATGTTTGTTGTTTTGGTGAGAAAACACTGTCCAAATTTCTAGAGATCTACAGCTCTACAGCTGTACTGAGCAACTATCCATCCATGTGGTTGACTCGGTTGATGGTCATTTCACCATATTAAATTTTGGTGACATGAAAAACCACCCATGTTTCTTGGTAAAACCCAGATGAACCAGATGATCCTTTTTTTTAATCACTTTTTTCAATGTCCAGGACTCAAATCATGGAAGTTGCTCTTGGAAACCTGAGGATTGATAATTTGAGGCAGATGAGCCATGGTGGTTGATGTCAACCCTGGATTAATAAACCCCGTTTACGGCTGTTTAATTGGGAGGGTACCATAAAAAAGTATCAGATGAAATGACTATTGGAGGAGTAACCCCCTAGTTAATAAACCATGATTTATTGATCCGGGGTTGACATTAATTACTTTCAGTGACTTAGTATCAGTGGATGATGGTTGGGATTAAAGTTTTACCGACCAGGAAAAAGGCCCTCTACTGATACACCGGTTTGTAATCTACATTGGCTATTTTGGGTTCCATGGTACCTTGTGTGGTGTAGATAATGACACTGGCAAACACAGAGCCCAAGACGGATGCGATTTGGCAGGATATCAATGCCAAGGGAGAAATCAAGTCACTTGGCAGCAAAGAATCGTTGTATTTTGTTGGATGAAATTAGTAACCCAACAAAAGCACACTATTTAACATGTTGTGTTTGGAAACATGGTAAACATAATTGAACGTACGCTTCATAAATATTCATACTCTGGATTCTAGACAGCTATGTTGCATATCAACATGATTGCAGAAGGAGTTTGTGGGTATATCAGTTCATCATAATACACCTGCCTGCCACGAGTTTAAAACTATCTTTTTTTTGGCCACACTTAACTACTTACAGACGAGATCATCCTAGAAACCGGAACCTTATTCCTCAGCTGAAAAGTACCGGGAACCGAACCAGGCTGTAACATGCTGTAACTAGGTACTGGAAGGAAAAAAAAATCTTTGGTTTACTCCATTAAACACTATTAAACTGCCAAAGAAATTCATCTCCCCACATTTTCATCCAGCATCCCATGGATCCCAACGTGTCCCAGGACGGACGCCGATTCCATGCTCTTTGGTCTGCTGAAGCCCAGCGAAAAGAAATGTTCCTTGGAGGTGAACATAGCTGAAGCAACCGTTTTGGTAACCAGATTGGCCGGAAAACTGGTCCTATCCGAAAAAAAGCCGATGTTATTCCATGAAACATTCTGGTTTTACCAGGAAGTCAAAAGAAGGTTCGGTTTCGACCTGGGATGTTGCTGAAAAATGTGCGGTTACCCAGCCGTTGAGAATGTATAATATATAAGACTAGCGGCTACACAGATATACCCTCTAGATCCCTCCAGTAATTCAAAATAGCTATGGAACATCATCGATTCATCGATGAATTACTTAGTAAACACGGTGATTTTCCGTAGCAAACAGTTAAATTTCCAGAGGGCAATGGAAGCAGCAGCGGTGTTTTTCTGAGACACACAAAGGGCTTCACCGGCATCAGATGGGCATGTCACCTCCAGTAAATCTCCGACCATTCGCAACAAGGTGTACTCTGGATCCATGCAATATCTCAAATCTTCGGGGTTTACTGAAGATGGTATATCATAGGAAAGTCATTAAACTGAGATCCTATGTAAGTCATTTGCTGAAGATGGTATATCATGATATCATAGGAAAGTCAAGATTTAAATCCTGTCGGGCTTGAACTTAACCCCAAAGCCTCAGCCAAATGACGAAGAGCCAGAAGCACGGGATTCTTAACTTCTGCTTTGAAGAGAGACCCTGCAAATGGCCATAGGATGTCATAAGATAGCTTTAATCATGGCTCTTACAGGCTCTTATCATAGCCAGCTGCAATGAAAGAATTCTCGTTCCTTGCATAGCATCGACTTTGAATTTCTAAATTGTGTTCCGTGAATGTCACTGAACAAATCATGACTGGATGACAGCTTCGACGATATTCATACGCATTGCTAAGTTAATCCCCGTGATATTGCAACGTTATTCGTTAATCAGCACTTGGAAGAAGGGCATTTTGTAGTGCTATGCATGGATTCATTGACCAGCGCTATTGCCATGCCTGTTGCAGAAACATGTCGATGTGTTTGAAGTGTTTTTTGATACGTCGACATTTAACCTACTGTATGGGAGTCTACATTATATATTATATATATATGATATGTAGTTATTTCTATTTTTACATAAATTTTCATAGTATAGTGTATATTCTACATCTAATACATGCATGTATATTCAACATGTTCACATTTATCACAAGGGGAACATCCTCACCCTTTACTCCACTTGGGTCTGCATTGCTGCGCTCTAAGTTTTGCTGAACAAGAACAAATTTCATTTTTGCATCATTTCGGCCCGCCGTGCAACACAGGCGGGGGCAGTAATTACGTGAAGGAAGAGATGGCGCTAAGAAAATTTCTAGGGACACAATTACCGTAGTATGTTTTCCTGCAAATACTTTTGAAGGTTTTTCTGCTCAAAAATCGTAGCTATAAACTCATCAATGCTTTCAGTTGAGCAGATCGAGATGGTCCCTGCAGTGCGGTTGTGTCGCAATAGACCTGCCGACACTCTCAGATTTACATAGGTAATGTCAAAGACAAAGATAAACCTGCGCAACTTTTAGGGTAGCATCCGCAGTGGTTGATTCATATTTACTATAATCTTGCCGGTCCCGTCCTAACGTTTCTTGGGATGCTGAATTCAAATCGGTTTTTGGAAGCAGCTGCAGTCAGTTCATGCCCCGAACCCCGAAAAACGGACCATCTGACTTTGTCTGAACATTTGGTATCCCCAATTCTGATGGTTTATATTGGTTCATCATCATTTTCCTGCATTAAAGTGATTTAGGGGTGTACACCCCATTTTTTGACCCGGGCGGGGTCAAGGAGCCCCTCAGGTTCTCAGGCCCAAGTCACGTGACGCAGGTGTCTGGGATCCGCGATCTGTTCATGGTCCAAAGCCAATTCTTGGAAGCTGGCGTGCGGCTTGAATGAATGGTTAATGATGGTTAATAGTGGTTACCCTTTGGTAATTTAACATAGCTATTGAAAATGGCCATTTATAGTGGATTTTCCCATTAAAAATTGTGATTTTCAATAGCTATGTTAAATTACCAGAGGGTAATCCTGGCTGTCAGTAGGATCATCATGAATCATGGGTTTGATTGAAGCTTACTGGGGGATGTGACGAATCCGATTTGTAGTTTTTTTTGGTCGGGAGATACTGGAAGTGTGCAAGAGCTTGGTGATGCATTGAAGATGGGGAAACACAGCTAGACCAAAACCTTAAATGGTTTGTAGCCATTTATAGCCTAGGTATCCCCATTGAGACTTGTCCAAAATTGTCCAACTATGACTAGATTTTGCATATCAGCTGGTATTCGAAGTAAGTTTTCAGTCCGAACGAAGTGATGGCGGCAGATCCCTGTCAACCGAGGGAACCTGTCTGGTATGTGGATGAGCAGTCCCTGAAAGACTACAAGAAGTTGGGTTTGAATGCGGTGGTAGGCGCCGGGTCCTGCCTGGCCTCCGTCCCAGCCCCAAAAATGAGTTGGTAAAAAGTCCCATTGGGGCAGGGCACTTGAAATGTGTTGACTGATGTTTGAAATATACATTTCACCACCCCCGCAACCAAGGAAGGATCAACGTTGAGTTGTTTTCCATTGATTTAAAATCTTGTTTACTTTCCATAGCCCTTTCGATGTACAAATGTGGTGGCCATTGATTCGCATTTTGTTGGATTCCCATATTATCCGCCTATATCTTGCTGGATTGGTGAACTACCAAAGCTACGTAAACCCCACCAGGAGGGTCCCCAACTTGGTCAACAGCACATGACTTCGTTTGACAGCTCCCGAGTTTCTCTCGTGGTTTCAATGATGTTTCAATTCAACCATAGTTTCAACCATACTGTGGATGGTTGCGAAATCCTGCACCACCTTGGATGGTTTGAACCCTATGAATAATGGGATAAACCATGATAAACCCCATCGTTTTCAACTGGTGCAGGATTTCGCCAGCATCCACAGTAGGGATTGATCATCCATAGGGATCCGCCAGGCGGAAAGCTCACGCCTGCCAGAAACAAGGCCTTGCAGGCGTGGAGAACGTCGCAACTCAACAGGAGCATGAATCAAAGCATCTTAAAATAATATTATGTGTTGTTCTTCTTTTTGGCGGGAAAATCTGACTCATGCCGATCCTTTTGGTTTGTCATGTCTATGATAATTATGATGATTGTGACTTGAATTAGATGCTGGGTATCATTGAAAAAGTAACCGGGTGACTTCCAAGTTTGGAACATGGCATTTTCCAAGTTATGGATATGTCATGATATGTCCAAGAAACGGGCGAGCCTTGGCCAGTCTTGGCAGATTCCCTGCCTTTGAGATAGCACCCTTGGCGCCATGGAGACAACATTGTTCTTGTCAGCCTACGGGCAATGCAGCTGTGCATGATGCTGTGTACATTTAAACATCAAAGAAATCAAGGATCATAATTAGTCACAGTCATGGTCACAGCCATAGTCACAGCCATAGTCGTTATCGTTCTCGCCCTGGATAGATTTGTTGCCTGCAGCCTGTCACCTGGGCGTGGCACTGCAGGATGCTCAGAAGATGGGCAAGATTTGCGTGCAGGCCCGGATTAGGAAGGGAAGACCAAGAAAGAAGATCAAACTTTTCCATGGCTTTCACCCTAAGATAGACCAGGTAGACTATGAGGGAGGTTCTCAACATGGGGGATCCCCAGTCGTCACCATTGGTTAACCTATACATCTATACTAAGTCATGGTCATCCATTTTCCGACCGGGTGATGGTACCGGGGGTACCCACCCCCACGACATCCCCACGACGAAAGCTCCAGCTGTTACCACCAGCTGGTCAACCTTGGATGGGGACTTTAATCCTTTAATCTTTTGCAATTCGAATGGGAATATCATAATATCTACTTTCTAGAGCAAACACAATGTTTTTTTCTTTTTTGCAGGGTATCTTATAGAATCTAAGATTGTCAATGATGATATTCCGTCAAATGTCTAGAACTATTTAACACACCTGGATTTGTTGCCTTAAACGCACCTGACATCGGCGCAGGCATCTGATGATATCTCGGCGTGGGAGTGGCTTGGTTTGATGGCCTCATAAGGGGGGCCATCTTTGAAAGACACCCTGTCGATTACCCTCTGGTAATGACTAACATGTTGCTATTGAAAATGGTGATTTATAGTGGATTTACCCATTTAAAATGGTGTTTATAGTGGATTTACCCATTGAAAATTGTGTTTATAGTGGATTTACTCATTGAAAATTGTGTTTATAGTGGATTTTCCGATTGAAAATGGTGATTTTCCATAGTTTTTTGTATGTTTACCAGAGGGTAGATCTAGCCTCAAATCGGCTTGAATCAGCTGGATGTGTTGTAAACATTTTATAATCTTACTGAGCAGCAAAGCTGGTGCCCCGAAATGAACCCTTTTGATGTCATTTCTATGACAAGAAAGGCCACCACCTTCCCCTAGGTATCGCGTGGGAAAGAAGGCCACCGAAAAAAACGATGCCACTTGGTGCAATGGGACGCATCAGCATGATTCCGTCATGATCAGGAAGCATTAGGCATCATACGGAATCAATCCTAATCAATCCTCATCATATGAATTCATAAGGGATAATATAGGATAACGTAAATGTTATATATATAATATATATATATACATATTATTAGTATAATAATAAGATAGTGTAACTTTGGCAAATTATATTCAAATATCAACATCCGGGGGGTAGCACTGGGGTGCGATTTTGTCCCATTTTGACCCATACGGTATGTATTCCATCAATATCCATGGGTACCATGTTCTCATTTGCTGGTTTGGAGTCCCCAGCAGACCAACTCACGGTGTTTGCTGATTTCATTCCGTAGATGACGATCCCTTGCACTGGTACAATATTGTTGCTATATTGTTGGTATATTGTTGGTAAATATCGCAATTTGAATCGCAATTTGAATCGCAATATTCCACTTCCATCCAGAGTTATCTCAGTTATCTCATGTTATCTCGCTTGGCCGTCGTGAAAAACACTTGGTCTTGAATCAACACCACCCATGTATTATTTAAGGCACCTCGGACATCACATAATTGATCACGTTTTTTTTAGGAAATCCCTGGATTTTTTGGTTTCCGACAGACTCAGAAACCACCGGCAACCATCAGAAAATGATCATAAATGATCTAAAATGTGGCTGGACAAAGATTTGTCTGACTCACTTAAGTGTCGCTAGGCAGTAAAAATTGGCCGGGGAGAAGCCGGTGCCGCACCTTAGGATGCGTGCAATGAAGCCTATGACGCTGCGAAGTCGGGGGAACTCTGCAGTCGGTTGGGCTGAAGTTATGATAAACCATAGGGATCCATAGGGGGGTTGCGGTACCCATGGGTGACACATACTCAAATAGTTTATTGTGAACATTCATGCATGTTAAATGCTACAAAACTGATCCAGCTGTGAGGTACTATTTCTTAATTGGGGTAACGTATATATATATATATATGTATAAACATCTAATTAAGAGACAATGTGATGTTGCGAAATCTATGGGTTTGTCCAAACGTGGGGGATAGCCCAAGGGATATCCCAGAATCAACATTTTGATCAATATGTTGATACGACAAATACTCTGTTATTTCCAGAAAGTGCACTAAGAGAAAAGATATCAGTGACAGCAATGCCGTTGCTGTTGGGAGGATGAATTTATCATTCTTATGAATGGATAACCATCATGGTCCTGGAGGACTTGCACCAATAATTGCAGATTTGGTGATCCCATTGGTTCCAGCACCATTTATCCCCAAAAAAATCAAGGGCCATTTCAGGAACCGATTGATTGGAGGTTCCTACCATATATAAGGCCTATTTTTTAGGCCTATGTCAGGGAATATCCCCACAAGATATGGCAATATATGATACAGATTGGTACAGTAGCTCCATTTTAGGATCCTGAAATTACCATTGACAAAACTTTATATTGGCCACGCACTGATGTTGCTACCATATAATTCCTCCTCCAAGCCGGACTGGAGGCGCCTGATCTTGTCCCCCGTGGCTGCAGCGCAGTTCATCTTGGCCAAGATGCGAGGAGGGGTCCGAAATGGCGCATTTGGGGTCTGAACATGTGGTATACACTCAAAAATGGAAGTGATTTAGCAGGGCAACAAGTATGATAAACCACCAAGTTTGGAAGGTATGGCACATCCCCTATTTTCAATCCCTACTGATGCTGTCATATTTTTGAACTTGATATTCCACCCAAGAAAATTTGCAGGGCTTCCACGGTGTGCCATGGCATGCCGACATCTTTACATAACTGGCATGACTTGGCGGCGTAAAGTGTTGGTAAGATCTGGTAAGGATACCAGGAATAGCTTGTGACTATCTCAATGGTTCCCAAAAAATGGCTTCTGCCCAAAGGAATGATACTTACAAAATATTTGGGGTCACTTAAACACAGCCAATCACTTGTGGTGATGGCAGCTTTAAGGATGGATTACCCTGGGCTCCGCCAGCTCAGGATCCGAAGAACCACCCAAACTGGGCGGTGTGCGGAGCTCGGCAGTGGAGCGACATTGGACATTTTTTCGGCTGACGGCTGGATACGGCTGGATTCCAGGACTCAACATGAATAGAAAACAATGATGTATATCAATCCTAGCCTTGTGGTTGAACATGGACCAAGTAAGGTTCACTGTACTTTCTTGCTTCATTCTTGGATTGTTGTGCTGATTTTGCCATCAACAAGAGGCTAAGATTATTTTTGCAGTTTCTTTTCTGTTTCTTGCTGCAGCTGAACATTAAAAACGATTGCGGGCTAGATTTTTAGGGTGTCTAAGATTTGCACGGATGCACAGATATGCAAAAGCTGATTCTGATTCGAAGATTTTGGTGAATTTGAGGCTTTTGATATTTTTTGATCAGAAAATGGTCAATAATAGTCTGATTGGTGGTTTGGAACATGGCTTTATTTTTTCCATATATTGGGAATTTCATCATCCCAACTGACTATCATATTTTTCAGAGGGGTAGGTATACTACCAACCAGTCAATAGTTGTCCGGATTTTGGACGCCTCAGTCATGAAGGATTGGGTCTCCATGAGTTCCCTGCTGAGGTGTACATGTTAGGCGCGGCGCGGTTCTCCAATCCCTGGAAGATGATCAAAAACCACCATGCATAGCTGGTGAAAGATTGTATGACACCTTGATGTTTTAGGGCTTAAATCATATCATATCAAATCATATCAAATCTGTGAATTCCTTTGAGTTGACGGAATGTGTTCGGTTCTTTTTCTTCAACTTTCCAATGATTGCACGGCGAAATCTAACAGGAAGCTGCGCCCGCACCTTCGGTGGTGATGAGTTCGTGACCAAGAGCCTTGGAGTTTGACTGGAAGCCATGACTGGGTGACTGTCTATCATAGGTTTGTTTTGGGGGGTTTATCTACATATATATATATGTATATATATAATTTACACATTATATAATATCATATATATATAATTTACATACTATGTAATATTATATATATATACATACTGTACATACGTGTGTATGTTTATATACATACATGTGTTAGTATATATATATATGTGTAATATATAAGTATCCTAATTGTTTGCTCACGCAAGCGTGGGTCCGTTTTATCACACCTAGTTCAATAGGGGTTGCTATAATAATCCGCAATAGGAATATTTGTTGCCTTAAATGGTATGATAGGATGGATACGGCGGATATCAGTTGAAGCCAGCAGTCCCACTGGTACTGGGAAGATATGCAAAAATCCTTGTTTTCGGGAGGACCCCAACTGAAAAATGCAGAAATGAGGCAAACTTAGCTAGTTTCGAGGCTTACAGTTATAACTAATCAGCCAATATACCTCACAAGACTTCTCTTCAAGGCAAGGAATTGAACAAGGCTTTGGACTAGTTTGATGTGCCATGGAATTTGCTGCTTATGGCTCTATTGTAGCATACTTTAATATCTTTGGTTGTAAACACATGGCGCCAAACCATACCCATTTACGATTGTTTGCCATTTGGAGGTGTATCAAAAAGCAACGCGTTTCAAAATAGGCTTTTGTGGTGTTTATGGTTTTGGGTTTGCCACTTCACGTTGGTGGTTGGTGGATTTTACAAACCTCTTTCACTGGCCAAAACTCAAGAACATCAGACTGTGGATGGAAGAATCCTGTACCAGTTGGTAGATGGTTTGTCCCGTTAAAAAAACACATTATGATTTACAGGATTTGTTTCATGGTAAATGTTATGAACTATGACTATGAATTACTCTCCAGTAAATTAACATAGACCCTGCCAGATAGGGGTTTGAAGATTAGTTTCCATGAAAATGTGGTGATTCTCAGGGCCTATGTTAATTTACCAGAGGGTACTATATAGTACTAGAAGTATAACGGGATAAACCATATACCAACTGGTGCAGGATTTCTTCCATTCACAGACGGGTTTGATGAAATAAGCAACCTCCTATTTGTTTGGGGGTGTGACTTTTGGAGAGATTTCGCAACAATCAATGCCTTGTGGATTTGGGGGTCACCAATCCATGAACCTCCATGAAATTTCCGTCAGAATACTGTAATTACTACGTATTGAAATCATATCAAGCCCATTAATCCCTATCTATTTTCCGATCCTCTTAAAAACAATCATTCATCACCGGAAAAGCGATGTGAACACTTTTGATTTGACCTGAGGCATTTCATCTTGGGCGACTTCTTCGTGGTAGATGCTGACAATAAGGCTGGACATGCCATCAGAAAAAGGCAGGTTGGATTTCAATGTGGCCATGTCTGGTGGGACATATACAGGAAAACCATGTTTGATATGTATACTATGGAGATATAAAGTGGATTATCATGTGGATTATCATGTGGATTATCATGTGGATAAAATCGGAATATGTATAGTGACAAAAAATGATACAGGGAATGAATAAGGGCAGCCCTATACCAATCTGTATATTATGGATATATGATATATATATATATAATATATATATATATATTATAGTTGGGACATGATGAGGACATAATGGGCATATATTCCTATCATCCTCAACCAAGACCTCGACCCTGCATGTTCCTGCGAAATTGGGCTTGGAAGATTATGTTCCTCCAGAGCAACGTTTCAGGGTCTACTTTATGTTAATTTGAGGGATGGTAGATTAAATATGGTTAAAATGGGGCATAGCCTCGAAATGGCCAGAAAAAACGGGGAACATGTTGATTAACCACTGGATTTTTGCCCAGAAATGGGGCATACCCAAGAGTTGCAAGTGTTTTCTTTCAATACACTGATATACCACTGGAGTTTTGAGCACCCTATATGGGATCAAGGGAGGATGCATCTCCAATATGCTTGTGTCTGAAAATAGGCTACCCGCAAATCATTTTGTTTATAATTGTTTTATCATCATGTTCCCCATGAATAAATGGGAATTCCTAACAAAAAAACACAATATATATATGGTTTTCCCATTAAAACCTCCATTTATCACGTATTTCCCATTGCAAATTTTGGGGTATCCCCCGTTTTTGAACACTATCCCAGTTTTCCCATCGATGCCGCGCCGACACTGCTGTCGTTCTCAAAGCGCCCGTATTCAGGTGCGCTTTGATGAAGAAATGACGTTGAAGGAGGACTACGTGTCCTGGCATCGCCATGTCCTGGATATGGCGAAATAGGGGGAAGATCATGGAACAATCCAAGTGACATGGAAAGATGATGAAACATGAAGAATTACTAAGAATTGACATGGGGATATATTTTTTGGGTGTTTCAATGGCCCAGACTTGGGGACAGCTACTTGGGTGTAGCTGTCCGGACAGCTACAGTCACTCTACTTGAGACCCATGAGACCGATGAGACCGGGGGTTTGCGACAGACCCATCCCATCATGGTATCTCCAACATCTACCCGCATCGGTATTCAGTTAGAGAATCCTAATGGTTGGTTCCTTTACCTTTAAGACCAGTCTCCTACGCTGTGAAATAAGTTATTTCTTGACCCAGACCTATTTTTTGCCATACCTGGTTTTACGGAAAGTCATTGAAACTTCGAATAAATGGACACTTCCAAGAAATGAAAGCCAACAAATGAAAACAGCCAACAGAGATTAGACATGGATTTATGTGGATTTAGATCATTCATCATGAGAATGTGTGATCATTAAACGCTCACTTTTCTCCATAGCCACAGCGTTCGAACGCCAGCGTTTTTGCAGCTTAGGACTTTACGGCCAGCCACATCAAGGAGTACGGCTCCGCTGGGAGCCTTGGGGGGTTCTGAGTCATCGACTTGCTGATTTTCGAGCAATCTCTGATGACACTGCAGGCTAATTTTTCTTCACTTTTTTTTGGGGGGGTGGTACTGTAGAAATATGTACAATTACACGTTGTTAGACATTAGTATTAGACATTATAAAGACATAATATGAGTAACCAATAGTAACCAACTAAATCATCGGAAGACCAAAGCAGTGGCTGAGTGGACCACCCACTTTCGGATAACCTATGGACCTACACATAGCATATATAGCATGATTTCAGCAGTCCGAATACGGCCAAATCGGATTGTGTTTCGTTTTTTTTTTGCAGGGTGTACTTCAGTTACTTCAGTTTGTTCATTTTCAATCAATTCATCTGCAATCATCAGATTAATCATTTCACCATTAGGGATGATTGGTCAGTTTGTTCATTTTCAAGTTGGCGAATGATGATTCCAGCCATCAGATTTCAGTCAATGGAGTCAATGGAGTCTGAGGTGCTTCGCTGCCAGCGCATGACGCTACGAGTGAAGCACTACGACAACAGCGGTGGTGCTTGCACCAATCGTGATGGCAAGGGAAAAGAGGAGATCCTGATGCTGAGAGACGGTGGATATGGGCATAGGGGCATAGGGAATAGCAGAAATCACAAGCGGGACACCATCGCTTGTTTTGTTTTTGTAAATAGTGAAGAAGCGAGGGATGTGGCGGCTCCATATCCCCGTTTTGGCCAAGCCCGGAATGGAGAAATGGAGCCCAAGTCTCATCATTTCGACATATTTCGACCCCCCAAAATCGTGTGGTTACCTAAGGGACCAACTGACCTGGTCGATGGATTCCAGGAACAGAAGAACATTGCCATCTTGAAGCGAAAGTGGCCTCGGGCAATCAGAGATCACCACACGCGCAAGAACGAGGTGAACTTCCGGCAGTTGGTGCTGAACATCGTGCCACACCTGTTTGGACTCTTGCAAAACACTTTGGTGTCTAAAACCATGCCTTCACTAGTGAAAAATTAAATCTACATATCTGTGTGTGTATTATGCCAAGGCATATTTGTACTTATTTCTTGTTTTATGTTACATCTTCAACGGATTTGCGGTATATCTGCCACTTTCAGACGCACCCAGATAGTACATTGATTACTGTATCTGCCGCATTATATCCCTATGATATCCACGTTGGTATAAGGCTATCTCCAGTTATTCCAGATATTGTATTGGTCATAGTGATACAGTTATACACTACATATCCTCATTGTATCCCTAATGTTTATCATGTTTATCTCCTTAATATCCACATTAAATTTTATTGTTGGCTTTAAAACAGCCCATTAAACCCGTTTGATTTCCATTTACAATCCCTATTGTTAATATTGTTAACGGTTCAACCAATGGTTTCCCCCGAATGTATCTCAATGATATCTCCACATATTTCAAAAAGCTAATAGTTATTTATAGTTAATTACTCCATATTCTCATTAATTATATCCAAGTTATTTTCCACTTAATACATCCATACTATCCACGTTAAACATGGTTATCCCCTAATATTTTGATTGTATCAACAAATATATGTAAAATATGTTCAATTATATATACATATATACATATATACATATATACGTATATACATATATACATATATACATATATACATATATACATATATACATATACATATATACATATACATATACATATATACATATACATATACATATACATATACATACATACACATACATACACATACATACACATACATACACATACATACACATACATACACATACATACACATACATACACATACATACACATACATACATACATACACATACATACACATACATACATACATACATACACATACATACACATACATACACATACATACACATACATACATACATACATACATACATACATACATACATACATACATACATACACATACATACACATACATACATACATACAACATACATAAATACATAAATACATAACATCCACTTTCAACACGTGGAGCTATCCGTATTCATGTATATTTATACATGATTAATTAATTTTCCGATTATATCCCCAGCTATGTACTGTATATATACATATGAATCCATTTCAACATGGCACCGTTGAAATCCCCTGCTCTTTTTCGTCGTTCTGGGCAACGACAGGTGATCTTGTCGTGGCCCTCCAACAACGACGCGGAAGGCCTTGAAACGTTTGGAGGTCTCAGAGGGCGTCTGAGTAACGTGGTGGATGGGCATTCAAGTCAATACCTCATATAGTGGTATATATATATGCATACATATATATATGTATGTATATATAGAGAATATAGAAACTCCCAAAAGAGATAGAAAAAATAAACTATACTAACGTAGTGATGTATTACCTTTCTATTTTTTGTTGGGTTACTATATACACCCATTACATCGTCCGACCGAGAAGATGCTCCTGGGGATCCACTCTTTCTCCCCGGGACAATTAGAAGCTCCATACTCTCAGAATGGGATTGGATCACTAGAGTATATATAGTTGTTTTTGATGATTTATAATATATAGAGGTATCCTATATATATACACTATATAGTTCTAAATGGACATATATATATATACATACACACCTATCTAATAGAACAGGACAACTATTTATAGTTGTAGTTGATGATTTATAAGAGTATAATATTTTGGTCAATACAAACTCGTAGCAATGTGTTTCGCATATAAACAGTGACGGATGGTGGGAATGCACATCCATAAATCTGATAGTGGAGTAAACAGCTGGATGGTTAGTGGTCTTACCAGGGCTAACATGGATAGTAAGCGGCTGGATGCCATTCCAAGTGTGAAAAAACAACTAGGAAAAAACATGGAATCTCCAGTGCTTTGAAGGTGATACAACCACCATGACTGCAGCTGGGACTGACACATTCAACATGTTGCAGAAGAAATCTGTGCCAGATGCATTACTTGTCAAAAGTCACTCAAATCTAGGGAGGTGTGCCATACAAAAATCGTCTGGCTGATGGTATCTCCAATCATAGTATCGTAGGTAATGTGGTAAGACTCATAAATGAACCATACCGACTAAACTTGTTTTTTGATTGCTGTAGATCGATACATATTTCCTTTTTTTAAAGCTGAGCTATGCTGAGAGTTTATTCGATCAATGGAAATTGGGATTTACCAAGGCTTTACGAAGAGTTGAATCTATCATCGGTTTTTCTATGTTTTTCCAAGATCTTCAAAGACGCCATCTATTCCAAGAGGATATCTATCAGCGGTCGCCGAGGCCAGTTCCTCGAAGTCGGCCATCTCGGGCCAGCAACAAGGTGATGAAGGCCCTGAGATCGCGTGGACCGGAGATCTCAATGGGATCTCAATGGGGATTCAACATGAAGTTACCCTCTGGTAATTTAACATAGCTATTGAAAATGGCCATTTATAGTTGATTTACCCATTGAAAATGGTGATTCTCCATAGTTATGTTAGTTTACCAGAGGGTACCGTGGAACACCCAAGGTGATTGCAAATGACTCCAGGCTTTTCCCATATAAAAACCCACATGGCTATGGATCAAAAACCCAACGGAATCATCTGATGTTCACATAAACATAGCCCGTTTTTGCTGATGTAAACACCCCCCACGTCAAATGATAGGCGGGTTCCCACTCACTTTTGGAATGACACTGTGCAATTTCCAGACTCTTGATAAAAATAATGACAAATTCATTTTCCTACATATGTTATATGTTGATTTCAAACACTGGTTATTTGCTACCCTTCTTGGGATTATGGTTCCCTTAAGAAACCCCGGTGTTTTGGATGGCTTGAGCATGCCACGGCTATGGATCAAAGGTTTGGGGTGGCTGACCAGCACCAGGTTGCCATGAAGAAGAAGAAGCCGACCAAATCTTCCAAGCCTCGGCGCGTCAGCGCCTCGGATGGTACTGGTGGAATGGAAGGATGTGTAACCACATGTAACCACAGAAGAGACACTAGATGTACATTTATGTCATATTTTGCGGTTTGTATTTGTAGATGCATGTCTTATGATGTCTTACCAGGTATGAATCATATATGTAGATTTGTTATTCATATGTATTATATATACGTATGTTTGACTATGTATATGATATATGTTTACTTGTTGTATGTGTGGTAAACTTTTGATTTATGGAATTTTGCAAAACAATGCAAACTGCACATTGCACAAAAGTCCCGCACCTACTTGTACCTTTGAAACCACCGTATAAGTGTACCATAACTCTCAGTGATGAAAAATAACATGTGTGTATACTTACTATAACTTTTGTTTTTGAAGGACTAATGTTACAGAAGGCGGTGTTCAGGCCACCACTTGCATCCTGGTTGTGACATGCGGTGGCCATTCATAATCAGCATTCTGCCGTGAGCCTTGAAACGTTACCAAACCTTGATTTGCCATTTGCTAATCAGTTGTGACTTCCGAATATAAAGTGGTATAAACAATTTATCAATTCTATATTCAAAATGCACTAGCTATCATTAGCTCGTAATTATAATCACTGTAATCAATTGATATAGAATTATATGAATTTATATGATTGATGCCAAAATGTTCCAAGTTTCAAGTGTTGTTCCTAAATCAACAACGTCAGAATGACTCCCCCAAAAACTGATGGTTGGTAAGGGGAATCATCCTCAAATTTGTTCCATTCTGTGAGGGAAGAATCCCGAGGCTGTTCGGAAGGGTGCCAAAACGGTCGATCGCGTGCGGGGCACAAAGTCCGGTCACCGTGCATGATGATTTCTTTAGATTTATTGCCACATATTTCATGGGTGTCATCATGTATTGTCCAACCCTGGCTGAATTTCGGTCAAAATATCAATCTCCATTTTTGTTCAAGGGTTGGGTTTGAGATCTCATGCATTGTTGTTTTTGCTGGCTGGGTATCAACCCAAAGAATTGCCAGGTCTCGCAAGTAGCAAGTCAGTGGATGGATTCCATTGTGAAATGCAATCATGGCATCCTAAAATTTGGTGTTGACCATCAAATGGGAGTCACTGCAAAGATGCACCATCCAAGGTGAGACTAGAGTTCTGTTTTTTTTTCCTTATTGTGTGCAAGTCTCTCTCTCTCTCTCTCTTTCTCTCTCCACCTATTTTGACGATATTGGTTTCTGGCCCTGCTTGCACTGCACTGATCGCAATAGATTGATTCACCACCAACCAGTGAGCCTTCACTACGTACAACGTATCACATCACAAAACACAATAAATGTGCATGATTGAATTGCATTGTACAATAATACTTGGTGGTTCACCCCTGGTTCAGTGGCTTATCACCCAGGTTACCGGATCAATCCTTTTTACCCTGAATGAACTGGGGTTACAACTCACTTACTAATGTGAACCACCAAGTATACAGTATATACCCTCTGGTAAACATACAAAAAGCTATTGAACATGGCCATTTATAGTGGATTTTTCCATTAAAAATGGTGGATCTTTCCATAGCTATGTTAAATTACCAGAGGGTAAATACTTCCAGAGTATTACCACTGTAGTTCCATGTGTTTTCATGGACTTTTTGGTACATAATTCCATACTAATGTCCAAAGTCTTTTAAACACATTGCTCAATATTCCATGTATTTTCATGTCAATTTCCATAAAACAATCAAATATGTTCCATCTATTTCCATGTCAACTCTAATGTTCTATGCCATGTTTTCTCTCGTTCTGGGACACTTTGGGACACTTTGGGACGGGCCCAGGTGGAGCTGCCTTGCTCGCCCAATGCCAAGATGGTTGTGACCGGAAAGGCGACGACCGCTCAAAACACGCGTTCGAAAGCTTCGAAAAGTTCGAAAGTCATGGAGAGCTGGAAATTGTTCAAGATCCTGGACCGATGTTCCGTTTTTTCGTGTGTTTCGTTTTTTTGAGGTAACGACAGTACCAATCATGCTGTGGTCAAAAGCGTCTCTGGAACAAAAAAACATAAAAAACCTGATTTCACGGGCGTGTACCGAATGCCACATGTCAAGCTGATCCCGACGACTGGGACTAGAACGACACCCAAGAAATGAAAACAATAACGGTGCTGATGGTGGTTAACGACTCTGGAACAAAACCTTCCTCAATCTTGGAGCTTTATTGACTCTTTAACCACTCCTTGGCATTCTGTTCGTCCAATTGTTGGGGATGAGTGACATGTTTCGTGGCAGAAATTGACCTGGGGAACCTGGGGATGGGAGATCCTCAATCTGGGGATATTTATGATTGGTAACTGCAAATTTTTCCCTGAGGTAAACGTTTACATAGCTATAGAAAATCACCATCTTCAATAGGTAAATCAACTATAAATGGACCATTTTCAATAGCTATGTTAAATTACCAGAGGGTATGGTGGGTTAAAACATGTTTGAAGATGTTTGAACACATGAACCAGATCAACTAATCTCGTCTCCGACTGCTTTTTTTGTTGTTTTCGAATCGCCTAATCACATCTATCTCGACATGTTCGTCACCATTGCCAATCTTATGATTGATTTGCTGTATTGGTGCTATTGTTATGCATGTTTCGTTGTTATTTATATTCCTCTCAATTCAGAACCCATGCTGTAATGTGGTTCTAGCATGTTTTAGCATAGAATTACTGTATTGGCACATAATTATACCAGTCATGATTCTATCCCCGAATACATTACTTACACCCTCACCCTCATGTGTTGGATATTTGAAACCAACAACCAGATTATATTGGTCATACATATATTTACTAGTTGTATCCCCATTTCAGGCTCTTCACCACTCTATGTCATAGATGTTGAGAAGTAAATATAGATGTAAAGCATGCCTTAAATGAGAGAGTTCATTTTATGCTCATGATAGTATGTTTAATATGTATATTATATATATACATACATATACATTGACATACTGTACAATACAGTCTATCTGTATACGTGTATATAATGCATATAATGTATATTTCTATGTGTGTGATATATGTATCCCTATGTTTGATGGTTATCTCTCCACATGCTGTTGGTAGGTGGCCAAGTGTCCGGGCATCAACGCACGCCTCAAGAAGGTACCGGTTGTTTGTCTACGGATTTATATAGCGGTTTGTGAACACGAAAATCAGCATTTTTCACGGTAAATCATCATGTTTAATTACCAAAGAGTATCTTTTTTGAGTGAGTTAGGCAGTAACTGGTGAAATTTGGGGGATGCTCCTAGAAATGGTGGGTAGTATCATGCAATTTACCTCATATGAGCTATATATCATTGTTATATGGGGTTATATTATAATCCATTTACACATGGAATGACCCATAGCATAGGGACTTACCAACCAGGGTTGTTAACTAGTTACGATTCATGGAATCATGCTCCAAGTTGTCTCAAAAATGGGATTTCAGCAATGTAAAAATCACGCATATCAGATTTCACCAGCAAGAAAAGTCGATTTCATCAACATGAACTTGGATTTATAAGCCACAGTTCTATTTTGCAGCAGCAAAACCGATGGATTTTCCGCAACCAAAGGTGTGGATTCTGAAAGAAAACCAGATCTTTTTAGCGAGGCATTGTATGGGGAATGAGCAACGATACCCCCTCAATGCGCTAGAATTTAGAGACATGTGGACATCCTTCCTGAGATTGATCCATTTGCTATTTATTGGTTTTTATTGGTATCTTCAAAAACCTGTATGATCCTGTATGTGATGAATCCATATATCGAAAAGATTCAAGATACACTTTATATACACAGCACAAAATATATATATATATATACACATAATGTCGGATCTTGATTAGTGTAAGGGCCCCCCCTAAACAAATTTTGGTTTCACTTTAATGTGATTTTTTTAAGGACCAGGGTCTGAATAATATTGGATCAATTGATTTCAACTTACTTTCAATTGTCATCCCATAGTAACCCCATAGAAATATCATAGAAATCCCATAGGAATCCAATGGAAATCCCATAGACATCCTTTTGAACCCCCATAGGAATCCCATAGAAATAGCACCGACATCCCTTTAGAAATCCCATAAACATATCATAGAAATACCATAGAGATCCCATAGAAATCTGATAGAAATCGAATGGAAATCCCATAGACATCCCTGTGAAATCCCAGAGAAATCACACAGGAACCCAATAGAAAGCCCATAGTAACCCCATAGAAATGTCATAGAAATCCCAAAGACATATCATGGACATCCCAATGAAATCACATAGAAATATCATAGAAATACCAACGAAACCCCATGGGAATCCAAAGGAAATCCCGTAGACATCCTTTTGAAACCACATAGGAATCTCATAGAACTACCATAGACACACCTTTAGAAACACCGTAGAATATCATAGAAACACCATAGCATAGAAATTACAAAGAATTTCCAAATAGGAATATCATAGAAATCCCATAGAAACGCCATAGAAATCAAGGAGAGGATGCCAGGAGAATGGAACTAACTAAGAGACAAAACTATAGCAGAGGAAAGGAGAGAAGGATTTTGGAAAAAATCATTCCAAAAAAAAGCTGGACCCCCCACAACAAACATGCTATTGAAGATCAGGGTTGCTCATGGATTACCCCCTGAAAAATTGTTTGGGTGTTGTTTTTTCATTGGGTTTTAATAAGGCATCCTATATTTTGAGAAATCAGACATTTTTAGAATTCCAAAAGAATGGAGCTAAGAAAGTAAGAGAAACACTTTAGCAAAGGAAAGGAAAAGGAAAGGAGAGAAGGATTTTGGAAAAAAACACTTCAAAAAAAGGCTGTACACAATAGAGGACCCCCACGACAGACATACTATTGAAGATCAGGGTTGCTCATGGATTACCCCCCGAAAAATTGTTTCGGTGTTGTTTTGGGTGTTCTTTTTTTTAATTAATTGGGATTCAATGAGGAATCCTATTATATTTACTTTTTTGTATGTATAAATTCAATAATTAATCATATTTTTGAATAAAATGAACAACAATCCAAAAGTGAAAAAACATAAATTAAAAAATGCTGAACAAAAAACGGCCTCAGAAAAAAACGTTGCCACAATACCGATCCATCCCATCAAATACACTGATTCAGAATGATTTTGGGAAAACTTGACGCAAAATTTAGTATCCCCACACGAATCGGGGGTACAACATAACACAAGATTGTAAGTAAATATTTCTATTGAGGCATATCCGTGTGGCATATCCGCAAAGTGGTACATGTAGATGACATAAATGTCATATTGAGATGACTTCCTCCTTGCCGGATCCACTGGGTCCGCCATGGAAGGTGAACGGCAAGCGAGTGCACGAGGCACGGCGTTGGGAATGACCTGAGTGGAGAACTTGGACATTGAGGACTTGTTCCATAGGAAACCCTATGGAACCAGTAAAAAGGAAAGCAGGTTTTGAAGACGGTTTGCTTATTTTGAAGTATTTTGGGTGTTTGAACCTTTCTTCCATTTGATGGATCAAAATCCTCAAAATCATGGTCATGTGCATTTCCACTCATTCCCCGTTTTTTGGGAAGGGAGACACCTTCCCAACACTAGACTACTGGGAGGGTACTTAAATGGTTTTGCTAAATTCTCACCAGGTCGCATTGAAGAGCTGGTCAGGACTAAAAACTATTTTTCTTAAGTTATGTATTATTTTTTTTTGGAATATGGGCTGTACTATTCTATATAATAGACCTTGGCAATATATATATATATATGTACATATTTAATATCTCCACATGTTTCTCTTTGGTATGTTCCACGTTTTTGGAGGATCTTTGTCTATGTTTCATACGATTTTTTGGCAGATCGCCTCCAATCTGCCAAGGTGGTGGGGAAGGTGCAATACACGAGCCCCAAGGGCCAGCGGACGTGCGCAGTCGTTTTCGCATGTCGACGGGAGGTGAGTTGAGCCATGAACAAAACATCACCTATCTGGGTAAATTATAACGACCTCACTGCGACCTCACTGGGAATCATGGTTAATAAGGGAAATCATCCCCAAATGGCCTTAATTCAGGTTAGTGAAATATTATAATTTACCCAGATATATGGAGTCATACTACGAATTGAGGTTAGTTCCACGAACAATTTGAGTCATGATTGATAGGTTAATATAGGGAGTTATACTACGATTTAATTTGGGGATTATGATAGAAATAGTTTAATTGAGATGGGATACTTTTTTTGATTGGCTCAGTTGAATTTTGAGTCTGCAGCTCCAAGCTTGACGGTTTTGCTATCCGGTGGTGAACAGAGGGAGCGGTAAGCTTAGCGGTTGGAGGTATCTATATTCCCAACCAAGAATAGAGCCAGAGATAGAACAGTGAATTGTTGCTGAAATGTGGATGTGTCAAAACCTGTTATTACCATTTGACCGGAAGATAGCCATCCATTAACCAATTAGTGTTGCATTACTGGGAAGGAGTCACACCCCTCGGCCGAATGTCTACAAACAGGAATCACGAGTTGCAGAAATGATATAGCCTCTCGTAAATTAACAGTTTGTTACCCTGAAAATCACAGATTTTTAGTAGAAACTAATCTTCCAACCCCGATGACTGCCAGGGTCGTCATATGAATTTACTGAAAGGTAGCTGGGAGATTCACCTGAGTTAATTGTCACCAATGTTCTTGCTCGAATGAACTCGAATCTCTGTCGCAGATATAAAAAATACGGATTCGTCTCCAGTTCGCGGGGCATTTGTTAGTGTGGGAACATCATATTTTCATATATTTTCCGCATGAAACGTCGACAGTGGTACCCCATCCAAAACCTCTCGTTCCCCAAGAAATCACCCCAGTCATCTGCGAAGCTCGGAGCTCCGAGGTACAATTGCAGCGACCTCAGGTATGACCAGACCTTCGGGTACCTCACCCTGAAGGTGAGGAACTTGCGGGTTTGCCCATGGGTTTGCTGATCTCATGGCCGTATGGGCAGTATGGGGAAATTCTACAGAAATTGAATAAGCCACAACTTGGGGATGGTTTTTTTCTTGTGGATTCCCTGATCATGGGCATTTTCCGAGTACTTATCAAGATTGTGTTTGTCAGCAAAAAAAACGTATTGGAAAAAATATGCAAATTGGCCGGGATGATATTCCTTCCAAAGCTCCTGGTTCATACCTGTTGACGCGAGATCTTGCACTAGCTCAATAGGGACCATGACAAGCCTTGACAATAAGAATGGTTTATGACGAAGGCTTTATGAACCACCAACAAGCATATGGAGGTTTCCTGAAATGGGGGTACCCCTAAATCATCCATGTCAATAGGATTTTCCCTTATAAACCATCAATTTTGGATACCACCATTTATGGAAACCACCATATGGTATCATATGGTTATAAATTATAAGTTACTGTATATATAACATATTATAACCGCAAATCTTCACCATTTGTTGATATTTGTTGGGGGTCACCGGACTGGGGTGCGTGGGCCAGCGTTGGCCAGCGAGCGTTTGTAGTGAACCTATGGGTTGAAACAGATATACATATATATATACTATATATTATAGATGTATTATAGATATATTTCTTTTCCGGTGAAACGCACTTTAGTCTTGTTTGCAGAATCTCTTAAAACTATGTAAATAGCAAATGATTCTCCAATTTAATTTGGTGGATTTTTTGGCAGAATTGGCCGGTGATACCTCCACAACATTCCAGGTCAACCTTGGATGGATTGGAATTTGATGGATAGATACCAGAGAAACATCATGTCTATTATTGGCCATTTGTTGATCTATTTACCTGGTAATTACCTGGTGATACTAGCATCTATTTCAGTATCTAAAATCTATAGTCATAGGGTATTAAACATTGTAATTAATGAACATTGAATTTGGATACCACCCTGCAACTGGATAAATTGCAGCGACCTCATGATGACGTCACGTACATGAGGCTTGGTGAGAGTACCTATCATTATCCCTGAATGGACCATGTTTCAGGCGGGTGAATTACTACAATTTCTCCAGATATATTATATATCCATAAAGTGGCAATTGTCATGGTTAACTATGATAAATACCAAAACTGATTGGTGGTTTGGAACATTTTTTACTTTTCCATATCTTGGGAACAATCATCCCAACTGACGAACTCACTCCATCATTTTTCAGAGGGCTTGGTATACCAACCACCAACCAGTAAACAATTGCCAATATGATTCTCCATCATTAACCACTATTAACCACTATTAACCATTATTAACCACTATTAACCACTATTAACCAGCCAGTTGATAAATACCATCAGATTTCTGTAGCTTTCACCGCAAAGATGGGCTCAGCGGTTTCGGCCGGCCATGGCCGATGACTCTCTGGAGACGCCCTTGGACCCTGAACTGCTACGAGCTGTGCCGCTGCAGGCGGCGGCCGGCGATGGCGAAAGTCCATGGGTGTTGCTATGGAACATGGGACATCAGCAACCGGTAACATGGCTAACCATCAATATATGGACATATCATGGAAATAACATGGAAATATATGGAAATATCATGGAAATATCTATGGGATATAATCATTATCAAGATTTCTAGCGGTGAACGGAGGGAGTGACCTGAGACTTTGGGCGAATTCAAAAATAGCAAGCCATGGGGAGCCCATGGCGCGTTTCCGAGTTCCCAGGGTGATCAATCCGATGAAAGCTGGGGAGCCATAGCGGTTAGGCCAATGGACCCATGAAATCCCATGAACTAACCTGTTTTTGGCTTGCGAACTGTTATCAAATCCACCAGGTTTATAGGTTTTTAGGTTTTTATCATCATGGTTTCACCATTTCATCATGGTTTCACCATTTAATGACCCTCTGAGAAACCATGATTTCACCAGTTCTTCATGGTTTCTAGAACCCTTTGGTGATTTCACCATTTCGCCAATTTTATCATCTATTCTGAAGAAATCACCAGAGGGTCATCTTTTTTGTTGGACGGTGAATCCACCAATCCCAGGGGTGAATTCAGCAATCTGCAAGAATTGGAGGTTTCTTAAAATAGGGTACTAAAATGGTTTAATGATGTTTAATGATGTTTAATGATGTTTAATGATGTTTAATGATGTTTAATGATGTTAAATGATGTTAAGTGATGTTTAATGATGTTTAATGATGTTTAATGATGTTTAATGATGTTTAATGATGTTTCATGATGTTTAATGATGTTTCATGATGTTTAATGATGTTTAATGATGTTAAATGATGTTAAATGATGTTAAATGATGTTAAATGATGTTTAATGATGTTTAATGATGTTTAATGATGTTTAATGATGTTTAATGATGTTTAATTATGTTTAATGATGTTAAGTGATGTTTAATGATGTTTAATGATGTTAAATGATGTTTAGTGATGTTTAACAATGTTTAATGATGTTTAATGTTGTTTAATGATGTTTAATGATATTAAATGATGTTAAGTGATGTTTAATGATGTTAAATGATGTTTAATCATGTTAAATGATGTTAAGTGATGTTTAATGTTAATGATGCTTAATGATGTTTAATGCTGTTTAATGTTGTTTAAGCTACCGGCGCTGTTAGCGGACCCGCAGGTAATGCTGTTTTTTCCTGTCCCATTGCACGGCAGTCAGAAGTATTGCCCGTTAGTTAGAAGTATTGCACGTATGTTTGAAGTATTGCCCGTTAGTTAGAAGTATTGCAGGTCAGTTAGAAGTATTGCCCGTTAGTTAGAAGTATTGCACGTCAGTTAGAAGTATTGCCCGCTAGTTAGAAGTATTGCACGTCAGTTTGAAGTATTGCCCGTTAGTTAGAAGTATTGCACGTCAGTTTGAAGTATTGCACCTCAGTCAAAAGTATTGCACGAAGGATAGTGTGGTTTTCTTGGGGAACCGGGGGTGGGGTGGGGGGGTGGGGGGTGGGGGGGTGGGGTGGGGGGGGCAAGGAGTGCGCTGTAACATGTCTCTTGTCACTTGCCAGACGCTCTGGATGCTACGCTGTAGCATGTCTCTTGTCACTTCGTACCCTTCTCGGCCCATAGCAAAGACAAAGTTACCAAGAAGGATTCTCAAATGATCCAACAATATGTGTGGTCCTTCGCCTATCGTTGGAACCACAAGGAGGACTTGAAAGGAAGCCTCGCCAACTTGTGCGCAAAGGTCAGCAAACGCAAACGCTGAATCCATGAAGGAAAAAAGTCGAGCTTCAAAAGCTGTGGAGGTTTCGTTTTCCAAAATCCACATTTGTCAATTATTTATCCCAATAGAATTCAATGATCAATGAGTAAATTCCTAGCATAACGTGGGACGAAAACAACATTTCTAATTCTGAGTAAAATAACAAAATCGTCACGGCGCCACAGCTTTAAACAAATCCATACATAATGCTTGAAATAAAAATCATTAAAAACACCGGGTCCGCTATCAGCGCCGGTACCTTGTTTAATGCTGATTAATGATGTTTAATGATGTTTAATGATGTTAAATGATGTTAAATGATGTTAAGTGATGTTTAATGATGTTTAGTGATGTTTAATGCTGTTTAATGCTGTCTAATGATGTTTAATGATGTTTAATAATTTTTAATTATGCTTAATGATGTTTAAATATGTTAAATGAGGTTTAATGCTGTCTAATGATGTTTAATGATTTTTAATGATGTTTAATGATGTTTAATGACTTGGAGATGTCCCCATGACTTCAGAAACCTCCAGATATTTTTTGATGTGGCTTACACGCCACGTCGCGATGGCTCAAGACCGAAGCTATTGAGTTGGGTAATGAACATCTTCACCATGATTCACCAACCATAGATGTCCTTTTCCCATTGGTTGGTTGGTTAATAGAGGGGTTTGTTTATCCCTTTAACAACAGGTTTCTATGATGATAGATGGGATGAACCAGCTGCCGGCCCAAAGCTATTTTTACCAAAAGGACATGATTATGTCACCAGCCATTGTTTTGTGCAGGTGTGCTTGCAGGGAATCGGAAAGCATTGGAAGCGATCCTTGAGGCGCTCCACCAGCGATGGCGACTCATCCTTTGGTGTCAACACCTATGGTATGAGCAGGAAAACAGAGTCTTGTCAGGGCATCATCCCGAAAAAAATCTCGAATTTCATCACCATCTAAAAATCCCATGACGGATCCATGGTGCTGGTATATATGCGATCCCATTGGGGGTATATTGATGGGATCCATGTCCATGTTACTGTACCATATATATAGCATACATGGATCCTATGGGTATGGGTTCTATATGCTTGTATAAATCATCCCCGGTCATGGTCAAGAGAACACTGAAAGCATTGCTGCTATTTTTCTACAGGAAAACCTCATGGATAGATTCTTGAGGATTGTTCCCCCCCTCGGATCTCGGCATGTTGCCATCAGGATGTTCCCGGAGGCCCCTTAGGCAAGTTGTTTTACAACTCTAGGTGAACTAGGTGTGTCTGAAAGTGGTGATACCATGTGACACCCCAATTTTGGCTATTTAATGGGAAACTAGATGAACATAGTTGTAAGCCCATGGTATTGGGGCACACGACTCTCAGGCAAACCCAAGTGGCATTTGCAACGGATATCTACAGTTGGACGGGTTTCTAAAGCAGCTTGAAACTTGGGGGGCCTTCCTGGATGCCAAAGATGTTGGCATAATTCAGTCATGAAGCCTCATTGATTTGACGTCGTGTCGAATGTCCCGTTGGGAGTTCCATTGCCCCTCATTGCTGGATCGGGTAGTGCAGGTTGGGTGCTGGTTTTATACTAATGCCCATCCAACACGAGCACAGAATGCCAGTGACGCAAGACTTGAAAGAAATGGTTTTGTTTGGTTCTTGGGTACAGTACCCCTTAACCCCGGCTTGATCGTCATTTTCGCTACCACATTGGCTGATCCAGTGTCCTTAAAATATCTTAAAATACTAAGGATCGGATCGACTACTTCTTCAGCCATGACTGGGAGACATCGCGCGTGCTGAAATGGTTGAGTCTTTTGGTGATGTTCAATGCCCCCGCAGCTGCCATGGTGATGCTTTCGGCCACTTGGATCGTCCATGGGAGGGACCATGGACGCATATGGAAACGAGTGGGATCAGGACGGGGCTAGTTTCAGATGCTGTTCTTCGGGTGATTTGCTAGATGTAATTTACATATTTATATAATTTATATTAATTTATTATAGTTTTCTGATGTTTTTCTGGAATGCAGGTGGGCCTCCAGCAGTTTTGTTTCAGTTTCAGGTGATAGAAGTTACATCCCCATAAGTGGAGCATCTCCTTGGCGTCACAGCTGAGGTCACATCTTTGCTGTCAATCTTGGCAGCAGTTGGGAGTCCCTTGGAACCAGGTTTTTGGAACGGTATGTCTTGGCATGTCTGGGGAGTTGTTGTGTATAACTCATGTAGATAGACAAGGTGGAAACCTGGAAATTATTGGAACAACACACATAAAAGCATCATCTATAAGATTCTGATCATTTTATCTGCTTTTTTGGTTGCTATATTTGAGGGTGTTGAGGCACATTTTATAGCACTGATGGCAAGAAAAGCGTGACTTATTTATATGTAATGATTCTCAATGTGAATATGTGAAGCATATGGAAATGTCTATGATCATTACACAATTTTTTGTTCAGGTCGATGTATGATATGATATGAAGTCCGAAGTCCAACGATCTGAGGAAACTTTTCAAACGACCCCGCAACTGCATCTCGCAGTGTCCAGTGCATCATGGATAACCTTGCTGATAGGAATATGACATTGTCTGATCATGTCTGATCTGCATCCCATAGGATCCATGGTGCTGGTATATATGCTAACATTGGGGGTATATTGATGGTAAATGTTACCATATATAGAATACATAGATCCTATGGGTATGGCACGGTCAACTTTGATGCTAAAGGCCTAAAAGCTGTCCATTGTACGTACCACACGGATCCATATACCTGCTTTCACAGGTATACCGAATATGCTCTGGCCTTTGCTACCCTTGTTGGCAGCAATATCCTATTTCGTTGCTGGGACTGGCGAATTCGGTTTGTTTTTAGCGGTCGTGAAGATGCCAAATGTATTACATGTATCGTTTTCCAAGTGTGATATACTGTACCATCTTTTGAACTTTAGCAACGATTAATTTGATGCATTTGTTTATAGCAAGTAAACTAAACCAATTCTTGGCTGTGACTAGTTCGAAGTCAGAACGCCGCTGAAGAAAACCAAGTAAACCAATTCGGGCGGTCCGTGCTCATGAGAAATACCTTGATGAATTCGTAACTCTGGGCAACAAGTGGTTGGACACTGGAAAGACTACAGCGCTAAATCTGCTGTGTGGTGTTGAATTCTGTTTATTTCCATCCCTACCCTTAAAATCCCTTAAATACAGATCCCCATGACGACTATCATTAGCACTTTCTGGGGGACTGACACCACGGATCAGGAATGTCTGAGAGGCTGTGGTTCTATATGGCTTCCATTGATAATCTTGCTTACAGACCTCCGGACACCTTCCGCGTCCAGAGAACTTTCTTCCAATGACTGGGAAGACCTGCAAGAAACCACGGTGTCACCAATTTTCTAACAGGATTCAGCTGTTGATAACTGCTTGGTGGTGACTGGAACCATGGAATTTTATGACTTTCCATTAATCTTGGGAATTTCTTCATCCCAACTGACTTTCACTCCATCATTTTTCAGAGGGGTAGGGCTCAACCACCCACCAGTAAACAATTGCCAATATGATTATCCATCATTAATCACTATTAACCACTACTAGTATTAACCACTATTCGAAGGAAGTTTAGAAGTCAAACTTCCGACAATATGGAGAGATGAAAAAGCAGTCAGCAGGGAGAAGAGTCAGAAGAGAAAAGATCAGAAGAAAGAAGATGCAGGTGCGCGAAAAGGTAGGAAAGTCGCGAAACATTGTGTTTTTTGGTGGTTTTGTGGCTCCGGAGGGTCGAAAAGTAGGCTCGCTAAAGCGGCGGGTGCGGAGACATCTGGGGAGATGAGAGATGAAAAGTTGCACGCCGTTGTGGCACGAAGCCGATTTCGAAGTGAAAAGGTACAAAACACCTCAGCGCCGGACCACTTTTGGAAGTTGAGATGTTGAAAAAGTGCATGGCGTTGTGGCGCGAAGCACATTTGGAAGTAAAATGTGTTAAAAAACTGAGGGGTTTGGAGCAGTTTTGGAAGTTGAGAAGACGAAAAAGTGCACGGCGTTGTGGCGCGAAGCACATTTGGACGTAAAAAGTGTTAAAAACTGGCGGTCTCGGAGCACTTTTGGACGTTGAGATGTCGAAAAAGTGTACGGCGTTGTGGCGCGAAGCACATTTGGAAGTAAAAAGTGTTAAAAAACTGGCGGTCTCGGAGCACTTTTGGAAGTTGAGATGTCGAGCGCGAAGCACATTTCGAAGTCAAAAGTGTTAAAAACTGAGGGTCTCGGCGACATTTTGGATGTTCAGAGGTCGTTTTGTGTGGCAGGTGGAGTGGATTGTGCATCCACTGAAAAGTGACTAAAACGTGAGGGTTTTGTAGCATTTTCAAAAACGATGGCAGGCGTCGGAGATTTGAAGAGGATCTGCACAGATGCATTTTTCGTGGCAGGCGCAGTACAAGAGGCATCTTCAGCAGAGATATTCGGAGCTCAAGGAGCTGATTTCCTGAGAGGGGTTGCATTTTGGCGTATCAAATCATCAGCTATGCCAAGATGCTTTTTCGTGACAGGTGCAGCATTTCGTATGACCTGGACTAACTTTTTCGTGGCAGGCGCAGTACTTTAGAGACATGGCATGGAAAAATCGCAAAACGCATTGGTACGATGCCGTCAGCTGTACAGTCAACTTTCCATTTTTGAAGGAAGTCTCGCAGAATTGCTTCGTTTTTGATGTTTTCAACTGCAAAAAGTGAGAAAGTCTCGCAGAATTGCTTCGTTTTTGATGTTGCCAACAGAAGTCTGGCAGCATTGTTTTGTTGTCGACGTGGCGGCTAGACCGACAGGTCAAGAGGTAGATCGAAGGACAGGTGGAGAGCAAGATCCATGAATACATCGAGAGATAAATCGAAAGATGGGTGGCTAGATAGAGAGACAGATCGATCAATAGACAGGTAGATGGATCGACAGATGGACACATAGATCGCTAGATCGAAAGATCGAAGCGTCGATGACCAGATAAACGCATGGGTAGCTAGATAGATGGATGGATAGCTGGAAGAAGAGGTAGACGGACAGATGCATGGATGAATCGATAGAGAAACAGAACGAAGAACATGGTGATGGATAGCTGTGGACATGGATCGATGAAGAGATGGACGGAAAAAAAACTAACAGAGAGAAGTAAGTGGATGGATGAATGGCTGGATAGACAGAAAGATAGACAGTTTAATAGATAGGTGAATAAACAAATCGATCGATAGATACATGAATAGACAGGTCGATAGGTAGATGGCTAGAAAGGTAGCTCTGTAGATAGATGGCGAAAGAGAGACACAGAGAGAAAGAGAGAAAGAGAGACAGAAAGGGAGAAACACTCAACCACCTTTCAATCCATCAGTGGGTTCGCTCTGCCATTTTTGTGTCACACCAACTCACCTCTCCTATAGGTTTTCCATTTTTGAAACTTCCGCCACCGCCTTGTGCGGTACTACTGGTAACCATTATTAACCACTATTAACCAACCAGTTGATAATCATTGGCAAACCAAGAGTGGTAAGTGATGACTGGTCCTCGACCAGTCATCCCAGTCACCCAGAAAAATTAAGTGGAACCATTCCTTCAGGCCACGAGGTAGTGCCCCCCAGTTGCGTTTCTGGGTCGTTTTTGTAAACCAAAAATGAACATCCACGATTTATAAAGAATATAGTTATTGAAGGAAGTTTAGAAGTCAAACTTCCGACAATATGGACAGATGAAGCAGCAGAGGTGGGAAGAGGCAGAAAAGAGAAAGAGTGAGAAGAGAAGTCAGAAGAGAAAGGGTCAATAGAAACAAGATCAAGGTGCGCGAAAGGTAGAAAAGCCGCGAAACACCGTGTCTTTCCGATGTTTCGTGGCTCCGGAGGGTCGAAAAGTAGGCTCGCTAAAGCGGCGGGTGCGGAGCCATTTGGGGAGGAGAGATCAAAAATTGCACGTCATGGTGGCGCGAAGCAGATTTGGAAGTCAAAATGCTAAAAAACATTTCATTCTCGGAGAACTTTTGGAAGTTGAGATGTCGAAAAGTTGCCCGCGGCTGCGGCACGAAGCACATTTCGAAGTCAAAATGTTACAAGCACCTCAGGTTCGGAGCACTTTTGGAAGGTCAGTTGTTGAGAAAGTGTACGGCATTGTGGCGCGAAGCACATTTCGAAGCCAAACTGGTAAAAACACAGCGGGTTCGGGCCCAAACACCTCAGGTTCGGAGGACTTTTGGAAGTTGTCAAAAAGTGCACGCCGTTGCGGCGCGAAGAGCTTTTTGAAGTCAAAAGTGTTAAAGACTGACGATCTCGGAGAACTTTCTGAAGTTGAGATGTCGCAAAAATGGACGCGGCTGTGGCACGAAGCAGACTTCAAATCACAATGGTAAAAACTATAGTTTCGTTGAATTGTCTTTTTTTCGTGGCAACTACAACTACATGTGCAAATACAACTGCACAACACTACATTACAATTAATACTACAGCTACAACTACAACTACAACTATGCTACAACTACAACTACAAGTGCAACTGCAAGTACAACTGCAAGTACAACTACAACTACAATTACAGCTACAACTGCACCTACAACTGCAGCTACAACTACAACTAGACTAGGCTACAACTACAGCTACAACTACACCTGCTTCAAAACACAACTACATCTGCAACTGCAACGGCAACTATGCCACCCTACATTAGATTACTCTGCGCTACACTGCGCTACACTGCGCTACACTGCGCTACACAACTACCACAACAGCAACTACAACTACAACTGCACGCACAACGACAACTACACCACAAAAACTACAACTGCAACTGCAACTACAATTACAACTGCAACTACACAACGCTAGACTACCACTACACGACACTACACTAGATTACCGTGCGCGACTTTGCGCTCCACTACACTGCAGCTACAACTGCACTACAAAAACTACAACTAACTACAACTAAACTGCAAGTACAACTACAACTGCATAGACATAGAGAGTTAGAGAGAGAGAGAGAGAGGGAGGCAGGGTGTCAACCACCTTTCGGTCCATCAGCTCGCTCTGCCATCCATGCATCACAGCAACTTACCTCTCCTACAGGTTTTCTATCTTTGAAACTTCCGCCACCGCCTTGTCCGGTACTAATGGCACTAATTACCTGTATATACATTTGTAAATGGTGAAAATAATGTTATATAAATATAAATATAGAAGTATTTATAAGTTGTAATACTGTAGGTTATACGTTGAAATCCGGTGTATCCCCAGTGTATTCACCAGAACCCCCTGTTTTGGTCCAAGTTTCCAGCCTGCGTCCACCGTTGAACCATGAGGTGACACTGGGATTTTGGCAGAAACTTCGGTCGGTCTGGCGGAAGCAGCCGCTGGTCTTCCTAGAGACTCGGCAGCACCGGGGCATCACTGAGGACATGGAAACCAAACTTGGACAGAATGGTTTGGGAAGATGAACTTACTATGCGGCTATGTGTATCTAAGTGTGTGATTTTGTTTATGGGATTTTCTGGGACCCCCTTGTCCCAAGTAAGATTTCAGACGAGTGTATACTACAAGGGTCGCACATGGGCGTTCAATTTTTACCAGGCATTGGAGTGAAAGGGTTACATGAATGAATGACATTGACATAGATATTTTTTTGGTTTGATTTATTATGAGGGGGTAAACAACCAGTGAAAATCAATTAAACAAGTCAGTCATGAATGGCAGCTGAAATGTTGAACTGGTGATTTGGGTGTTTTTTGATGTTTGGTATCCCAACCCAATTTTCAAAGGTATTCTCTGAAACCCAGGACCGGCTATGCATTGCACAACATGACGTGGCGCTGAAGGAACGAGGCATTCGGGGCCTCGGATGCTTCTTAGCCAAGTCGCAGAATCTCACCATCCTCTGGTCCGGCCGCTACTTCTCGCGCTTGTCACTGGTCGGATGGCGGAGATGTCCCCATTTTAGATCCCTGAAAATTATTTGTATATTAATAATATTGTATATAATATACATATTATGATGCATAAAATTATGATATATGCATATTGGCTGTTTGTTCGGCTTTGTTTTGATGCCTATCGTATTGCGGTGACCCTTGATGCCCCAGGTGGTGCCTCTACGAACTAGCTTCGTACCTCAAAAATGAAAGGCTCCAAGAGAAGCGACACATTCAGATTTTGCCGGTGCATTTGTGTGTCTTGGTGAAACGACTTCAGGGTGCGAATCATCAAGAGGTATGTATATACAAATATGATCATTTTTTGTTTTTTTAATGTCATGTGGACAATATAAACTGTATGGGCATGTATGATTGGTAGATATGACAGGATATACCAGATCTTGGATGTCTTAGTTCAGGTTCAGGTTCGGGGTTTAGGGTTTCCGCACATTGGACCCGCACACGCACAGAACATATATATATATATATATATACATATATATATAAACATAATACTAAACACGGAGTAGGCACCCAAGGTTTCTTGGGATAATGAGGTATACAGAAATTTGGGGCGTTCCATACCCTGCGGCCCTTGATGTTTTTCGGACTGACCTATGTCAATATACATATATAGATATACATACATATACATATATATATATATCTACACGTAGGATGTATGTTCTTGCCCAGTTTTTCCCGACAGCGTCTGAGCGAAGGGTTCTTCTAATAGTTGTGTCTGTCATTTGCGTCTGTCATACATCTTCACATCTTCACAGTCACACACTCACATCTTCACGTCTTCACATCTTCACGTCTTCACATATTACCTCTTTACATCTTCACATACTCACATCTTCACACACACACACATCTTTATATCTTCACATACTCACATCTTCTCTTTCTCTCTCTCACACTCACATCTTCACATCTTCACATCTTCACTCACATCTTCATACTCACATCTTCTCTTTCTCTCTCTCGCACTCACATCTTCACATACTCACATCTTCTCTCTCTCTCTCTCCTCTTTCCTCTCTCCCTTTTCTCTCGCTCGCCTTCTTTATCTTTCTCTCTTTAGGCCGAGGGTGGTGCCGGCGAGGAGTCACGAAACGTCAATCTTTTCACACGAAATGAGGGTCGATGCGCAAAAACTGAGGTAAAATTGCGATTGTACTTGTGCCGGAGCAACCCTTTCGCACGAAATGATGGTCGATCGTCAAAAACTGGCGTAAAATTGCGATTTTACTTGCCCCGGAGCAACCCTTTCGCACGAAATGAGGTTCGATCGTCAAAAACTGAGGTAAAATATGGTAAAATTACGATTGTACTTGTGCCGGAGCAACCCTTTCGCACGAAATGAGGGTCGATGCGCAAAAACTGAAGTAAAATTGCGATTTTACTTGCCCCGGCGCAACCTTTTCGCACGAAATGAGGGTCGATGCGCAAAAACTCAGGTAAAATTGCGATTTTACTTGCCCCGGCGCAACCTTTTCGCACGAAATGACGGTCGATCGTCAAAAACGTCAAAAACTGAGGTAGAATTGCGATTTTACTTGTGCCGGACTTGTCCCGGAGCAACCTTTTCGCACGAAATGAGGGTCGATGCGCAAAAACTGAGGTAAAATTGCGATTTTACTTGTGCCGGAGCAGCCCTTGCGCACGAAACGATGCTCGATGTGCAAAACCGAGGTAAAATTGTGATTTAACTGGTGTTGGATGTAAAAGGGTGTGAGTGTAAGAGTGTAAGCGTTTGTGTGTAAGAGGGTCTGTGTGTAAATGGGGTCCGTGTGTCGCAGCTTCTGTGTGTCAAAGGGTTTCTGTGTCAAAGTGTCTGTGTGTAAAAGGGTTTGTGTGTAAAAGTTTCTGTCTGTGTGTAAGAGGGTCTGTGTGTAAAAGTGTTTGTGTGCAAAAGGGTGTGTGTGTGTGTGTAAAAGTGTCTGTGTGTAAAAGCTTCTGTGTGTAAAAGTGTTTGTGTGTAAAAGTGTCTGTGTGTAAAAGTGTTTCTGTGTAAAGATGTTTGTGTGTAAAAGTGTTTGTGTGTAAAAGTGCCTGTGTGTAAAAGCGTCTATGTGTAAAAGTTTCTGTGTGTAAAAGCTTTTGTGTGTAAAAGCGTCTGCGTGTAAACGCTTCTGTGTGTAAAAGCTCCTGTGTGTAAAAGGGTCTTTGTTAAAAGTGTCTGTGTGTAAAAGCGTCTGTGTGTAAACGTGTCTGTGTGTAAAAGCGTCTGTGTAAAAGCGTCTGTGTGTAAAAGCTTCTGTATGTAAAAGCTTCTGTGGGTAAAAACTTTGTGTGTAAAAGCGTCTGTGCAAAAGCGTCTGTGTGTAAAAGCTTCTGTGTGTAAAAGCTTTTGTGTGTACAAGCGTCTGTGTGTAAAAGGGTCTGTGTGTGAAAGTGCCTGTATGTAGAAGCTTCTGTGTGTGAAAGCTTTTGTGTGTAAAAGCTTCTGTGTGTAAAAGCTTCTGTGTGTAAAAACTTTTGTGTGTAAAAGCGTCTGTGTGTCAAAGTTTCTGTGTGTAAAAGTGTTTGCGATGCAAACTATTGTCTTGCACTTCTGCTATTTTGTCTTGATACTCCTCTTCTCGACTGCCTATAACACATCTTTAAGATATTGTTTTGTAATATGGTGTCTCCATGCTAACAAGAGCAGACCCTGCTCCTCTACGCTCTCGGGCCATCCGTCGTCTAGTTTTTCTTGGGAGTTAGTTTCATCAGCTTCACCAGTTTCAAAATAATAAATTGCCGTGGGCCAGTGGGCCAGTGGGCCCACTTGGTGATGTGTTCAGCGTTAGTGCATCAAATTTAAGTGATGTCGACAAGTTGAAGACATCCAAATAGCATCAAATAGCAGCACAAGTATATCTTCTGGTCATCATTGATCGTTGTCTGTCACTATCCACTTCATCCGCATTTTATCCCACACTCAGGTGGATTGATTCGCTTGCGACGGCCCAAACTACCCCATCAGCCCCAGCTTTTGTTTGTGGAAAAAATATGTTTGCTAATCTTGCTACAAACAACTTGGGAGGTTCATGTTTGGTTCGGTCCCTACTGCAGTTTCTTGATGGCTGTCCTGCAGATCCACGGCACGGTACTTAATCAATCTTAATCGTCTTAATCATGTGAGAAGCCTCAAGTGTTATTGGTAGATGATAAATATCGATAGATGATAGGTTCTCATTTTTCTTTAGCTGTCATGCATTCCAATCAACTTTGGCGTGATTTTTGTTGCCCCATATGACATGTTCCCTCCACCTCCCAGATCCGGCCAGATCCCATCAGCGGTAACCGCAGCTGAGGTTTGCTGCTGTTGATCTCCTGTCTCCAATCCACTGCGTGGATAGCCTCGCGCCAGATAGGATGGGATGGCCAGCATTGAAAAGACCCATAATGGCCATGCTATGGGTATCTTGGGTGGTTGCAGCAAAAATGGGGATTCAACCAGAGGGTTTATAGTTGAGTTTTGTTACACTTATGTTGGCTAAATTGATCGGCATAACTCATAATTGTTGGGTTTGTGGTAGATAAGAAAGACCTAGTTGGTGGGGGTGATAAACCAACACACATTTTATTGGGGCACCACCTTCTAGATAATAGGTGGTTTATGGTGGTTGACTCTTCTGCTTCGTCGGTGCACAACAAGATGCAGTCTCTTGGGAATTGAATATTGGCAGGCACCCTTTATGGACCTTTTTTTGATGTTTTTTTTTGAGGGTTTGATGTCGATGTTTCATCTGCAACCAGGTTGTCATTTTGATCTTTCGCAGCATGGATCAGCGACCCAACTCGAGCCCGGTCCTTCATCAACTTTTTGGTCGGGGTGGTGCTGCATTCATCCCGCTGTCCTTATACGTGGCTTGGGCGGTGGCGGTTGGGGCGGTTTTCATCAGTGTTGGTCATTCTCAGTACCGCATACTGTACGATATCTGGTTGGTGGTGACTGAAACCATGGAATTTTATGATTTTCCATATATTGGGAATAAGAATCCCAACTGACTAATATGTTTCAGAGGGGTTGCAACCACCAACCAGGTACTATATATACGGATTTCAATTCTTTGGATACCCATTCACAAACAAGAGACGAGTCACGGTGTCTCACCAATCTATGGGTGGTTCCGGTCTTTTTCACCTGGGCCTCGGTGCTACTTCCGGCTAGCCCCAGTGCATCTCATTTTGTTGTTTTCTTTTATTATCTCAGAAATATTCAACAAAAATTGGCGTATAATAAATTAAAATTCCATGTTCCCCGGCTTTTTGTTGACACCTCAATTTTTTTGGGGGAGCACGGTTCAGACAGTTGTCCAATGTTGTCCACAAGTCCTGTCCAAAAAGCAACCAGAGATCCCTTTGGATCTGGTACCAGGTGGGCCTGGGATGCATGACGCGCTTGTACGAACTCCCGGATCAGCTGCGACACTTCAGAGTCCAGGACCTTGGACGTTGATGGACGTGAGAATACGTGAGACAAATGGACCCATTTTCTGATGAGATTTTGAGATTTGACACATCCGTGTATTGAATTAGTAAAGAACAACAACTACATATAGTTATATGTATATATATATACATATATATATATATATCTATCTATCTATCTATCTATCTATCTATCTATCTATCTATATATCTGGCACCTGGCTTTAAATACCTGAATACAGCCATTATATCCGGCTTTAAATACCTGAAGACTGCTAGAAAGCCAATAAGAACATATGCCCTCTGGTTATTTAACATGATAAAACCTGACTTACCTCTATTCATCCAGATTTTCTAGTTCGCAAAGCACCGTTTCCAACCAGCTGGATCCTCCCAGCCGCAGGATGCGCAATGCTTTTGTTGCTCAAATGATCATAGGCACCCAGAGACAGGAAAGGAGCTGCCATGTGATCGCAAGTTTCTGGGCGGAACTTTCTCGTGCCACACCAAGTTACAAAAAACATGGAAAGCAAATGCTACGGTCTGCAAAGAGGGGAAAACATGTTCCAATATGTTGCAGCTGAAATAGTTCATTTATACAACATTATACTATTATTCTGATGCATCAGATATCTTTTCAAGATCTTTCAAGCATGTTTCATGTCAACTTCTAGGAGGATGCGTACAGGAAGTGAAGAAGAGTATAGTCAGTATAGTTGGTTTGCTCCCATTATTATTGGTTATATTGAGCCCCATATAAACCCTGTCATTGCTGGTTGAATTTGTCCACCCTCAGGTGAAGTTGTTCCACCACGAACGTCTTGCAGTCTGAGTTTCACTAAGAGGTGGTGGTGTTATTTTAGTTCTATTGGTTTTCAAGACTCCAAAGTGCCCTCCAAACGAGCACCTCCACAGTTTACCTCAAGGTTTTGGTGAATGCCAATCCTGATGCTTTCATATACTACTGAGTACTACTGTATTGTCTCCAATCATATTTGAAACATTCCGGAGAAAAAGTGCTCCAACAAAAACTTCAGAACAGTTTCATTGAAAAAACTGCGGCCGTTTTTTTTCCTGCACTTGGTCAACAGCCATGTCAACGAAAGTTTGCTCCGAGGCTTGTCTTCAGCGCCCTTGAGAAGTGGTTTGGTGACGGGTCATCGGAATCCGAGAGTTGGATTCACCATTTCAATCTGATGCTGGGCATATTTTTTGGGCTCCCCTGAAATCTCAAGGCAATGGTTGTTCAATTATTGGGCCACAATATGGACGTTGAGCTAAATACATCTGAGCACCCTGAATCAGGAGTGATTTTGATGGTAGAGCCACACTTGATGATTGTGGGAATGATGCGACTGTTTACTGAGAACCCATCAAAAAGGATGGATGATCATCGGTGTGCAGAATTCAAGCCATCCAGTCTCAAACCATACAGCACCCACTAGATGGCTGGGGATCTAACTGTAACAGGGTTCAACCCATCAAAAATATTGCTGGCTTGCAACATGAGCCATGACATTTGTTGTGGACGGGGTAACAAGTGTGATACAAACGAACTTGCAACAGAGTTTACTTTGGCCTCAAAAATTGGCAGTCACTTGAGTCACTTGCATAATTACATCAACACTATACACCACACAAGCTGGGTAGTCAACACCACAGAAGCTGGGTAGAAATCCAAATTCAATCTGACTCTTTTCTGTCCGTGGGGAGGTTGAATTTCAGATAGGATGGATGCGTTTTATGAATGTATTATACTAATGATTCATTTTATGCATCTCGAAATTATGGACGGTGTAGATTCAATACATACACACATGGATAATATGGGATAATATTGGATAATACTGCTAGTCAGTAAAGAAGCAACTGGATCTTCGTTTCGAAAAAATGTGTGTGTTACAAAGCCTGCATGGGTGTCCCAAATCATTGGTTGAATGCAGTGGCTGTTCCCAGCACCCCGATTCCCCGATTGAATCGGTGTTTGAATCTTTTCTGCATACCTGAAATGAAGAGAATACACAATTTCTCAACATGTCAAAAATGGTTTTGGGTTTCAAAGGTTGGTGCCTTGGAACATTTATGACTTTCCATATATTGGGAATGTCATCATCCCAACTGACGAACTCATATTTTTCAGAGGGGTGGCTCAACCACCAACCAGTTTTATGTTTTATGTTCAGCTCCAATGTGGGAAACCAACTGAGCCCCACATTTTCCAGGGCTCAACCACCTTTTATGACCAGGATGGTGAGAGCCAAGTTGAGTAGCCGCATTGCTGGTACGGTAGGACGGGGCTTGCCTCCCTTCAGCTACGTTCCTTGGTCTTCTTAGCATCCCATGAAACTTACACATTTGTCGCTGAAGTAGGATGAAAGCATCTTTTTCAGGTGGATAAATATTGATGAAAACACTCGAAATTCTTAGTTTGTACCTCTTGAATCCTCTTGAATTTTGGTTGGTCAGTGGTCGCACCCGTGTTTTTTTGTTTCGCTCATCCAGTTCCAAAACGGGTTTGGTACCTGAAAATGGGGTATGCCGTATGCCCTGAACCCTGAACCCATTGATTGAAAGCTTATTTTCTTCATGAACGGCCAGGACTGTGGTTCAATCCCCCTAAACCTCCCCATATGCTCCATGTATACATATGTATACCATGGAATATGCAACATTTACCCAAAAAAGACCAAATGTAGCTAAAAAATGCTAAAAATAGCCCATGTAGGGAGCGTCTTGGCTCGATTTTCCAGGTTCTATCGACTGTGTGTATGTCTCCACTGCCCTTCATTGCCTTCTTTTTGCCCGTGGCTGAGCTGCAAAACCACTGGGAATTCCAGGTTCTACAGTACCAATCATCTGAGTTTGATATTAGTACCCTTCGGAAATCAATCATGGCAATGGGAAATCCCTTATGAATCGAGGTTTAGTTCGCTGGGAAAATCATCGAACTAGATTCTGGATTGGGTGCTTTTCCAGCAAACCATCTCAGCCATGTTTGATTTCTTGAGGATCCTGAGGTTGCACAGAAGCCACTTGTGACCCTGACCTTGGCCTTTGAGTTAAATAGATAATTTGCAAATATCAAGACAATTTATCATTTGGCACTGACATCGAGGTGGTTTGAGTATACACCATCTGTGGCGGATCTGGGTATTGAAATACACAAGATTGGTTTCTAGTTTCAAGTATGTTTTGTTTGCATAGCTACTTGGGGAGATGCTCCTCACTTGATCTTGTGGCTGGCTTGAAACCAGCAACATGTCTACAATCAACGACCTGTTCATGAGGGTGTTGGGAAGTTGGGCTGTCAACAGCGATGTGAACTTATGAACTTTGCCTGGATGGGATTGTGACAACACGAAGAATCCGGGTGTATCCACCTGTGTATAGATGTGAAACTATCTACTATATCCATCCGTCCGTCCATCCATCCATCGGTCTGTCTGTCTGTCTGTCTGTCTGTCTGTCTGTCTCTGTGTCTGTCTGTCTGTCTGTCTCTGTCTGTCTGTCTCTGTCTGTCTGTCTATCTATCTGTCTATCTATCTATGTATCAATCTATCAATCTATCAATCTATCAATCTATCTATCTATCTATCTACCTATCTACCCATCTATCTATCTATCTGTCTGTCTATCTATCTATCTATCTACCTATCTATCTATCTATCTATCTATATGTCTCTCTATCTATCCATCCATCTATCTATCTATCTATCTAGCTAGCTAGCTATCTAGCTATCTAGCTATCTAGCTATCTAGCTATCTAGCTATCTATCTATCTATCTATCTCTATCTCTATCTATCTATCTATCTATCTATCCATCTATCTGTATGTCTCTCCATCAATCAATCAATCAATCTATCTATCTATCTTTCTATCTATCTATCTATCTATCCATCCATCCATCCATCCATCTATCTATCTATCTATCTATTTGCCTATGTCTCCTAACAATATTTCCATCTACATCCACATACATAATATATATATAGATATATAGATGTACACATTGTTAATGATAATGCATATATGATATATATATAATATACAGTACATATACAGACATTATATACGTATACATTATTACAGTTCAGCCGCAGCACCAAGGCGTCCCTCAGGAAACTCGCGGAGGACGACGACGACGGTGGGAAGGAGAGTGACGACGACGATGGTGAGGGGAAATGGCAGGAAACTCGGAAGACAAATCATGGAGGATGATCTCTTCTGATGGGTCAAAACCTACCTCCTACTACTACTATTACTACTCCTACTACTCCTACTACTCCTACTACTCCTACTACTCCTACTACTCCTACTACTACCATATGACTTTGGGATAAACATCAATTCACCAGCTATGTCTTTGGGTAGGGTGGGGTTTTGACTCATAGCCATCTGACTCAGAAGTGATTGGTATATGATATATGCAGTAAATATCAGTGCTGGATTGGAATGGGAATATTGAATATCCATAAGAATTGGCGATTTATATCCTATCTTTGGGGTTGAAGATGGACCCTATGTTTATCTCTCTATCTATCTACTCTAGTCTAATACAATCCTAAATCTAATCTAGTCTAAGAATGTCTAAGCTAGTCGAAATCAAACCTAATTTAATCTAGTCCAACCTAAATCTAACCCAACCTAATCTAACCTAATCTAATCTAATCATATGTGAGTGAATTTTGTCGACTTCACTGTAATGAAGGTTGCTATACGGAAGCATCCCAAAAGCTGACTTCAAGCTGGTAAGTAATCACGTAGCCAAATATGTTATCCATTGATGGTTGATGGTTCTAGCTGGATCAACGGATTGCCGCTTGGTAATTGACTGGTTACACAACATAGTTGTAGCCTGTCAGTATATCACCTGTGGGATTGATTGATTATGGTCAGCGGGATGGCTGGAAGGTAAGCCATAGATGGGTAAGGTAAGAGCTGCCCCGTAGTTGGATGGGATTCAAACCGCAAGTTACTGGTTTGATAACAAACAGAGGCTGATACTGGAATGTGACCAGATAATTATGGGATGCCGAAGATATTGAAGTTGTACCACTCATAAGTTGATTACATTTCACCCTTGGAAAACCCCACATGGTGGGCCGGAAAATCACTATGTTCCACAGGAATCATCAAAACAGCATTGAATTCTCATTACTAAGGTGGATTACCAGAGGGTCAGAGGTCATGCCTTGCAATGTTATCCATAGTTTTTGGATGTTTTTGGGTTGTGTGCGATCCCGTTGTTTGAAACCCCAACGTTGATGAAACTCCCCGTTGTTCGTTGGATCCATGGAGTCCCGTTCTTTCAATCCCCATATCGCTAGTTGAATCCAATCATTCCGTTGGCTACGTGGGGATGGCTTACTTCATACGTTTGGGGCCATTGTTATGTGGATGAACTTTGATAAATACCAACAATTTTGGTATGAACCACCAGTTTTTTTAGGTGAACTGATCCAGGTTTGTGACCCATTCCGTAGACCAACCAAAGAGATATAGCCAATAGCCAAAAGTCATCTGCTTGGTGGTTTGGAACATGTTTTTTTCCATATATTGGGAATGTCATCATCCCAACTGACTTTCACTCCATCATTTTTCAGAGGGGTAGGTATACCAACCACCAACCAGTAAACAATTGCCAATATGATTATCCATCATTAACCACTATTAACCACTATTAACCATTATTAACCACTATTAGTCATGTTCCGGAACTGGTAGGATCAGCTCTGGCGACCTTTGCCTTTACCCACTTTACCCATATTCGTTGATCAAATCCTCATGGAAGCTGCAGGGAAAGTTGCTTGAACTGCTCGTTCCGCCTTTATACGGTGTCTAGACGTGACAACCGAAGGTCTAGGGGGCAAAAAAATAGGAAATCTCTTCAGATGGCTGAAAGAATATCTGAATCCAAATAGGTACTGTTGGTAAAGCAATGTCATAAACCACCCATATAAATTGATGGTTTTTACCCGCCATCAAAAATGGTGAATTTGGGGATTGTTTACTATTGCTTTACTAGCGTGAGAATATGTCATGTACTTCGCCAGGTCAGTACATGACAAAGGTGGATCAAAAATTGGCCATGCTTCCAATTTTTCACGCGCTGAGAATATTCCCTCAGCAAGGGTTGATGATCAGGGTGATGCAACGGGGTTCTTTTTTGGACTCCACTGAGGAAAACCATTCAGGAGGGGGAAATCATGGTGATGTGTCGGCTCTCATGATCTCTCTATGATCTCTCGATGACCTATTTGTCTATTGATTGTCTATCTATCTGTCTACAAGCCTATCTGTATCTATCTATCCATCTATCCATCCATCCACCTATCTAGTTGACAATATGATACACTATGATACAACCTAATACATTATAATATATTATATTACATTATACAACAATATACTACAATATATTGCAATCTAAAACAATGTAATACAATACAAGACAACATAATCAATACAGTACAATAGAGTACAACACAATATAACACAATAGAATACAATAGAATACAATATAATACAATATAGTACAATATAATACAATATATATATATATGTTAATATATGGTTATATATATATATATGTTAATATATGGTTATATTTATATATACATCATTAAACATGATACACAGATATAATGTGTATAATTATACACACACACATATATATAGATAATACACAAACATACATATTGATATGGTATATTCATGGATACTCTTGGGTATTTCGCAGGCTCGACCCGCAGCCCATGAGGCGTTTGGTGCCTTCTGCTGATCATTCAGGCAGCGACTATGTATATATATATATATATGTATATATATATATGTATATATATATGTATATATATAGGGGTGGATATAACATGATATTTCACAAGCATTCTAATTCGGGAGTACAACAACAGTGGATTTAGACTACCATGATGGGGAATTAGCATGATTCAAGAATCATTATAGACTAATATATAGATAGCGTCTGATAGTGGGTATACCATATTATTATTACTATTGGTGATAAAATGGGTGAACAAGTGGTATATAACATTATATAACCAGCCGTATGATATCTGGGTTTGTTTGAGGTTTTAACACACCATGTATATCCATTTATGATAATACAAAGAGGATGGAATGGGAACAATACAACCGATATCAACCGATAAGATAGTATTTTGTCTCAAAATGTGGTATGCCTCAAAATCGCATCGCATTGTTTTGGCGGAAATGGCAATTTGTACAATACCCTAAGGATCCATGTATGGAATATTTACCTACATTGGGATTATTTTAATTTACTTTAGGGGTCAATGTAGGTAAATATTCCATACATGGATCCTCTGGGATAGTGAGAACAACATTAAACTGGAACTCTGCCATGGAATGGCTGTACAGACATTCAAGACATTGAAACGGGATGTTGTGTGTTGTGCGATGTTGTGGGAACCCTGTAGTCACCAAGCCAGCTGGTTGTTGTGGATATTCATCTTCTGGTCCTATTGACTCATCCCACATTCGTAGCATTACCCTCTAGTCATTGCCATGGCGTGCACAATCCCCCAAATGATTTTCCCCTTGAAACCTGTAGGGTAAGCAAAAAAACTGTCCGACGAAACGGCACAGGCTTGTCGCTTGGTCTTCTATATATTTCAGCCACTGTGCTGAAACTATTTAACCGTCAAGGCCTAGTTGCAATGGTGTTTCCCTGAAGTTGTGACGACTGGCCTAGTATCAACAAGAAGAGAAACAAGGGGTTCAGGTTGGCATTTCAACCTAACTGTTCATATGCAGAGAAATTGTGTGACATCTACTCTTTCTCTGTGGTACATGTGCAGTTCTCAAATCGCTCATTTAGATGATTTTTGAGTTGTGAAAAGGGATTCTGGGCAAATCATAACTTGAACGGAATCGAAATACTACCACAGGCCAACGTGCCCCAACTTGAAACCCGTTACACGAGTTTGTCCGAAGTTCCTTCCACTAGTTAATCAACATGTTCCCTGTTAGCATTCCATCCAATTTTCTACACCCAAAATGGCTCAGGTTTTTTGCAGCACTTCCCTAGGGTTGCAACAAAATGTCCCTAGTCGCTCAGTTGCCAATCCATATTCAATGTGGTTTGTCTGAAAATTGGCTACCCCGGAAATCCATGGGTTTATCTTGGTTAATCAACATGATGCCTACTTCAATTGGAAAATTAGAGGTCTAATCCATGTCCAGACACACCCAACTGTGGCCAAAATGACTATGGAATGAAAGCAAAACGTCCTAAGTCCTAAGCGATACAGTACCAACTAGTCTCTGAGCGAACTCCATAGTTTGTAATGTTTGTACACTCCTGATATTATTGGTCAAAATCATGAGATTTCCCACATCTTTGGATATGTATGTATATATATAATATACAGTATTTCCGATATGTTTGGATATGTTTCATGGGCCAATATCGTCCAATATATTTATATCCATATGTTCCGGCTATGTCGAAAGTTTTTAGGAATCAACGCGTTTCTCCAACATGTGGATATAGTTTCTCTGCTCGTATCATCTAATGTCCATAGATTCAGTTACCAGTTTGATTATTTTTGGACAAGCCTCAAATCCCATTCATCTTGATATTGGCTTTTTCACCTCCCAATCGTACCATCAAAATCCATACCGAGTGGCTGCGGTGTCTCCACCTTACCGCTGGCGACGTCTCGTTGGCGGCGCGCTTTGCTGGCTCTACTGATGAGTCCAATCATCTGGGTGACGTGGTGACGGCGATGGTCCAATGGTGGGCGATGATTTCTGTGTTGGAAAGGAAAAACAGTGGAAAACCACAGGGTAATGGGTATTGAATGGTGATAGAAATGATGGGATACTCTTCGATTTTGAATGATTTTGATTTTGGTTTGGAAAATATGAGGATCCAAGATGAAGATATGTTACTGGACAACGTAAATATGTAAACCATGGTTAGGATATGTTGGGATTATAGAAACCATCCTTCAAAATTCAAAACGACCTTATTAACCTTATGTTCAGATTTGGCCAAGGGTCACCCTGGTACGCATTTCTCCAGACCAAAATAGCTAGGATTTATATGGATTTGTGCATATGCATCTCCCCAAAATATGCTAATCATTGCTAATCTCCTGGTTTGATTTGCGATGTTGGAGTTGAGGTTTCCTGCCACATGGGCCCGCATCAACTACCACTCAGGTTCAGCATGGTTGTGATTTGTTATTACAAGGATTCGCTTCCGGGGAATATTATATAGTAATCCCCTGAAAAAAAAAGAAGTCTGCAAAATCCACTCCTAGAATAGTGACAAAATGAACCTTAACTCTACCCTCTGGTTATTTAACATAGCCATGGAAAATGGCCCATTTATAGATGGTTTACCTATTGAAAATGGTGATTTTCCATAGTTATGTTAGTTTACCAGAGGGTATCTCTTTGGGGCCTACTTTTTTGACATCGACTCATCTTACTGTCCAAGTTTTTTCCGCGCCAAGATCTGAGTGTTTGATCCATTTTTCCACAAGGTTTAGGAAAGGTCTCAGATAGGTGATACGACCAAAAATAGTTCTCTTTGATGATGGGAAATATATCATAGATTATGCATTAGTTCTCTTTTGATATGCCATATATCTTGGACATGCATGTTTATTATTATGCCAGGTTTTTAATGATTCACAGCTGGTGAGCCGCAGAAAAATCCAACAGTGAACCGGTCCCTGGCCTCGCTGAGGCCATTCTGGTCTTTGGAATCTGGGTGCCTCTGTTAGGAGCGGACGAAAAGTCAGAAGTCCTCCAATGGGTACATCGCATGACGATGTATATACGTGTATATATATATATATATACATATTTCATATGTAATGTTGCTGGTATTTTACTTTGCTTGTCATCATCATTGTTATTACGATTACAGTATAACATGTTCATTTGTATCGTTTCTCATCATCATCATCATCATCATCATCCATCATCCATCATCCATCATCCATCATCCATCATCCATCATCCATCATCCATCATCCATCATCCATCATCCATCATCCATCATCCACCATCCATCATCATCACCCATCATCCATCATCCATCATCCATCACCATCCACCATCCATCATCATCACCCATCATCATCATTCATCATCATCACCCATCATCCATCATCCCTCAGCCCTCGTCCTCGTCCTCTTCTCCGTCATTATCGTCATGATGATTGTTTTCCGATATGATTGGTTGTTGGTGGCCCCATGTGGTGACCGTAGACCTTCGATCCAACCTCACAATGACCATTCTCAAGAGCCGCTTCATGGTGAAACAAGTTGGTTTTCTATATGGTTTGTAGGAGACACTCCTCCAGACCGAGGGAACCACATTGCTTGATATTGCACTGGATTTCATGGGCTACCAAGCTTGTGGGGATCAAGCGGCAATTAGACATATTTTTTGGGGTTTGGAAAAAATGTATATATTATATCCATATCACAGTCACAATCGGTGTCATTTTCAGTTACATAAACTATGTGGTTATGATGGTTTTATACCTGTGCAAGAAATTTGCAGAAAAAAGGGTTGGTTTCCTGTCTATGTCAACTCACTGGCCAGGAGAATATTCGGATGACTTGGAGCTTCCCCCCATGGCGAGGTTTACGCTTTACCTTGCGTCGCTTGGTCAAAAACCATGGCTACAACATGCTGCAACCTACCTAACCTATATTTGGGAGAACCCCCAGTTAAATGTTATGTGTTATTAATATGTAAACAAATGTAAACATCTATTCGAGTGTCTCAAAGGCCCAGTCATGGTCACAAACGTCTCCTGGATCCACCAATGCATACCACTGGGATTGCCTTGCTGCTAAAGGGTGTATCCATTGAATCAATCTCCTAGCAATGCCTAAAGACAGATTCATACATATATACACATACATATACACAGTATATATATATATATAGACAGTAAATATACATACAGTATATATATACACCGTACAGTATATGTATATATACTATATATATATACACAGATAATATATATATATATACATATATATACATATACATATACATACATATACATATACATTACATATACATATACATACATATATATATATACATATACAAATACATATACATATACATATACAGTGTATATATATACAGTATATATAGATATATACAGTGTATCTAAATACTATATACAGTGTATATATATATACACAGTATATATAGATATATACATTGTATCTAAATACTATACTGTATACAGTGTATTTATATTTACGGTGTATATATATATATATACTCTATATATTATATGCCGTGTGTATATATATATTTATTTATTCAGTGTGTATATATATACTGTATATATATATACATACCCTGATCTGAACTTACACATGGACCTTTCATAGTTTCCCCGAAATGGGTTGTCCATATCTAGGCTAGTTTACGGGACGGTATATACATCAAATATAGCTTGCACAATGGCTAGCACAGGGGTACCAATTCCGAGCCAAACACCAAAGATCCCCCTAAAATGGGAGGAACAAGTGGGTCGTTTTTGAAGAATTCCAGGATGTTATAGATATTAAAACCGGAGTTTCCCCCATCTTCCCAGATCATTTCCTCATGTTTATCATCGCTGTTTCGAACCTTTATATGGGGACTGGTGACGCTGGTGAATATCCCCACGAGGTATTGGGCCTTGGCCGCGGCCATCTTTCTGATGCCCCAGCTCAATTGTGGCACGCAAACGCCACAAGGCGTGGCATAAAGAGAAGAATATCGCATGATATATAGATTGGAATATATCTATATATCTATATAGCTATATAGTACTGGTGCTGTATTTATATATATATATATACAACTATGTATATTTAATTATGTATAGATATATTATATATATACATAAACATGGGTACATATACGCATTTGGAGTCTATCTTGTAGATTGGAATATCTAGATAGATAGATATATATATATTATGTATATATATATATTATGTATGTCTTATTTATATGAACAGCTCATTTACACATGTGTCAGAGATGTAAGCTTGGATTTATCGGGATGAATCATCCACCAAACCTGAGGATTGAAGCTGCAAATATGCTACAGTGTAATGGCGATGGGCCATGGATGGGATGATGGATCAATATGGGAATTCTTGTGAACAATGCTGTCAAATGGTACAGCAGGTGAACTCGTCACTTCCATATTCTGCCAGTCCAAAATAGGGAATGCCAATCGACCCACAAATTGCAGGAAATCCTCCATGTTTTGGAGGCTACCCTCCAGACATCAAATGTGGCAATGGGGAATCCCCTGCAAGTAGATTGTTTTAATGGGAAAATCACCTACAAACGTTGATTTTCCATTGCCAGGTTAGATTACCAAAGGATAAGATCCCACACTTTTCTGGTCATGTCCCATCATGACTGGTGTGTTGGCAAACTCTTAGGTGTTGAAACCATGTTCTCCCCATACATACCCAAGAAATCCAACTGACTTGGAGGCCCAGAGTCCCTCGAAACCCTCAGCCTGGAGCACTCCTTCGGCTCTGTGGGTCGGTCCAGTGACCCCGGAGATTCGCGAGACCCGAAGGTCGAAAGAGTCGGAGTGGTCAAAGCGCTCGCAGATTCTGGGGATCTTCCGCCATGGGAGTTGATGACCCCTCCCTTCAGATGCTGGAAGGAAAACTGCAGATTGTTTTTTTAGTTTTTTCGGGGATTGAAAGGGAAACCGCATTTAGAAACTGGTTTTGTTGGGGATCAACAAACCACCAAGGATGCGAAGACAAGGAAAATGCCGAAGATGCTGAAGAAGAGGAGATGGTGTCAGTGCGTTTCTGAGGAAGTGCCTTTAATGTTCTTCGAACGCCGAACGCGATTTTTTTTTTGAAGCCCGAGCATCGACAAGCTCTCAGTCTTCACGAAAATCGAAGAACCAGCTCTGGATATTGCTACCATCATGGCCATGAGGTTTTCATCCCAGCTATAGGCCTAGACTGGCCTGGACCTCTAGCCGACTTAAAGGCATTACTGGGATAGAATGATGGATATAGGATACAACATATAGATACAACATCATACATAAACATAACAATATACAACAATATATAACAACATATAAACAATAAGATGATATGTGGGTATGTCTGAAAATTGGTGGATGGGCTTAATTCATGATGTTGCGATATTGTTTAGAGAAATTAATCTATGTTCAGACAAAACCACTTGTTGTTCTTTGGAATAATGTTTCAATATGTGGTCATTATCATGTTATTATCCATGCCCTGGATTCCACAACCATCTCCGACCCAAAGCTTGAAGGGCTTGAAGGTTTCTGGGTCGAAATGTGGCCCTTTTTGAACAACAGGTAGACTGTTCATTCTTAGCATTCTCCATTTTTGTGGCAGAACTGTGACATAACTTTGATATATTCTGTCAAATTCTGTCCCTTCCTGAGATGCTCGATATGTGCGCAGATTTCTGTTGAATCCCTAAGGGAATTCAACGATACTTCGAGGACTCGGTCCTTGGCAGGAAATACCTGGAGGCGACGTTCCCCGTCGGCGATCCGAGATCCGATTGCCAAATTGATCTTTTTGAATCGGCGCACTCTGGTGCCGAATAACTGCAGATTCACCAAGATGCAGGTGCAGTTGAGGATAGTTGAGGTTTGTGTGGAGTTGACCTGGGACTCAAAATATCTCAAGATACTCAAACCAGGCAAATATTGGTGGGATTTTAGTGGATATGTCTTATACGTTTTGGAATTATTGTTTTGGATGTATGTTTCCCTGCTTTTCTGCTTTGCCCTGCTTTGGTTTTGTACTTTTCTTCTTCTTTGCTTCTCCGCTTTTCTGCCTTTTGCTTTTCTGCTTCTTTGCTTCTCCGCTTTTCTGCTTCTTTGCTTTTCCCTGTGCTTTCTTGCTTATCAAGCCTAAATAACACTATAGAAATAAGCCTAAACCACCCCAAAATGAACCCGAAATAAACTCCAAACCAAACCCTAAAACAAAACTAAACACCCCTAAATCCTTAAACTCTTCATTTGGAGCATCCCCGAGGCTTTAATGTTTTTATTTGGAGGTTCCTGAAGCTTCAAAATCTTCATTTGGAACTTTTGGGAGCTTGATAATCCTCATTTGGATTCTTCCATAGCTTCAAACTCTTTATTTGAAAGTTTTCGAAGCTTTGCATCTTCAATTAAGTAAATGCAGCTTCAATATCTTTATCATTAGTATTTTATAGCCTCTGAAGTTATGCTCACTAGTTCATCAGATTACGGTCTCATCTCCTTAAAAGCTGTCTTAACCATCTTTACTTCTTTCTATTGTTTCAAGAGAAAACCACGTGATTTTTGGTTGCTAGCCTGTCAACTAATTTGATGTTATTTCAATGAAGCAACCTGCTATATCATTTAGCTCCATCATTGGTCTGGCCACTATGCTCTCATCAAGCTGTTTAGGATATTTATTTAGATACAGTTCAAGTCTAAAGAATTGTAATCACGAAAGGTAGCCTCCAAGCGGGCTACCTTGAGTTTTACTTTGCGAAGCAAAGGGGCGGGCTGGACCCCTTATCCCTGAACGACCAGGAGAAAGGGACTCCCCCCCCTCCCGCCCCCCTCATCCTCAGCCTCAGCAGCACCATCATCATCGTCAGCATCAGCATCATCATCATCATCATCATCATCATCCTTTGCATCCTCCTCGTCGCCATCGTTCGCATCCTCCTCGTCCCCCACATCCTTGCCATCATCATCATCCTCCTCCTCCTCATCATCATCGTCATGTTACTCTGTCATCTTTCTATCATATTCATCCTCATCCTCATCATCAGCCTCAGCATCCTCATCGTCATCATCCTCCTCCCCCTCCTCATCATCCTCATGTTATTCACTTGTTCCTTCACACACAGACACTTTTACACACAGAAGCTTTTAAACACAGAAGCTTTTACACACAGAAGCTTTTACACACAGACTCCTTTACACACAGACGCTTTTACACACAGACACTTTTACACACAGACTCCTTTACACACAGACGCTTTTACGCACAGACACTTTTACACACAGACCATTTTACACACAGACACTTTTACACACAGAAGCTTTTAAACACAGAAGCTTTTACACAGAGGCTTTTACACACAGACTCGTTTACACACAGACTCCTTTACACACAGACGCTTTTGCACACAGACACTTTTACACACAGAAGCTTTTAAACACAGAAGCGTTTACACACAGACACTTTTACACACAGAAGCTTTTAAACACAGAAGCTTTTACACACAGAGGCTTTTACACACAGACGCTTTTGCACACAGACGCTTTTACACACAGACACTTTCACACACAGACTCCTTTACACACAGACGCTTTTACGCACAAACACTTTTACACACAGACCATTTTACATACAGACACTTTTACACACAGAAGCTTTTAAACACAGAAGCTTTTACACAGAGGCTTTTACACACAGACTCGTTTACACACAGACTCCTTTACACACAGACGCTTTTACACACAGACACTTTTACACACAGACCATTTTACACACAGACACTTTTACACAAAGAAGCTTTTAAACACAGAAGCTTTTACACAAAGAAGCTTTTACACACAGACGCTTTTGCACACAGACGCTTTTACACACAGACTCCTTTATACACAGACTCCTTTACACACAGACTCTTTTACAAACAGACACATTTACACACAGACTCCTTTACACACAGACGCTTTTACACACAGACACTTTTACACACAGACAATTTTACACACAGACACTTTTACACACAGAAGCTTTTAAACACAGAAGCTTTTACACACAGACTTCTTTGCACATAGACGCTTTTACACACAGACTCCTTTACACACAGACGCTTTTACACACAGAAGCTTTTAAACACAGAAGCTTTTACTTACACACAGAAACTTTTACACACAGAGGCTTTTACACACAGACTTCTTTGCACATAGACGCTTTTACACACAGACTCCTTTACACACAGACGCTTTTACACACAGACACTTTTACACACAGACGCTTTTACACACAGACACTTTTACACACAGAGGCTTTTACACACAGACTCCTTTACACACAGACGCTTTTAAACACAGAAGCTTTTACACAGAGGCTTTTACACACAGACTCGTTTACACACAGACTCCTTTACACACAGACGCTTTTGCACACAGACACTTTTACACACAGAAGCTTTTAAACACAGAAGCGTTTACACACAGACGCTTTTACACACAGAGGCTTTTACACACAGACTCCTTTACACACAGACGCTTTTACACACAGAAGCTTTTACACACAGATGCTTTTACACACAGATCCCTTTACACACAGACGCTTTTACACACAGACGCTTTTACATACAGACCCTTTTACACACAGAAGCTTTTACACACAGAAGCTTTTACACACAGAGGCTGTGACACACAGACTCCTTTACACACAGACGCTTTTACACACAGAAGTTTTTACACACAGAGGCTTTTACACACAGACTCCTTTACACACAGACGCTTTTACACACAGACACTTTTACATACAGACCCTTTTACACACAGACCCTTTTACACACAGACGCTTTTACAAACAGAAACTTTTACACACAGAAGCTTTTACACACAGACTCCTTTACACACAGACCAGAGCTGCTGCGGGTCTTGGAGAGCTATCCCATGGCTCCTGCTGCTGCAGCTGTGTTTTGCGTGGGACAAAAAGGTCACCCCTTCTGAACCCGTTTCACTTTGTATTGTAGGTCTATTCTTAGCCATGGTTGAATATAGGCTTATCCGTGGATATATGTTTTGTTCTGATCGCTCTATTGCAACTAGGGTATCACTATTTAGGCTAAGCACATTGTTTGATCAGAACATTCACTCATAAATTTTGCTAGAATGGCAACCGATACAAATTCTATAATTTACCATTCTGCAAAGGTGTCCCCAATGATAGTGATATACAGTACATATATATGTATATATATGCAATTCTAAAAGTGTGATGACGTGTATATAATGTCCAGATATGTGCTTTGCCTGCATTGCTTGTGCTTGACAATACAATATTTCCAAGCTCTCTGTTTGCTTGCAGTGTTGGTTTGTGAGAGAGACATATACAAATTACATCTGGTTACAGCAATGCCACTTTCAATTTGTCAAAGCGGCTCCTATTGACCACAGTAGTTTGCATAAGAAGGATTTCTTCCAGTGGTTCCTATCTCAAACTCATAAACTCTAAGTTTATGAAACGATTGTGCTATGTGTTGGATTGAAGCTGATCTCTGCTACGTGCATGTGGGATTTATGTTCCCTTGTTGTTGTTCTATGGTGATTGGGCAAAAGTAAGCTTGCCTATTTCATGTGCATTATTTCATGTGCATCACATAGGTTGGAACAGTTTACATGTGAGAAGAGTCATTTGCTGCATGTCCCTCCATGGTTACTGTTAACTTGTGATGTCATTTTCACTTGATTACAGAACTTGGTAGAGTCACAGATCTGCGCTCCCATTATATGTATTTTCATTCCAAACTTTCAATCATTCTAATCAATTTCAATCAGGTTGGTGTATACTCGGTAGTTATAGGTTGAGACCCAAGCAGTCTTGTGAGGTGTGGACTGCTGCAACTGCTTGCATCTCCCATGATATTGTAAAGCCCAAACTTCAGTTGCGCATGTAAAAACCACTAGCCCGAACAATTTACTGTATATGCAGGATTTGGGTCCTGACTACATCCCTCGTACACTAGTCTTTACAGACTTTACACAGCGACATGAAATAGGAAGCAGAGAGTATAGAATGGTAATGTGGCAAAAGCAAAGCAAACAACAATCAATCAATATATATATATATATATATATATATGGTCACCCCCCCTAGAACCCCCGCACACCAATATTTCATGCATATTTACAGTGAAAATACTACATAAAAAAAGACATGTTTCAATACATTTTGCACAGGACATGATATAAGACTGTATTATATAGACAAATATACAATGAAGATAACAAATAAATAAACAAATAAATAACCAAAAATAACAAAAAAAGCAAAAAGACAAAAAAAAACAAAAATACAAAAAAATAATAATAATAATAAAAACAAAAAATACCAAAAATACCCAAAAAACAAAAATACCAAAAAAAACAAAAATACAAAAAATACAAAAAATACCAATATCCTGCCCCCCCCAACAGGAGGGTCTTGTCTCAAGCATTTTTTGTTTTTTTTGGTATTTTTGTTTTTTTTGTTTTTTTTTGGTATTTTTTAGTTTTTTTGGTATTTTTTTGGTTTTGCACATTGCTGTTGCAAAGAACCTTTGGAAACTCATTTCATGTATTTGTCATCTGCAGCATTTTCACTGCAATAATATATTTCCAACCTTCAACATGCCCGCGGTCGCACGCGCTATGGCAATGGCTAAGCCAAAGCCGTATCCACTGCCAAGACCTCAGCTACTCTGCAAAAATGTCATTGTAACCTTGCTCTTCTGCCTCTACTTTTCTTGAACTATAAAAATATTGCCCTTTCAGATCAAACGACATGGAGCTCGAGGGCAGTATCGGAGGGCCAAGTCCTGAAGTGCACAGAAACCTTTGCATTTTGCAACTTTAAGAGTTGTCTCCCATCATCCCAGTCTCGTCTTCCACTTTCCCTTTTGAGGAAAATATTGCCCTTTCAGGTCGAACGACATGGAGCTCGAGGGCAGTATCAGAGGGCCAAGTCCTGAAGTGCACAGAAACCTTTGCATTTTGCAACTTTAAGAGTTGTCTCCCATCATCCCAGTCTTGTCTTCCACTTTCCCTTTTGAGGTCGGATATGTCCATTGCGGAAACGCCTTCGGAAGCGAGTTGGGCCGAGTTGTCTTTCTTTCCTTTGTGTGGCCTCTGGTGCTCGTTTGCTTGAACTTCATAGCTCGTAATGGTCTAGTCTCTGGCTCGCTCGCTCAGGTCGTGGATGGACGTGAGTGACAGCCCTATGTCGCCTGAGACACCGCCGTCCGCGCACGGGAGATGGTTGCCAGGTGGAGTTCGTTTGCCTAGTACACCACCTGAGCTGTTGCTAAACCTTCCTGGAACTCCACCTGGCACACCTCCAATGACGCCTCCAGACATACCAGCACCACGTACACCGCCCGGTCCTCCGCCAGGAACACCAGCTGCAGCGATATATAATAGCAAATTATAGCAGTACATACACACATAATACTAAAGATATAAACAACATAAACCATTAAAACAAAAAAACGCACAGCTAAATTAGATGGAAACTAGTGGAAAAACTGGGCCCCCATTTCCAACCACACTTAAATAAAAGCATAACACTACTCCTAAATTCAACCCTAATTAAACTTGAAGCCAAGCCTAAACCAGGCCCAAATATATCCTAAACCAAGAACAGTGGGAGCACCAAAATGCTACAAATACTATGGAAAAAGAGAGGTTCGAACTCCCAAATGTTGCAAATACCGTTGAAAATGGCACAGGCTGCTTCCAGCTCCAAAATGCTGCAAAGGGCAACGAAAACGGGCAGAACAGGAAATAAAGCAAACAACAACCGGAACAAACACTCCCAACAAAAATACAAAACAAAAATAATTGGGTGTGTTTGAACATGGGGGGTATACAATACAAATTGATAAAAATGGCCATAATATGGAAAATGAATGCACATCATGAGATTTCGGGGTATTCTGTATTCACAGAAACGCATTGAATTAGCTGCCGGCTCCAGTTTCAACTGTGGGAAAGCGTCCGTTTTATGCATTATTTTTTCTAAAACCTTTCTCTCTCTCTCTATATACATATATATATATTTTTTGTGTAAAATAATATATATATATATAATATTATAAATACATAAATGTAAATAGACAAGATGTCTTGGAAATGATGAGGAATTCTTAGTAGGATCTTTTGAGATTCTATTTCGGCACATTTTCAGAATTATCCCTTGCAGGTTCCGCTGAATTTTTTTAAGCGGCCAATGGCCAATGCCTTGGAAAATGGCGACTGCCACAACGGGGGTTTCGATTTTTGATTGGACACCCGTGAGGCCTGTGATGATGTAGCGCAATCTGCTGAACAACGGTTGCTTTGCTAGCTTGTGCAAATTTCGAGCAGTAGTTTCAGCACCTGGCTGATAGTTGTTGGGAGTGATTTCTCTCTGCAGGGATACTGCGGTGTCGGTTATTCTTTCCCGCTTCGGCCATGTCATCTGTCACAGTTGTGGCTGAAAAATGCAAGCGTTCTCATCAAATCTCGAGTAACACATCCAAGTCTTTTATTAGGATCATTTTGGATATATAATATTTTACATGGATATACCTATCTGTTGTTATTTTTTCTTAGTGGCTGACAAAGGATATCACATTCATTAGCAGTTTCTTGGCGCTATCCCCGCTGTCTGTCCGCTTCTTTGTTGGGTGTTTGGACCATGGCACTGCCATGTCAGATCATCACAGGCCGTGATATTCCATGGAAGCAGCGACGTCGACTTGCCGGAGAATCTGTTGCATTTTATTCATCGCAGGAAGATCTCCAATTTTAACTCTCCCCTCTCACAAGAATAAGACTATCTTTTTTTCAACCGCTCCTCCAAGAAAAAAACGGACAAATCGAGAAAGGGGCCGCCGAGAGTCGCAGATGATCCTGGCGGTAAACGAGTCGCCAGTGCTACAGAACCTACCATCGAGGGTTTATCGCCCCCATTTCCGGCGGGGATGGTTCTGATTGGGTTTATCAATGTTTATCATGGTTTATCACATGAATTTGATCATTTCTATAGTCTCTTGAAGTCTCTTGTTCTGGATGGTGAAGCATGCTTATGAAATTTACTTCTTCTTGACTCTTTCGTATATAATTGTTGTAGAGCATGTTGATTCAAGTTCGCACTGGCAGCAATGTGCTAAACCCAGTGATGAACCATCCCACCTTTACCAGAAATGATTGGAATTTCAACAATCCCCGGAGGTGTATGGAGCTTTATGGAGGTTTATGGTTGTGGCCTACCGTAGATTTACCACCTTATCACTCACTATATTAGTCTGGATAACCTTAGTAATTCACCAGCAAATGAGGCCACCCATTGCAAGACGCAGATGGCGTAATCCCATGGGGTGTTTCATGTTGGTGGAATGGGATTATATACCCAATTCATTGAGACACGTGTAGTTAAATCCCATAGTATTACCTTTCACATTCTCCCATCTTGTATTAGGAACCCCCTCATGTTTTCTCCATCAACCAGGCCATCATCTCCTTCAGAATTGCGTAGCAACAGCCAGTGGCCACTGGATTCCTACCCAGCAGCTAGAACAACTCGTCACAATTGGTGGTTTCCATTGCAAGTGAGGGTTTTAATTCGCAGAGCCGGGGATGTAATGGTCAAAATATGTCAAACAACACAGGGATTGAAACAAGAGAAACAAACACAGGGACTGAATCAACGACAAACATCGGAATTTTCTGCAACCAAGCAACGGGCTGTTCACTGGGCTGGATCGAAGAAACGGAAGGCTGAAAGAGGCCACCCATGGGAACTTTCAGCTCCCAGTCCAAAGCATTGGACTTACCAGGTGGCCCGGTCAACGGCTCAAGATTCATTCGACCATATGATTACCATCTGGTAATTTAACATAGCTATTGAAAATGACCATAGAAATAGTGGATTTACCCATTGAAAATGGTGATTTTCCATAGTTTTTTGTATGTTTACCAGAAGGTACCAACTGGTTTCATGAAACGTGGCGTGGATTGTCCAGCCAAGGAAAAGGCTTGGAGACCGAAACGCCGAAACGATCAACGCTATGGAAGTGCTATCCCAAGAAGTGTTTTTTTGAGGGAACTAGTTGGAAGAATGAATAACACTTGTTTGACTTGTTTGAGAACTTCGCATGAATCTAAGCAGAATCTAAGCAATGAGTAGCGACAGTAACAACACAGTCACCAATTGAATATTTTCCGATCAGTGGCCATGTTGCACTACTCTACCATTTATTTGAGCCAATAAAAAATTGAGACACGAAGCTATTAGCCAATTTTGATGACTCCCCTCAAGTCAAAAGTGCATAGAAATGGACTCGCGGATGAGGTTATCAGGGTCGACCCATGAATATTGGTATTGTCAAGGTTCTTATTTTGTTTCGGTTCTTGACATTTCTTGGTGATATCCTGTTTCTGCCTTACCTCTATGGTAGAAGTATATTCAATCTCAAGCAAATCCTTCTATTTCTCTCAAGATCAAATCTAATTTGTTTACCCAATTGATTTCCATGTTTGTTCATGGTACCGAGTTGAACCAATTTTCCTGCATGTTGACTGGTGACCGTGGTGCACCGGCTCAAGCTTTACATCGCCATGGCGCCATGACGGCAGCGCCGGGGCTGCTGGACGCGCCCCTGGACCCTGAACTCCTCAGAGGGGTGCCACTGAAGGTAGGAGTTTCACCATGTGGAGAAACCCACCGAAACTAGGCAGAAGCCATAAACAATGGGACTTCAGACAAAATATCATGAAAACGAGATCTAAACCGCCAAGATAGAGAGAAACAATTACCGGCAAACATTGGGATTTAAGTAACGGAAGATCGGTTCAATGGGCAAAGTTGGTAAAGTTGAGGGTCTACCTCTCCTCTTAAAAGGGAGCATGAAGTAATGTACTGTAGTACTTCTTGCGGCATGGTTCCAACATCATATTCCAGTATAGAAATCCTTCGGCTAAAGATTTGGCCCCCAACATTTTCAAGGATAAAGACCTATAGCTATGAGTTCCTCATTTTTGCCGTCAATTTTTTTGGGAGTACCATCTCCCTGAACTTCCATGGAATATTCACCAACATCTCCGGCCGATCTTCTGCCGATCTTCTGCCGTCCATTTGAACATATAGCAGCCCTTCGAAGGGCCTGGCGAACGGGAAAAACATGGAAAAACCATGGCAAAAGGGAAGTTACACCCCTTGGTCAAGAAGTGCAATTTTCCAAACGGACGAAATAATTTCAACACTTAGTCTAGTGTCTTTTTTGTTGCACACGTCCGCAGGGGGACACCTAAATTACTGTGAGCCTGTCAGGTTACCGTGGAACCTGACAGGTGGATCAAACATGCAATGCAAAGACTCCAGGCGGATCCCAAGGTAGCCAAAATTCAAAGTTTCGACTTGCACACAGACAAGTGAGATACCATGTGTCAGCAAGGACACTGGTTGCAACAAGAATAAAACACCAACTGCCAACCGCAGCACGATGCACGTTTCAAATTACTATACAGCAAGTCACTGCACCCCCCTGGGGAGAAGTTCAACACTTCACCAGGTACCAGGTACTTTTTAAAAAGCCAGCCACATGTAGGTGAATACACCATGCATGGAACGACTTGAAAGCCTGTCTTCTGGCAGCCAGGTGTGCTTGCAGGGCATCGGAAAGCACTGGAAGCGTTCCATCGCTGCGAGTGACAGTAGTTCACTGACTGTGGAGAATAGCTATGGCTTGAGCCAAAAAACAGATCCTTGGTGGATATGGTTTTGTTTTAAACTTCAGGATAGCTTAATATCGCCATATTAACATATTATTATATCATTTGATGATCTTTGATTTAATAGAGACAGTCTTGTAACCAGGGGTATCAGGCTACTCGTTTACAGTAAGATGCAATGAATTGCGAGCGCCGGGTTTGTCATGGTGATCTGTTTGGGTATCCCCATGCAGTTTGAGTTGGAACCATCATCCATCTCACAACCTCCCTCATAGTATGGGATGGTTTGAAGATAGGGGAAAAATGCCATTGGATAAAATTATGAGTACTGTAGCCATTGGATGTGGGGGTACCCTATTTTCAGACAAAACCATATATATATTTAGCATTTTGTAGCTTTACTGGATGTTTAGTTCCGCTTATCCAATTGGTAAGTAGACAGTAAGCCACAAATACCGCATTCCTTTATACAGGGGGATTCTCCCCCGAAAAACTTGATTTTTACCACTAGTTACTATATGTTACTATAGGTATGGTCCCATCCAAAACAATGGAGGAGACACAAAAATGTCAGTTTTTTTTTATATGGGATATGACTTTTCTGGGATTGCTGGCCCTGTCTCAGGATCGCATTGATTTCTTCTTCAGCCATGACTGGGAGACCTCGAGGCTGCTGAAATGGCTGAGCCTCTTGGTGATGTTTAATTCCCATGCAGCGGCCACTGCGATGATGTTGGTGGCTCGGACTGACGAGGGGAGAATGAAAAAATGCAGCGTGAATTAAAGATTGAATGGGTTGATGTGTCGCAGACAACGTTACTGATATATAGATCCTCTATATAGATCCTCTATATATATAATATATATATAATATATATATAATATATATATATATAATGTATATATATATAATATATATAATATATATATAATATATAATATATATATAATATATATATATATATATCATTATAATTATTGATTGATTGATATTAATTGTGATTGTTGTTTAGTTTCTTGCTTTCAGCCTGCTTGCTTTAGAATGAATCCTTTGGTCATGCTGCATGAGATCAAAACCTTTCAAAACCTTTCAAAACCTTTCCCTGAGTGTTTCCAATATGAATATGGTCCCGAGTTGAGGTTGGAAGAATGGTTCAAGCGGAGGTGGTTTGGCTTTGCGATAGCCTAACTTCGCCTATTTTACCATCCTTTCATGGGCAAACACAAGCTACCCAGTAACTCAAATTAAGATCACAATTTCCAGCTACAGTGTCTACTGACAGCAGACTTAAAGTAAAGCTACACATATCATCCGTGGCGATGCGGTCTCCCAAATAACTCTCTCTCTCTATATATATAATATCCATGTAGATATAAACAGCACTAACCTCCATACATCCATCCATGCACCCATCCGTCAATCCGTCCATCCGTCCATCCCTGCATACATCCATACATCCAGACACGCACACATCGACACATCCATACATCCACACATCCACATATCCCCATATCCACATATCCCCATATCCACAGAGCCAGACATCCATACATCCACACATCCATCCATCCGTCCGTCCCTCCATCCATCCGTACATCCATACATAGATACATACATACATAGATAGATAGATAAATAGATAGATAGATAGATAGATAGATGGATACATACATACATACATACACACATACACGCATACACACACATACACATACACACATACACACATACACACATACCTACATACATACATACATACATACATACAGACAGACAGACAGACAGACAGACATACCTACATACCTACATACATACATACCTACATACCTACATCCTACATACCTACATACCTACATACATACATAGATGCATAGATACATAGATACATAGATACATAGATACATAGATACAAAGATACATAGATACATAGATAGATGGATGGATGGATAGATAGATAGATAGATTACATCTACATTTACATTTACATTTACATATACATTTACATTTACATTTACACTTACATTTACATTTACGTTACATTAGATTACATACATACACACACGCACACATCAATAGATTCTACAGTTAATGGGTTTCCCTCCAGTTGTGTTTGCTGGTACCCCAGTTGTATTTTAATAATTGTGGAGTTGCAACACGACTTAGCCCACGAACTGGACACAACCTTGTACGTCAACAATCCTCATAATAAATGGTGGCTGACTGATGTTTTTTTTGGGGATTTAACAACCATTTCTAAGGGATTTACTGGGTTTTAAGTATCAAACATATGGGCATATCATTGATAAATGATGATTGGTCGATGATCATTTTACCAAAATATCGGAACAAATCAATCCATTAGGGGAATCCCCTTCGCGTCCAAGCTGTTTTGATCACTGCCCACATGTTCTTCGCATACCTGGCTGGTTTCAAATATGTTCAAGCTATGAGGGTCTCCCATAGCTTGTCACATCTGATGGCTCAACCACCAACCAGAAACCACTTGGGATGAGAGGCCACCAGAAGCCACAGAAAAGTATTGTGGATATTACAATCTGGGAGGTGATGAAGTTCTAATTATGATCTCACTTTAATTGTCATATCATAATTATTTCATATTAAATTACATATTGGGTATTCCAATAGATGTGTAACTACGATATTTACCTGACTAAATGGAAATAACCATGCCTTTTAAGGATTATTTTCATGACCAAGAAGAATTTCCAAATATGTCCAATGATAATACAATGGATATGTTTGTATGGAATTATCACGGTATACTAGCATATTCTGTAATACCAGGCAGTGCAAGGCACGCGCCGGGGCGGAAGTTTCGAAATAGGACAAGGCTATAGGAAACAGTTTGCTTATAGGAATTCTTGGTGAATTGGAAAGAAATGAATGAACTCAAAATGAATGATTTGAAATGACATGACATGAAATGAAAGGGAAGCGCCATGAATGAATGAATGAATGAATCAATGAATGAATGAATGGATGGCTGACTGACTGAATGAATGAATGAATGAATGAATGAACGAATGAATGAAATGAATGAATGGATGACTGACATGAAATAACATGAAATGAAAGGACACATGCAACAAACCAAAAGCAAACAAGCTAACCCGATATCGCGAAACGGTTTAGTCAAAACGCTTTCTTACAAATTTAGATGTCTTGCTGAATGAGGCGATCGCCACGGTAAGAAAAGCGCGATATATTAACTTTTTTTAAAGCCTCGTAAACAATGCTTTTAAAGCTCCAAGAGACGCGGTGAACGTAGGGGGTACGAGTGGCTAACGGACGTGGTGACGAACGTAAGGCGAACGAGTGAACGGACGAGTGCACGTGTGAGCGAACGAGTGAACGGACGTGTGCGTACAAGTGGACGGACGTGTGCGCGTACGTGCGTGCGTTTGCACGTTCACTGGCCGCGTGCGCGCGCACGTACGAAAATAAGGTCGACTGGAGTCGACCTTATTTCTGTACGTGCAAAGCGCTACAATACTAAATCAATACTAAAGAGGCAGGGTCGTGCAAAAATAAGGTCGACTCAAGTCGACCTTATTTTCGTACGTGCGCGCGCGCGTGGCGAGTGACCGTGCAAACGCACGGACGTACGCTCACACGTTCGCTCGTACGTACGCTCACTCGTACATATACATACGTTCGCACGTACGTTCACTCGCACGCATGTCGTTCACACACACGTTCATACCCCCGTTCATGTCACTCGTCACTACACGCACGCTAGATAACAAAAATATTTTTACGAGACTTTAAAAAAAGCTAAGCGATATATACATAATTCTCTCTCTCTATATATATATATAATGTTGGTTCCTGATTAGTGTGTGGCCCCCCCCCTCCCCTAAACTATATCTGGACTCTCTTTAAAGTAGAAAAGCAAAAAAAATCTTCCCAAAAGAAAAACATATGCTCGATTAAGTAAGGATTTCAATTGGCTACAATGGAAATCTAGTTACTATTGTTTTTTTGCCGATGAAGTTGTGGTATTTGTAGTACTTGTAGTACTTGTAGTACTTGTAGTACTTGTAGTACTTGTAGTACATGTAGTACTTGTAGTACTTGTAGTACTTGTAGTATTTGTAGTACTTGTAGTAATTGTAGTACTTGTAGTACTTGTAGTACTTGTAGTACTTGTAGTACTTGCAGTACTTGTAGTACTTGTAGTACTTGTAGTAATTGTAGTACTTGTAGTACTTGTAGTACTTGCAGTACTTGTAGTACTTGTAGTACTTGTAGTACTTGTAGTACTTGTAGTACTTGTGGTACTTGTAGTACTTGTAGTACTTGTAGTACTTGTAGTACTTGTAGTACTTGTAGTACTTGTGGTACTTGTAGTACCTGTAGTACATGTAGTACTTGTAGTACTTGTAGTACTTGTAGTACTTGTAGTACTTGTAGTGCTTGCAGTACTTGTAGTACTTGTAGTACTTGTAGTACTTGTAGTACTTGTGGAAAAGCTGTTCTTTAATAAGGGTTTAATATCCTTTGGGAAAGGCTTGGAGTTTGAATTTGGCAATTTTGGAACAGGCTTGCTTCCCTTCTGGGCTTCCAGGGGCTGCTTTGGCACAGCTTGCTGCAATAGTGAGCCCAGCAAACAAACCTACTAAAGTGAAATGGAGCCTCTCCTGGTCCAGGGCCTTGGAAAATTGTGGAAAAGCTGTTCTTTAATAAGGGTTTAATAAGGGATTGGTTCCTTTGGGAAAGGCTTGGTGTTTGAATTTGGCAATTTTGGCAAAGGCTTGCTTCCCTTCTGGGCTTCCAGGAGCTGCTCTGGCACAGCTTGCTGCAATAGTGAACCCAGCAAACAAACCTACCTTGACTGAGCTACAGCGTTTTTGAGAAAAGAATGCCTCTCAGCAATTACAGTTTTTTTGCAAAAAAAAGGGCTCTCCCAATTTTGTTTTGCCACAAAAGCGAACCCTCCAAACAATACATGAGTTTCAGAATAATTTGGAAAAATTGCCACAATAGCGACCCTAGGTACTAATCAGGACCCAACATTATACGTATATATATATATATATATATAATCAACTGCACACACCGTGAAATCAAACTTCTCTTAATTGATCGGTCGGATCTTTGTCGGGCGAACAGCTGAGAATTCGGGGAGTCACATGGATATATGCACTTTCAGAAGTTGGAGTTGCAACTTTCAAATGCACTCGGCTTTCGACTTGGAGATTTGCTTCCTGTTGAAGCACTTGTTTTTTACGTTTTTTTTTTGTGCTCAACTATACTACTATACTTGATGATGATGTGGTTGACTTATGAAATCGAGCTCTCGCTACAATCTCGTGCACCTTTTGCCGACCTCATCTTCCAAAAGTGCGCCGAGACCGACAGTTCTTTTAACATTTTCAAGTGGAAATTGAGCTCTTGCTACAGTCTCGCGCACCTTTTGCCGATCCGCCCCGACCATTTTTTTTACGATTTGTATGTGAAATCGAGCTCTCGCTACGGTCCTGTGCATTTTGTCGACCTCATCTTCCAAAAGTGCTCCGAGACCGCCAGTTTTTTACGATTGTCGAGCTCTCGCTACAGTCTTGTGCACTTTTTGTCTACCATTTTCCCCGATCGAGCCGCGCACCCGCGGAAACAGAGACCCCCCTTCGGCGACCACGGCAGCCAGTTTACCAGAAAAAAATACAGGGTTTTGCGCCCGAGAGTGTTTTCAAGCCTGAATTGACGCGTTCCCGATCTCTCACGCTTCCCAACTACTTGCATGTGTTTGCCATGATGATTGAGGTGATGATGTGGTGGCCATCATGGTGAGAAAGCTAGCCATGACAATCGTTCGGAATTCAGAAGTTTCCTAACAAAACTTCCTTTGATTATGTAATTGTCCGATGCCAAGGTGTAATTCAATATTATAGGTTCCTTGAGATTAGTTATGATTTAACGATATTTCGAAAAATGGTATGGATATTTCATCATACATAAATGACATCAATATCGGTGAATATTAACGGTTGATATGGATACCAGTTAACAATATGCTAATCAAGTCATCAATACAAAGGTAAATCACGACATTAATTAAAAAAAAAACTAATATATCCATGTCAATATATATCCACATGAATATCCAATCATCCAGTCATCAACTAGATGAATATAATCTATCAATCACATGATGATTCATCCACATATGTTTGAAATTTGTATCCATATCATATAGATAAATGTTGATAAGTGTGTTGAATATCCATTAATCAATCGTCTTCATCAATGAAATCATCTATTTCCACAGCCTCAACTCGCTGTTGAAGGTGACCACCTGCCTGGTCGTTCTGGCTGCCATGGGAGGCCATGGCGGCATGGCAGCTAGTTCGGGGTGCTTCGCTACATGGTTTAGGTGAAACCAAGCCGCAGAGCTGGATGAAATCAGGATGGTTTCCTTCTCTGTGATGTCAAATCTGTTTGATGTTCAAACACATGGATGGGGCTTCCATTCCATGGGGGTAACCCAACACATAGCTGGAAACTAAAAAAACATGGACAATCATGGGCAATCCTAAAATAACCACCCAAAAAATGAGTTGGGTGTTTCACCATGACCACCATGACTTTGGAATCCTATGAAAACATCCATTTTGGAGGATGATCCTCGCCACGATGGCCAGGTCTCCCCATGGTCCTCTGGCCTTGGCTCCCGGTGTTTTCAATGCTCAGCTATGCCGTAGCTGGGCGACATCAGCTCTGCATCCAGGGCAGATGTTTGGCCACGGTTTTATCACGGATTATCCATGGTGTAAAATGAATTTATATCCGCTAAGATTTGTGGTTATCATGGTTTATCATGGTTGTTCATGGTTTATCATGGTTTATCATGGTTTATCATGGTCTGTTCACTGGTGATTTGGAATAATAATAACATATAAAAACATTTTACTGCGACGCGCATCCAAGTACACAATAGTTTTTTTTGTGTGAAAACAGAAAAGCAGCCGGATCACTGGTTTCCTGCCAGTGCCAGATTATTTTTTTGAAGTGCGCGGGCGCAGAGGCGAAACCAGCAGGGGTGAAACAGATGCCAGTACGTGCCAGTATAATTACCCTCTGGTAATTTAACATAACTATGGAACATCACCATTTTTAATGGGAAAACTCACTATAAATGGCCATTTTCAATAGCTATGTTAAATTACCAGAGGGTATACATTTTCCCAATAGTCAAATCCCCAATTTTAATTCCTTGGATGGCTCCGATATTGGGTGCTGGTGAAATCCCCAGTTGATGTCAATTTCCTCACTGTTACCCTCTCTATCCCCATGGTTGAATCCTCATGACCATTCCCATCCCTACCAACATGAATTAACAGAAATGACCTCAATGTTCAGATTCGAAAATTCCATGGAGAAAAAAGGGGATTCATGGGATTGGTGCCCATTGGTGCCCATCGTCCCGATGACTCAGGTGATGTTTCTTTTTTGGCAACGGTTTCGCTCTTTTTGTGGGAAACCTCTGCTGGTCTTCCTGGATGCTCGCTATGCTCGCTGGGGCCCCATGAGGTAAATGGACAAACGCCATGCTTAATACTGTTTAATATTTAAATCATCATGAACCATCTATAGATGGACCATTGTCCAATGCTATGTCAGCTAAGCAGAGGGATCCAGAGGGTATATAGAGTCGAGTTTTTTTAGTCCTAATAGTTAATAGCATGATTGTGTATGCATATTGTACATACTATATACTAACACATATTAACACATACACAGAAGCGTATGCATGTATCTATAAATGCTGCAAGATACTGTATTGTGCCGATGTCTATGTTTATTTTTCTTTCGATAGTGTGTACAACAGCACCAACATGTTTGTATAAATGACTGTGGCGAATACAAGCACATCCTGTGCTGGTAGACATCCCGTAGAGATTAAGTATGATGAAGTATAGAAATTTACATGGAGCTTCCTCAAATTGGGGTACTGTACCCCAAAATGATTAAATCGATGGTTTATAATCGAAAATCCTTTTTAGATGATTTTAGATGGATGATTTAGGGGTACCCCCCCCCATTTTAGGAAACCTCCATATTATAGTAGGACACTGTATCATATATTTAGTATCTATCAATGTATCTCAAACATTGGATTTTTCGCCCCACGTTTTGGGAACCGCATTGCAGCTCTAAGGACCGTCTATGCATCGCGCAACATGATATGGCGCTGAAGGAGCAAGGCATTCGAGGCCTTGGATCCTTCCTGGAGAAATCGCAGAATCTCACCATCCTCTGGTCCGGCCGCTACTTCTCGCGCTTGTCACTGGTGAAAACCATGGAGGAAGTCATTGGCATGGTGAAAGAAACCAGTTATATATATGCTACATGGAATATCCAGGAGTATCCCAACTTGTATATTGGTGATGATCTCTCAAACTTGTTTGGCATATCATGTTTGAGGATGGGCTAATTCCATGTTCATAACCTCAAAAGTGTGGTCTGCACCGAAACAGAATGATCGGAATGTTTCTGAGTATTTTTCAGCAAGGTTATGCTTGATTTTGGTTTTCCAGTTTGTTCTATCAAACAGACATGAAAAAGCGTTTCTTCAGTTTGTATTTAGATTTGATCAAGTCACTCATCTTCTCCTAGCAATAAGTATGCTGTCATCAGACATGGCGGGGTGCAAAACCCACAATTTATGTCTCACATGTTTCTCAATATAAACCCTGCATGTTTATGGGTTGTCCTGTTGCATTCCCATAATTTCCTATGAATTTGCAAATGTAAGACCTTCATTTGATTGTCGACCTAAAGGTCCATGTAGAGATTGTCAATTACAAAGGCCGCCAGGGTTCCGACATGAGACCCCGCGAAAGTTTTTTTTCTTGACTTCGCGATTTTTTTGCGAATGATTTTAACATGTCATGAGACCCTTGCGAAAGATAAACGTGGGGTTCGCGCAAGATTCGCGGAAGTATTTTGTTTCATTCGCAAAAAATGGCCGTTTGCAGATAAAGGAATTTAGATCAACCGCCATTGATTTCCCAGCCATGGCTGATGACACCCCTCGATTTCCTTCCAAATCGAGGTGGTGCCTGTATGAAGTCGCATCCTACCTGAAAGATGAAAGGAGCGAGCATAAGAACATTCAAATTCTGCCTGTCCACCTCTGTGACTCGCTTCCGGTTATGGCCCGCGAATGGGGGTAATACCCAATTTTCATACCGTTGTGAGCCCGATAAGCCAGCTAGCGTGTTTTGAAGCCATGAACAGAGGATGAATTAAAATAATGAAACAACTGTTCATGCCATGTGAAGTACTGTAGATTTCCTCTTCCGAGGCCCTTCTTTTATTGGGAGGTCACTGGTATCACTGAGGCGGTCAGGAGACCCACGGGCAATGAAGGTTTTGGAAGATCCCTCTTGAAATTTGTGTTCTGTCCGTTGTCTTGCTTAACATGTCATGTTCGCTTGCAATATCTTGCAATCTTATAATATGCGTTTTCCCTCTTTGTGACAAGACTCATGTTTGTTTTTGAGCGTTGACTACACAGAACATTTTCAGGACCATTGGACCCCCACCCCCAAGTGTTTTGATGTGTTTTCATGGTCAAACTCTAGTTTCCTAGATTTACCATGGTTTATCCTTCACGACGCACTCTGTTTCGCCCAGGTTTACTGCTGTGTATTGCATCCGCACAAGCCACGAGTTGGATGTTTGCTATCCATTTGGCAGTGGGCACCATGGGCGTGGATGGCTGGTGGATCATTGAAAATCCAGTGCTGTTCAACCTCTTTGGGCGCGGGGGTGCGGCATTCATCCCCGTCGCCTTGTACGTGGCTGGGACGACGGACGTGGGGCCCGTGGGGCCCGTGGGGCCCGTGGGGCCCGTGGGGGTTGGGTCAGTTTGGGTCCACTGATCATGGACCCTTCCCAATGTCATCACACGGGGTCAGCTGCAACTGTGGCCAATTGTTCCTTTAATGCGCCAATTCGATACAACCCATGTGCCAAAACTTGGGGCTGAGCACCCTGGTGATTTGAAGGCTCTAAAGCCAGACTTCTCCTTGGAACTCGCCCACATATAAACAAGATAACACCTTGCTATACCTTGCTATTTAAATCTATTTCCATCCGCCAGCCAACAAAAGGCAAGGTCAGCGGCAAGCTTTATATCTAACCATTTGTGTCCTCTTAGGTGGGTTTGGGCTGTATGACAAGACTCTACCAACTGCCTCGACAGCTGCAAAATTTTCGAGTTCAGGTGCAGCGTGGGTGAGGAATTCCCAGTCGAACCCTGTTGATGTTAATCTTGAAGTGCAGTGACGTGAGGAGAGTGCCATTCTACTTCCTGAATGTTGCGGGTTGAGTGATTGCGGGTTGAGTGAGATTGCTGTAATCCACTGTTCATGGGAATCTGGTTGGACTAGATGTGGATTTGATCAAAGAACATACACTGACCAAAGCATGGAATTGGCTAAGCAAAAAGGATCAAAAAGTAAACAGACTCAGACAAACAGGAAAACAGGGCACGCAGACGGATACCAACCAGGAACCATATGTAAGTTTGTCCAATAATTGGGAATACCTCAGAATGACAATTTTAGTCGAGAAAACATGTTCAAACCAGTGGACTTGAGGGGTATCCTCTGTACAAACCTTCTACACAGTTGCTACAGGTCAAAAGTAGAGACACTCCGGGCGTTGCAGACTTGCCAATATTTTGCTGTGAATAGTGAGCAGTTCACCTTTGAGTGGTACAGCAGTGGCCATCCAGTATCTCAAGTTAGATCACTTTAGACTGCATTTCATTAACTAGTGCAGTTCATTGCATAGCTGAACCCTGACGAATCACAGTGCCGGCAAGTGTGCATGACCATCATGTTAAACTTGCCAGCGTGGGGCACCCCCAAATTTTACTGGTTTATGATCATGTTCCCTCTTAAACCTACTGTAGTACTTTGATGTACTTTGTGTGAACACTCTGTAAGATGGACAAATTCTGACCTCAGGAAAGCTCCTCGGGCTCCCCGGTGATTGTTTTGTTTCGACATGTTTCGACCACAGGACGCCCAGTGCTTTTGTTGCTCCAATGGCCATCAGCATCCAGAGACCGGCAAAGAACTTCCGTGCGATCGAAGGTTGGGATCGGTTTTTGGATGCGACACAGCAGAATCTCTACACAACACACAGCAGGATACAGCTTAGATACGCATATCCAGACTGTAATCCGATATGAGATATCATAAGATATATTATACTCGTATATATAATGTAACATATAAGTTCTAACTACACCAACTGCCTATATATATATAATATATATAATATATATATATATATATACTATTTTATACCTATGCACATATACAGTCCATGGAGTCAAGTGGTCTAGTCGCATCGATTCCTTGATTCAGTGCTCTGCGACTTGCTTGCTGGCTGGCTGGCTGGCTGGCTGCTTGCTTATTGGTAACCCTTTCGACTCAGTGTGCCAATGATTTTATAATTATATATATATATATATAAAAATGTTCCTTCCAGAGCAAGCGCTTACTGTTTTTGATGTCTTCTTCAGAACGCGGTGTGCCTTGCAAGCGACACAATGCAATGACTTTGCCGTGACTTAGTGGTGGCGCGATGTGCCATGGGCTCTTGCTGCCGTGGGCCCTTCTGCAATGACTATGCTCCGGTTGTATTTGCTTTCGAAAGGATTTTCAAGGTCTCAAGGTTGTATTTTCACACATGACGAATGCAATGTAAACATGACTTGATGTGACCCTGCTGCGACCCCCTTTCATCGATTTCTCCGCAAGCTAAATGCATGGATTTGACAAAACATGTGACTAAACCAGCCGACTGTACCACGGGTGCAAATACCCTCTGGTAAACTAACATAGCTATGGAAAATCACTATTTTTAATGGGTAAATCCACTATAAATGACCATTTTCAATAGCTATGTTAGTTCACCAGAGGGTGTGTTTTTTTCATCCCCTTTTCATCCATTCTCACGGCATAGCATTCGCTACGCCTTTTGCTTCGGCTCGTTTCGAGGCTGGTCTTCAGTGCCTTGGAGAAGTGGTTCAGCCGGGACGATGACGTCGACGGCGATTGGATGGAGCGCTTCAATCGGATGCTGAGCTGATGGGAGGTCGAGCGGAGCTTAACATGTAGCAACATATAGAAGCCCAACCCTACTATAATGCATATTAGTGCTATCAAAGATTGTCAGGGTAGCTGGCTGGTGGTTTCAAACTACATTATAACTTATAATTACATAATATTTATATATATATATATATTATAATTTATATTATATAATATATATATATATACATTATGTGTGTATATATATATATATATATTCTGTAAATATTTATATATATATAAGTATATATGTATATATACAAGTATATATATATATATATATTATATATAACATATATATATATATACAGGAGTTCTAGTTACACACGAACAAAAAAAATGCTGGGGTTATGAACAAAAAGGGCTCAATTGACGTACAAACATGGGACTGAAATAGAATTACTTGGTTTGATGGGGATAGATAATGATGGAAAATGGCCCATCGCAAGAAAAACAATAAAAACGGGTTGGTATTTTAAAAGTTGGTGGATCAACCGACAAGAAAAACAGTTCAAACAAACACCAGAAGTACTCCCACAGCATAGAACAGCAGAGGTAGAATAAGACCCGCCCAATTTTTGGGATATCTGACGAGGATTTGAAGCATATCATTTCACTTCAAGTGGCAAATCTTGGGTGCAAGGACTGGCAGCCGAACTGATTTTCACACATCTCAGGTCAACACAGTCACATTTCAATCGTTGAATATCATGTCGAGCAGTATCGTTCATAGTGTCATAGCGCACGCGGGGGTGTGTATGTATGTGTAGATCCTGCCAGTAAGTACGTGCAGAGTGACATGAAAGTTTTACGGGTAAAAGGATTTGCTTTCATTTGGCGCATGTAGAAGTGACTTTTATCCGGATAATGCATGGCGGATTTTTAAATGTTGAATGCAGACGGCCATCCCTTTCATCTTGTTGGTCAACGAAGTAGCCAGTGATGAGAACTGTAAACATACCGGCAGTTGCTGGGTGTGAGACACGGCTGCAATGCCACTAAAGTTCGCTAAAAAATACTAAAAAGGTAGAACCAATCTTTTCCATAAACCCCTAAGGAAACATCAAGGCGAGGTCAAGATCATTGATGCGATCTTGGCCAAATCAAGTTCAGCAGTGTGTATGCTAGTAGGCAATTAAGTAAGTAGAGAATTGCTGAAGATCTATCATTACTTAATAACTAGGTAAATAATAAATGAATAAGTGAGTAAGCAGGTAAGTGACCATGGTTTGTTCGAATTCTCCTACCACAAGGCTAAGCAAGCCACTTGTAGAATTTGTGGGGCCATAGCTGCCAGAGCTTGCGTTACAACTGAGTGAGTGGGGGTTTTACTTATAACATCTTGTAGCTACCTACAGTAGATCCTCCAATTACCCATTTAAAATATGACTTTTTGCACCACATTTAGATACGTAAGTACTTTGGGACCTGCATGTTACTGGGTTAACGGGATATAGGACTATGTAAATTTCGACGGAAAACCGGGAGGTTGAATCGTTTAGTGCCAGTTTTCCATTAAATTCCTGGGTTGCCTGTCCCCGTCGAAAGCCTCAGGATGGTTCGAGAGAAACTGAGCAGCCGCATCGCTCACACCGTTGGACGAGGTTTACCACCTTTCAAATATGTCCCGCGGCCGACGGAGATGGATATGGATCAACCCCCCTTGGTACATCTTGGTACCCTGTACTGATTCGATGTTCATTGGATCCAAAAATATGGATCCATATAGGTGTAGGTGTTGAGGTATTCCCGTTTGGTAGCAGCTGAAATTCCACAGCCTGACATCTTCCGAACCGTCAGGTTTTGGAGACATTTGGACTGTACAAGTTCACGCGAATGGATCTTTTTTTTGTCAGGTTTCCAAGAACTCAGATAAATCAGGTACTTTGGTATTAGGCAATTCAAAATTTCCTCCACAAAAAGGCAGACACCCACTGGTGAAATGGGGAATTTGATACAGCAGCAACGCCAGAGAGGGAATTCTTTGACCCACTGGTCGCCGGGTTTTGGATCAAAATGGATCGGTGGAACTTGGAACCACCAGAATTCGGGCACCTTAAGAGGGTGAAGCTTCACATCCCATTTTTGGCATTTTTCCGTGTCAACCTTGGTTAGATTTTTTAGGTCATTTTTCTAGCTAGAAATGCGTTTCAACGTAGCTGGTGAATATGGTAAACCTGCCATAAACCATCCCCGATTTGCCAGAAATAGGTGGCAAACATCCATTCCAAACAATTAGAGGTTTATGACATTGGGTTTATATGGGTTTACCACATAATGTATTTATTAGGGTAGTCCATTCTGCCCAATACGACCCAGGTCTTATCCACGGTTTGTGTGGCTCCCGTTCCTTACATCGGTTTCTTCATCGTAGCTACTTGGTGGCAGATGCAATTCCTGAAAGAAGATGATGTAAACATCCAAAATGGTGGTTCAGCCATTAAGAAATAGTGATTTAATATGATTTAATATGATTTATATAGCTATCGATAACCTTGGTGATGTGTATTCACTGTATTCTTTATCTTAGTTGTATTTAGCTGTATTTTTGTATTTTTTATTTTTTTTTGGGCCTGAGATATTTTTTGTATTTTTTTGTTTGGCTAAGCTATTTGAGAATCTCGTTTGTTTCAACAATGGCTGATTTGGAATACCCTTTGCAACCCTAACTTGTGACATCTAAGACATGTACGGAACATGTTGTTTGTTTCCTTGGTCCTTTCCTTTGCAAATTTCATACATATTCGTACACTTTTTTTCACTTTCCATTGGCTCTTTCAATTTTTCTCATCGAGACAGCTGAAGAGGTATTTGAAATTATTGCTGGTTTATTTTTATTTCTCGTTTGCAATTTGGGTCAGTAGCTGTCAAACACAACAGCAGCATTGCTGCTTTTGCAATGGCAGATGGCTTCGATCCAAGTGGCATGTCTTGGGCTTGAAATGGGGCTCACAGTTCCGTATTTCGTATCATCACCCAGAGCTGGGAACTTGGTTGCGCACGCCATGGTGTGTTGACTGCAGGGTTCTAGCCAAAGCGGATTGACAAGCGTCTGAGCAAACAATGAAATCACAAAGCCCATTTACATGCAAAAAAAAACTTTCCAAAAACATGAAAGGACAAAGGCGGGCTCTGGAGCTTCAAGAGGGCGGTGGCTGTTCGGCTGCTTCGGCTGCTTCGGCTCAGCATGTCCACGCAGCGAGGAGGGCTGTTTCGGCCCTTCAGACTCGGCTCCTGCTTGCGAAGTGTTTTCAAATTTTGACCTCAAGTGAGGCTGCTTCGGCATTAGCGGTAGCTGTTTCAGCCAAGCCCTTGCAGCATCAGGTAAGCTGCTTCCGGCTGTCAAAGCTGCTTTGGCTTGTTTTGACGCTGTTCCGACTTCTCACTTTGAAGCTGCGTTACATACTTAGTCAGTTTTTGTACATAGCAGGTCGCGATGGACTTCTCGCAAAAATAGGAATTGGCTGGGGTGGGTTGAAGCGTCAGGGTAAAGACTTTGGGTTTCTGGTCGAATCTACCAATGGGTTGAATCTAAGAGACGATTACCCACAAATATTGGGAGATTCAACGAAAGCTTTGATTTGGAGACAGTCTTGGCTACTTAATATGTGTTTTTTTGTCCTCTCCTTAGGAGCATCAAAAAAAATTCAACGGACCTCGAATCAACGGGTGGGAATGTCCTCTCCTTAGGAGCTTCGGGTTTGTCCTTGAAGCTCCTAAGGGGAGGACGACACGGGGACGAAACTGGAATACTCTAGTATGAGTTTTTCAAAGGCCTTTGTCCCATTGTTGCCCTCTCCTTAGGAGCCTCGGGGACGTCCTTGAACCTCCTAAGGACAGGACGAATTGTCCTCTCCTTAGGAGCATGCCTGAGATCCGCTTCGCTTCAGGAGCCTCGGCTCAAGCACTTCACGGAAGCTTGTGGCTGAAAACTGGCCACACTATCTCTACGCCAAAGAGGTGGCAACTGAGTGTCTCGGCTACTGTAGCTGTAGCTGCTGCGGCCACTTAGCTGCTTCGGCTTTTGGTGGCTGCTTTGGCCACAAGTATGCCACCGCGGCATCGACCAATGTCAGATCAGCTGGAAAGGGCCGGATCTTAGCCACATAGACTGCGGCGGGGTGCTGTCTTCAAAGTCGGATGTGAGATGCAAAAAAATGACAAGTGGAAAAGTGGATAAACATGCGTTGCGGCAGCTGCAGACACCCTGTAGACTCAGTTCAGGAAACAGCAATTGATTTATAACAGGTGCAACGAAGATTAAAAAAGGCTCACACATTTCAATTTCAAGGCGTTTCCTTCTGCAGCTGTTTCAGCCCAAGCAAGCTGACTCAGAATCAGCCAGCTGTGCACTCTGTAGTGCTAAGGACCCTTTAAATCAAGCAAGCTGAAAGAGACCTGCCCTTAGTCCAAATACGGATAGTTGGAACTTTGGGGCTCGAAAAGCGTTTCAGAAGCACCGCAAGTTGAAATGCAGCAAGTGGGGATCTCGTGGGCCGCCCATATTGCATATTAAGAAAGGGGGGCCAAAGATGACTTTGCCAAAGCTGAAGTCAGCTTGGTATTCCAACCGTGGCTGTTTCAGCCAAGGTCTGTGTCGGATTTGTTGGATGGTGGCTGTTTCGGCCATCAACAGGTCTGTTTCAGTTTTTAACCCAATTGCTTCAATCAAAACGCAAAAAGATATTTACAAAATTCGTCTGCTACCGGGGGAAAAAGCGTGGCCATGGCTCTTGAGATATTTTTCTCAAAGTTGGTGTTGAGCACTGTGTCGCAAATCTTTGTCGCGACTAAGTTGCAGTCTTAAGTTTGCGTTGGTCTTTTACATTCTACTTCAAGGTTGTTTATTGTGAAGCCCCTCTTGTTATGTTGCGGCAAAGTTCAAGGAAGAAAGACGTGAAAGATATTTGTTGTTCTCGTTTGCGCCTCTTCCTTTTTGTTGGATTTCTCGTTGACGGCCCAAAATAAAAAAAACAACAAAAATACAGCCAAATACAACTAAGTTATTCATCAGGGTAATTCTAGGTTTGGATGCGCCCTTGCAGAAAGGTTTTCTGGTTTGGAGGGTGCATATTTGCATAATCTTTTGTGACAACACAAATGTTTTCTGGCCTGCATTGCGGAAGATGACGTGCGCGTGTGTTTTTCAGGTGTGTCACTAGCAAGCTACTTTAGTTGGGAATAAGTCAAACAACCGGTGGTCATATTTTCGACGGTATAACATAGAGAAGAATGTGTTCAATTATTTTCACATGTTTCTCTTCAAACAGTGTGTATATATATTGTAATATTAATATATTGTATTACTTTAACCATTCCCAAAATTGAAGATGTCATTCGTTCATAGCACTACAGCATTGACGATCAACGGGCCCACCGGGCCGCCGCTCATTACTTTCGACTTTCAAATGGGGCAACACCAAATGCCGTTTCCCCATTGAAAAAGAAGTTTCCGCAGCTGCCGCAGCTGAGGTTTCTTTCATGGGACTTGAGGACGAAGAAATTGAGACCTGGATCTGCTTAAGGTATCTTACGGAAATTCTTAAGGTTGTTTTTGTGTTCTTCACGAGGCATAAAATCATGCAAAATCCTCCCTGGCGCTTCCAAGGATGGCCATGACTTGGATAAGGAGGATGACATGGTCTTCTTCGTGCTGGTTGCTTGGTGCAAGTCTCGGGCCACGGTCTTGGCGTTTTTGTGTGATGTATCATGGTGTATCATGGTGTAGCATAGGCAGGGTAGCCTAGCGGGTCCCATGTTGCGCCAATATGTCAGACGTATGTCATGCCATGCCCAAGCTTGGAGTTTGCGATCAACTGCATCCAAGCCTTCGGTGATTTGCCAGTCCTCAAGGGTGTGAAAATCAATGTGAATAACACCTATAACATCAGATGAAGCAGAACATATTGTCTGTAGCAATTTTAATCAGGCGACCCAGATATCGCATGATATCGCAACATTTGAAGTTCCCGATCCCTGACCATATATATATAAATATATATATATATATGGGTTAGTATTTTTTCCGTGGTCCTAGATATGTATTGGTGGAAGGTGGCGCTCTTGCGAAGCATACCCCCGAAGCACACCCCGAAGCATAGCCCCGAAGCATACCCCGAAGCAAACCCCCAAAATGAAGATCATTTTTGAGGGCTTGTTGATGGTTGTTGTTTGGAGATCATGGGTCGCGACACTTGCTTCATGCTGCCTTTAGGCGCCCTTTGCGCCATCCCGCCCTCCATCCCCGCAGTCTGGCTGCCCTATGCAGCCAAGTAGGTTGAAGACAGCTTCGGTGCTGACAGGCCGCTGTAGCTTCATGCTGCCTTTAGGCCCCTTTGCGCCATCCCGCCCTCCATCCCCGCAGTCTGGCTGCCCTATGCAGCCAAGTAGGTTGAAGACAGCTTCGGTGCTGACAGGCCGCTGTAGCTTCATGCTGCCTTTAGGCGCCCTTTGCGCCATCCCGCCCTCCATCCCCGCAGTCTGGCTGCCCTGTGCAGACAAGTAGGTTGAAGACAGCTTCGGTGCTGACTGGCCGCTGTAGCTTCATTGTGGCGATACCGTTTGCATCGACCAGCTTCTGGTGCTGACTGGCCGTTGTAGCTCCTGTCTAGATCTGATACGGTGTGCTGAATAGTGCTCCGCGAATCATACCCGAATCATACCCGAACCACACCCGTTTCATACCTCAAACCTTCAACTTCCAGACCCTGGCACATTTTGAACGCGTGAGTAAGATACTTCACATCTCTGCATAACCCTGAAAATAAGACATCCTTGCCCATACCGCCATGGCACCAAAGCTATGGCTTGAACCAACCACCTGTTGTCAGGAACAAACGTGCTTCCTACAGCCAGCTATACCTTGAACCAACTATACCTGCTGTCAGAACTAGCCTCGGGCTTCACCTGTACTTGGGAAAGCCAGACTCTGGCCTTGGCGGTTGATTTAGACCAGAAAACCATACGTGTCTCTCTCTCTCTCTCTGTATATATATATAATATATATATATATATGTGTGCAAGGATATACACAGAGATATATAAAAGGTTGGAAAGTTTGTTGGAAGCGTTGCAAGCCTCTTAGATATGAAGTAAGTTCCATGTGATGAAGTTCACGCGAAGCAGACCCCGAAGCATACCCCCGAAGCAAACCCCGAAGCATACCTCCGAAGCATACCCCCTAGACAAACCTTCCAGTGGGGATACGGTATTTCCAGACGAACCATATATATATATATGACCATATATATATATACATATATCATATGATAATATCAAATAATTTCCCACCTGGTCTCTAGATTTTATCACAGGCTTCCCCGCCTCCTTTTCTCCTTTTCTCCTCTTCTCCTCTTCTCCCCGTCCCCAACCGCGAGCTCCAGAGATCAGTGCGCACTGCTGGACTTCAACCGCGAGCGCCAGATCTCAGTGGGCGCTGCCGGACCTCAACCGCAAGTTCCAGAGCTCAGTGGGCGCTGCCGGACCTCAGCTAGATGCCAGAGAGAATGTCTGATAGAATGCCAGAATAAATTTGCCATATATCATATATATTTCAGATGGTATGTCAGAAACTATGTCAGAATTGTGTTTCAGGGTGGGGATCACTTGAAGAAAGTAATATGGACGTTTTATCAATCGCTATAGGTCTATGATGATAAGTATTGAATGCAACCATCAGCAATGTAATTTTTTGGGTTGGATTGAGATCTGGGTGTGCCATTCCCACTTGCTGTTTGGGGCAACATCCTCCGTGGCATTTCTTAAAGGTTTGCTTTGTACCACAGCCATGATTCAACTATGGCTGCTTTGGGGACTTCACTTTGCACTTCAATTGCCAATTCAGTTTCCAGAAACAGTGACAGCAGGGTTATCGCCACATTTGAGGCAGAGTTGATGGAGTTTCTGCTTCCGCCTCTATATGGTGCCGTGGTGCACTCTTGGGTTGTGGTCGAAGGCAGTATATGTCACTAGTCATTAGTCCAATCCCAAGTCTTGGAAATTGCTGATTAAGGCTTGCTAGAAGCCAGAATGTGTGGGTTTGCGGATTGAAAGTTTGGCCCAGGACCTTGGGTTCTTGAAAACAGGAAAGTATCTGCGAGGACAAAAATCAACTCCTTGTTTCCCAGAATTTGTTGAACGAGACCTAATTTACAGCACATCCATTGCTTTACGGGCACAAACAGTACAAACCATGGTTTCCTGCAATGGTTATCAAAGGAGCTGGTTGCATCATGAATCATGCCCAGAGCTAGAAGTGCAGCGGTCAACTGGTTGATGTTCAGGTCATGTTTTTACCGTTTTACCCACCATAAATGTGAGATTTGCTAACTAAAAGCGGGAATATCAGGTGGCAAAGCTGCGGGCAACAATCCCATTCCCCATCCCATTCCCCATCCCATTCCCTCAAGAACAATCCACCTTACATGGGTCCTGAGACATGAACAGATCAGATCAGATCCACCACATTTCACCATGGTTTGTACACTTTATGATCTTTATGCTTGGGTGGAAGGGATGGCTTTCGACATTTCTAGAATGCACGCCTCCAGGTGTGTTCTGCCTTCTCTTGATCATTCAAGTCTCTTGGAACAAATTTGTGTGGGCTTACCAGCCTTGAAAGCGTCCAATCCGCCACGAAGCTCAGAAATTCCGCCACGGGGCTCCAATGAACAGTACTGAAAAACCCAAGTTTTAGCCACCAGGGACGATGTTACCATTGAAAGGATCCAAGAGAACCAGTTTTGTTCACTGCTGAAGTGGACTATCGCAAATCTCATCGCCAATGAAAATTGGGTTCTTTCACAGGGAGTATCAATGGTTTTTGAGGTTTGAGACTTTCTCCGTAGTAAATTTGTCAGAAGGTTTCACGTTCCACCAAGCACGTACATTCACTGTTTGAAGGTGTTCATTATTTTTCTTTCCCATTTCTGGTTTGGAAGACAAACCGCTGCCACAAATTGTTAGGATGGATGATTTGACAAATCAATGAGTCAACGATACACAACAAGGTGGCTGCGGCAGAGACACTTCTGGGAACCACGTGTCACCCAAGGTTTGCCGTTTGGTTTTTTACTTCTTCCAGTGGCTTTGCTGCATCAGAGGAAGATGGAGGTGTGCGTCAAGATGCATTACGGTCTTGGCCCTTGGTGGTCCAAAGTCGAGACTCTCAACTTCTGATGAATACAGTATTCCAAAGCGTGCTTGCAGATGGTGTCCATCTTTATGATCTGATCTTTCTGTGCCTAGCATCTAAGAGTGTGCCATAGTGTACCCAGCTTTGTTTCCATCATGTCAATATTGATGTGTAAATTGTATGCAATATCCTAGTCACCTAGTCTGTGAGGATTGAAACTTTCCCCAAGTTTAAGACCGTGGTTGACCAGAGCGACCAAAACACTTAGGAACAATGGCAGAATGGCAGTCCCCTTTAAACAGTTTCTTTCTTCAGGACTGAAATATACCTTTTGGTGATTTGTTTTTGGTGGGATGAGCTAGGTTTACAATACTATTGATCCCACAACAATTCAATCTAGGCAGATCAAAGATCTAGGTCCGTTGCATACAAAGATAACCACCGCACCTCAAGCATATGACAATATTTCATAGATATAACATGATATAACAAAGAAAGGATACAAACTGAAATTCCTAAAACATTAAAATATTATATAGATATACAATATATATTGAACACGCTGTAAATTAATATTACACAATATTACCATATTTATATGCCTGTGTATAAATATATATATATATATATAGAAGCGATACCGTGGACGTATGGTTGGATTTGCTCCATCCTCATGGCGTTTCTTTGATTCCCACAAATGGATGAAGGACATATTTCATCCGGGACCCAGCTTATGTTTGGTTGTGAAAGCCATGGTTCCCTTCAATCTCCAGCAATTCAAGATATATTGCAAACCCACCATGACAGTAAATCATTGTGCTTGGCTTTCCCCAAGGGTTCACCAGATATAACTTGTAACTAACTCACAACTGTATTAGTTCACAGGAGGGTAAATGTTTCCTTCAACTAATTATTTTCAGATCGATTGATTGTCACAATTTGTCGGGTATCTCCCTATATCATGAAAATTCCAGATAGAACATCCCAATCAACCCCATGAATCATGAAGATGAATAATTGAATATATATATATATATATTTAATACATAATATATATAATATATAATATGTATATAATATATATATATATATTTGTATATATGGTACATATTATATTCCATTCCATCCCATTCCATTTTTCATCCCAGGAAATTGGGAATTTCGACTTCCGTTCTTGCTCACCCCTGTCGACGTGCTTTGCTCGCTCTGCTGATCAGTCCGATGTTGTGGGTGACTCGGGCTGGGCCTGGATGAACTTGCGAAGTTGTGGATCTGATTTTGAACAAGTCACTAAGTCCCAACAATCCATCTGATTTTTTCCCGAATGCGTGGCAAGGGTTCCCGTTTCACTCCGGGGGTCTGGGGGTTGAGGGTGTGTTCCCTCGACGTTGCGTTTATGTTCGCAACCGTTCGCAACCGTCCGCGCGAGCCCCGTATGGCCGTGCCTATGGTAAGTTCTGCAAAAGGGGTCACTTTTGGATACTTGTGGAGGTTGCACATGTCGCGTTGCTTCGTTTCGCGTGGCATGTGTGGCACTTCGTGACATCCCGACGTGTTTTGTAAGGTGTCGAAAATCGTTTTGTGTGGCAGGCCCAATACTTTTGCGACGTTTTCAGAAGATGCGTTGCAGTTTTCGTGGAGGAAGTCTCGCACGAAATGCTCGTTTTGAAGCTCCCACTCGACGTGTCTCGTCTCGAGTCTCTGGTTTTCCTGTGGCCTCGTCGTGTCTATGGGGGAAGCTGCAAAACCTCTCCTTTTCGAAGGTCTCCAAGCAGGTTGTCACGTTTTGCGTGGCAGGCGCGGCGCTTTGTGACATTCCAACCTGTGTGATAACGTGTCCAAAGTCGTTTTGTGTGGCAGGCGCAATACTTTTGCACTCCACACTCCACCCTTTACACTTCACACTCCACACTTTACACTCTACACTGTACACTCTACACTTTACACTCCACAATCCACACTCTACACTCCACACTCTACACTTTACACTCCACACTTTACACTCCACACTCCACATTTTGCACTTTACACTCCACTTTTTACACTGTACACGCCACACTCTACACCTTACACTTTACACTCAATACTTTAGACTTTACACTCCCCACTCCACACTCCACACTCTACACTTTACACTCCACACTTTACACTCCACACTCCACACTTTACACTCCACACTCTACACTCCACACTTTACACTCTACACTGTGCACTCTACACTTTACACTCCACAATCCACACTCTCCACTCCACACTCTACACTTTACACTCCACACTTTACACTCCACACTCCACATTTTGCACTTTACACTCCACTTTTTACACTGTACACTCCACACTCTACACCTTACACTTTACACTCAATACTTTAGACTTTACACTCCCCACTCCCCACTCCACACTCTACACTTTACACTCCACACTTTACACTTTACACTCCACACTTTACACTCCACACTCTACACTCCACACTCTACACTCCACACTTTACACTCCACACTCTACACTTTACACTCCACACTTTACACTTTACACTCCGCACTTTACATTTCACACTTTACACTCTACACTTTACAGTCTACACGTTGCACTCCACACTCTACACTCCACACTCTACACTCCAACACTCTACACTCCACACTTCTCACTCCAAACTCCAGACTCTACACTTTACACTCCACACTCCACACTTTACACTCCACACTTCGCACTCCACGCTTTACACTTGACACTTTGCACTCCACACTCTACGCTCCACACTTCACACTCCACCCTTTACACTTTACACTTTACACTTTACACTCCATACTTTACACTCCAGACTCTACACTCCGCACTCCACACTTAGCGCGCCACCTTCTTCCATATTCCACAGTCTACGGTGCACTGGTATGAAAACAGGGGAAAAATACAAGACTGTTCAAATCAACTGTTTCACAAAAGTGTTCTACGTGACTGCATATCCATGTGTTTCGACATCTGTACCATTAAATTAACATACGTGTGAGCATTCGGGTTCGTGGGCTGCATCTTGTTTACAAAACAAGTCCCTGCTTAATCCCTGCTGTCATGTTAGATTGAACACTGTCCCGACGTCCCGACAACTGTTTGGCGACAATTTGGACGTTGCTTTGGTTCACTGTTGATGGCCAAACATATCAATGGAAGCTGTGGCCCATGAATACTTTGATGACTTACCTTTGTCGAACATGTGATAGCAATCTGTGAAATTAATAGCAGTACGTTTGCGAACAGTGGTTGTTTGTTACTGTGGTATCTCTTATACCATTTTTTCTCCATCTTATATCCATCTTATTTCCATATTGTTTATCCACTTAAAAAGATGTTCGACACCAATTCCCACACCTCTGGGAGGATTGTCCCAGGCCGTGTTGGTCTTTGGCATTTGGGTGCCTATGATAGGAGCTGAGTCTGTTGGCGGTACCGAGGTTTTCGCTTCGGTGGTTGGTTAAAAATGGGCCCGTGACATTTTAATGGTAAAATGGTGCTGAGGTTAATGAGACCATAATGAGACCCTAATGTTCATATAAAATATGTTAAGTTTATAATATAGCAGGACCTTCCAACGTAGCACTTTTTTTTGCCCCTATGGTCATTCGATACAGAAATCGACAACTCGATACACTTTTCCCAGTTCGTAGCGCAAATTTCTGATCCGAACAATTTTCCTGAGTTCGACCTATTTTCTCTTGGCTACCCGAGCTCGACTGAAAACAGGAATTGTTTGCTTTGATGCGACACTAGCTCACCGAAAATTTGCGCAAAAAGAACGCAAATATCCGCAAAAAGCAAATTCAAAAACTGTAGCAAATCCAACTGACAATGTGGAAGGAATGAACCCCCTCGAGCATTTTTTCTGCAAAAGAGCAGTTTTTTGCAAACGAGCGAATATCCACAGCACGAGCAATGAAATAAAATCGATACACAAATAAATGTATCATTGGACGGTCTTGGTAAGCATAATTTGAGTCCTTCCTAAGAGTTGTAACAGTCAAAAAAAGGATTTCTTTATATTTTGGGCGAACGTTGTTTTGAGTGTTTTCCTGAGTTCGGTGCTTTCCCTCGTGCAAAAAAATCGTGCTCTAGATCGTGCTTTTTGGTGCCCTCCTTCGTGCACAAAATCGTGCTTTTTGGTGCTCTCCCTCGTGCCAAAAATTGTGCTTTTCGGTGCTCTCCCTCTTGCCAAAAACCGTGCTCTAGATCGTGCTTTTGGTGCTCTCCTTTGCCAAAAACCGTGCTCTAGATCGTGCTTTTGGTGCTCTCCTTCGTGCAATGCTCTCCTTTGTCGAAGCATCGTGCTCTAGATCGTGCTTTTTGATGCTCTCTTCGTGGACAAAATCGTGGTTTTTGGTGCTTTCCCTCGTGCCGAAAATCGTGTTTTTTGGTGCTCCTCGTGCCAAAAACCATGGTCTAGATCGTGCTTTTTGGTGCTCTCCTTCGTGCCAAAAATCGTGCTTTTTGGTGCTCTCCTTCGTGCCAGAAATCGTGCTTTTTGGTGCTTTCCCTCGTGCCAAAAATTGTGCTCTAGATCGTGCTTTTTGGTGCTCTCCTTTGCCAAAAATCGTGCTCTGGATCGTGCTCGCTGTTACAGCTATTAGGCTAGTTTTAAAACAACGTTATTTACAATGCTGCATTTTGATGATTACATCATGAAAATCAACCGAACGATGATGCGTTCAGTAGTTTGTCTATTGTAACAACATTGTTGCATCTATTGTTTAATGTAGCAACATTGCCATACTTTATTCCATCAACGTGTATGACATTGCAAGAGCTTCTGTTTTTGCGGTTTTTTGGAGGTGGGATTCGTCGGTGAATCCTCCACCAAACTTCGCTTAATTTGGTGATGCCCAGAGCTTAAGAGAAAACCGTTTAGGAAATTTGGATGGAACAAATTACCTTTTTTTAGTATACATATAGTCTATATATAGTATATATGTATTTAATTATATATATATATACATCTATCTTTGTCAGGCATGTGTGGGTTTGACAGGCGAAAGGCTGCATGAAGTATTCTCTGAAATGTCTGTCAGGTGCTTTGCGCTTTCTAGCTGTTATTGAACCCAAACCAAATGTTCCATACATCGTCCAATGTTATGTAGGCAACTCGCTCCATCCCTGCGCGCAATAGAAAGGAGTGCTTGCTGATCATTTGCAGAGATTATATGAATCACACTTATATATATATATGTACATACACCATATTTGTGGGGATGGTCACGTCCATAAATCCCTTCTTATTTGGGGGTGAACAGAAGGATGCATTCAGCAGCTGAGTTTTGACCAGAAGTCCAGGAGAATTTTCCGATGGAGGGGAGTTACTGCCAGAGGTGAAGGGCATCCTCTACTTGCTGCAGCTTGCTGTGAGTTAGTTAGGTAATGTTAGGTATAAATCCTATTAAATCCCATGTAAATCCCATATGAATCCCATAAAGTCCTTCTAAATCCCATTAAACCCTTATTGTTGTTGCTTAAATCAAATCAGCCATTTTTCTTGGGTTGCTGGGTCCCCATCAGGCCTCCACTTTTCTCTACTTGTCACAAACCTTATTGGTGAATGGCATGGACAGCGGCTGTAGAAGATCCTGTTCATGGCGCATGGGATGGGTGCCTTCAGGGTTGATTGAAGTACCCGTACTTCAAGCTTTCAGGATCACTGCAAAGACCCCTTGTGAGCGCTGAAAATAGTGGTAAGGAGACTTTAGTTGACCCAAAGTCGCTGAGTTCTTTGAGCTGTTCATCGTTATTCAATGCTATTCTTCGGGTGAATTGAGTGAAATGCACTGTGATCGGTGGCAAAGCAAGCACATGACCGGATGCCAAGCCGAATCTGGAGAGTGAACGATCTACTGTATCTGAATCACCCTGAATCGGTTTACCCTGGGTAAACTAACATGGATGGGAAAACCCCTGAAAACTAATGTTTTTCATCGTTTCCCTAGGAATTTATCAATTAATGGTCGATGTTCCATATATGTCCATTTTATATGTCCATATAATATGTCCATATAAACAGTAGGGTACCCAAACTTTATCGAAGTAATCCCCATAGGTTCGGACCCGAGAAGCACTTGTTAAATCCCCCAGACCTGAAGTCACTGTGGCCACTAGATCTGAATCTCTTGCCTGTAAATGGAGACTGCGCCACCTCAACATTCTGGGCAAAAAAGAGCAATCTTACAAAGGCATGATGATTATGGGGATCATCCGCAAAAATCGGTATTTGTTGGGCTCATATCCTATCATCTAAACATAATTTAATCACAATCGGCATCCACATATTATTATCAGTGCATAGATGGGCATACTTACTAGCCATCTTTTTTTGAAGCAGGGTATCTGAGCCTGGCCGTGTTTAGGAATGAGACAGATTTGTCAGCGATAATGATAACGATGATGCTTCGCAATTTATGACAGGTATCCCTAGGTGAGTAACTGGGCTTCTCTGAGCTCAATATCCCCCTTTTTTTCCCAAGTTCAAATGCCCGAGATGTGGCATGAGATGCGCATAGTATCAACCAGTGAAACCAAGTTCGACATGGGTGTGTAAGATGGTGTAAGTGTATGTATATAATTTACCCTCTGGTAATTTTACATAGCTATGGTGAATGGTCAGGAAAATCGAAAATCACGATGTTCAATAGGCAAATCATCATAAATCATCCATTTCTATGGACCATTTTCAATAGCTATGTAACAAATTACCGGAGAAAACACAAATATTCAGCCAGTTACTTGGGCTATATCCCAGTACCCTTGCAACCCTTGCAACCCTTGGAACCCTTGGAACCCTTGGAACCCTTGGAACCCTTGGAACCCTTGGAACCCTTAGAACCGTTGGAACCCTTGGAACCCTTGGAACCCTTGGAAATTTAACCCTTGGAACCCTTGGAACCCTTGGAACCCTTGGAACCCTTGGAACCCTTGGAACCCTTGGAACCCTTGGAACCCATGGAACCCTTGAAACCCATGGAACCCTTGGAAGTCTTGGAACCCTTGGAACCCTTGGAACCCTTGGAACCCTTGGAGCCCTTGGAGCCCTTGGAACCCTTGGAACCCTTGGAACCCTTGGGCCCTGGGTCACTGCGATTCGTTGCGGGACGTGCGGCTCAGGTACTGCGCGCTGGTGGGTGCCTTCTTCTTTCTGCCCGAGCTGGACTGTTCGCAGCCAGGCGCCGAGGATACGATGGGTATACAATGGGATACGGCCTCGCCAATATGTGGCTGGTTTCAAGTAACCAAAATGGATGGTATGACTTCCATGTATTGCGATATGTGTATATATATATATTATATTAGATATAGCTGATATAACTAGCAGTGGTGAATTTTGACATAATTCAGCCAGATACATGGAGCATATGGACCATAATTCATCCATGAACCACAACCACAAGAAGGGCCCCCAGGGCATCAGTGGCTTTATACCCCCATCATCCCCGATCAACTGTAGATATCTCTACAAAGCATACATGTGTGTATAGATGGATGGATGGATAGGTGGGTGGGTGGGTGGATGGATGGATAAATGGATGCATGGATGCATGGATGGAAGGATGGAAGGATGGAAGGATAAATCGACAGATCGACAGGTCGACAGATCGACAGGACGACAGATTGACCGATAGACAGACAGATTGACAGACAGAGAGACAGACAGACAGATAGACAGACAGACAGATGGACAGATAGACAGACAGACAGATAGACAGAATAGACAGATAGACAGACAGACAGATAGGCAGACAGACAGGCAGACAAACAGATAAATAGAGAGATAGAGAGATAGACAGATAGATAGACAATCAGATAGATAGATACACAGGCAGATAGATAGACAGACAGACAGCCAGATCGATAAATGGACAGACAGATAGATAGACAGATTTATAGATAGACAGACAGACAAACAAACAGATAGAAAGATAGACAGACAGACAGATAGACAGACAGACAGATGGACAGATAGACAGACAGACAGATAGACAGAATAGACAGATAGACAGACAGACAGATAGGCAGACAGACAGGCAGACAAACAGATAAATAGAGAGATAGAGAGATAGACAGATAGATAGACAATCAGATAGATAGATACACAGGCAGATAGATAGACAGACAGACAGCCAGATCGATAAATGGACAGACAGATAGATAGACAGATTTATAGATAGACAGACAGACAAACAAACAGATAGAAAGATAGACAGACAGACAGATAGACAGACAGACAGATGGACAGATAGACAGACAGACAGATAGACAGAATAGACAGATAGACAGACAGACAGATAGGCAGACAGACAGGCAGACAAACAGATAAATAGAGAGATAGACAGATAGACAGACAGACAGATAGACAGACAGGTAGACAGACAGACAGACAGATAGACAGACAGATAGACAGACGGACAGATAGACAGACAGACAGATAGACAGATAGACAGATAGACAGACAGATAGACAGATAGACAGATAGACAGACAGACAGATAGACAGACAGGCAGACAGATATATAGACAGATTGATAGATAGACAGACAGACAGACAGATAGACAGACAGACAGATAGACAGACAGGCAGACAGATATATAGACTGATTGGTAGATAGACAGACAGATAGACAGACAGATAGACAGACAGACAGATAGACAGACAGGCAGACAGATATATAGACCCAGATATATAGACCGATTGGTAGATAGACAGACAGATTGATAGATAGACAGACAGATCGATAGATGAATTTGGCCTAGGTATAAACCAACTATTTGTGAAATCTAGGAGGCCTAACATTTCTACCAGCCAGGCGTGTCCACCAACGGTGGCACTTGGCGAGACCCTGGCACCATCCTCGGCAGCGGCGAGATCCCGTCAATCTCCGGGACGGCTCTGAAACCAGGTGGGGTGGAGATTATGGGGGGGCCATAGGGTTCGTGCGGGGATTATTTACGTATGTATATTCCCTTAGCTGCTAGACCCTTTAAAATTAAAGGGTTTGCAGACAAACTTCGGGTTTTGGTTCAAATCCTGCAATTCAAAACAACTGATGAACATCAAGATGATGGCAACAACTATAATCCGCACGAATGGCCTGTTGCAGAAGAAAATTGAGTGGAAGAAGGATTCTTGTGCGGAAAAAAAAGGCTCCAACTCAAACCCGTACTGAACCCGTACTGAACCCAGAATTTACTAACCCATATTTTTAGCATAGAAAACTCGCCGAAACCTCGGGTTTTCAAACCCCGTACTGAACCCGTACTAAACCCATATTTTCCCGTATCAACCCATTATTTTTTAATGGGTTTGATTGGCCCGTATGGGAGCCAAATTTTGCATGGTCCGTGAGGGAACATCGTGAACCGGGAAAGAAAATGAAATCGTTGCACCAAACTTTGGTAAAATTGCTGAACCCTTTAATTTTAAAGGTAAAGGTCTTGGTTGGTCAAGGTATATATATATACACATATATATATACACACATGATTAGGGCTGATGTAAATGTGGGGCCTAATTATATGGGTGAATCGGAATTACCTCAGTGCGATATCACGCGAAATGATGATAGCTAAGTGTGCGGGCCGATGATTCAGTTTGGTGAATATACAGCAAACACATGGGGATTGGTTGAGCAGGTTTCAAATTGCCAAATTTGACTTGGATTCACATATTGTCCAAGAGATTTGTGACTTATTTTCATGACTGGTAGCTGTTTATTGGGTAAGCTGCCATTTCCAGGCGATGAAAATCACGACGGTGATGAACAATTCTTGAGATTCCAACTGCCAGAATCAACTGCTCGATGTGTTGTTGTTTCTTGCGTGGTGCAATTGCTATTTTGGGGAGTGAAAAATTCAATCAACAAACACCAGGAACACATGGAAACATTCCATGAGACACTTGGAACACTGACTGCTGAGGTGTTGATTCGGCGATGGGAGAAGACCTTTGTCGAGAAATTGAAGAAGAACTCATGTCGGTGCGTTTTTGAGGAAACTCTGGAAGCTGTGCGCTTCCGGGCCTCAAACAAACAGGGAAAAAACACACGGTCTGCTGTAAATGGTCCATATCCTCTGAGCTGGTATAGTCTACAGTTGCTATATCCAACATGATTAGGATTCATCATGGATTTTGTAAATTTGCCATCCTTACATCATGGCTTCAAGTCGATACTGAGATCTCCGCATTTCGGCTGGTGGCCCCTTGGACACAGAGGATCCAATGAAGAAGTCATCAGAAGTCATTCAAAAGGCGAAAACCATCATTTTAAAATATTATTCATGGGTAAACAATGTATACATAATGTTTATCATCTATGGGCCGTTTTCGCTATGTTAAATGACCAGAGGGTAGGCTGAAACCATCAGTGTGATTGTTGTTGCTCAGGGACCCCCTGCTAATAGGCGGATCTATTGCAAGCTACGGATGAGGGTCTCTGTCAACTAGCATCAACCAATGGAAATGGGGTCTCAAAAACGATTGCTGATTTGCCTCTGAATTTGGTTCGTTTTTTGACGAGTTCGGCCGCTGGCTATTGAGAAACTTTGGTGAGTGCAATCATTGCATATTCATTTGTCTTGATCAACTTCGGGGGTCCTCTGACCCAGACCCTGTGTTGAGCTCTGACATTTCCGCTGTGCCATAGCAAAGTTGGAGGCTCCCAAAGGGAACGTTACCAACGTTGAGTTGCGAGTTGCACATGTTGGAACCAAATTCTGGATATATATATATATAGTAGATTCACCGGCTTGGATGAGCGGAAAGTTGTAGCAATCCAATTTGGTAAACGATCGTCCGAGTGTCCATTATCAACTTACTTTGCCAAGCATTTTCCATGCAGCAATCGCATCGGATGCGCCAGAACGCACATGTCAAGTCTGTTGCTGAAGAGCAGCAGGTGCCAACAAGATCCTGAAGTGCTTTCACATCCTCCACTAGTTCTATCATCTTCTATCCTTCACCCCTAATATTAAAGACATTTAAAGACCCTTGAAATACGGTGCTTGATATGGTGCTTGTTTCATGGGGATGATGTGTGATGTTGATCGGCTCCGAAATCAGCTTATTTGATCATTTGATACAGTATACATCAGTAATCATCAGTAATCATCAGTATACCAACCACAGAAAAACTTCGCAAAAAATTGGATCCATTCATTTAGGATAGGACTACCCCTGTCAGAGAGGTACCCTTGAACCCGCCATGGCCGATGGACCTATGGATTTCTCTGGATCCATGGTTTTCCTCCCTTTGAGTTGATGGCAGTGGAAAAAGAAAAGGACGGACAACATGGTCAGGTGCTGCCAGAAATGCTGCAGCAGAAATTAGTGCTGTCAATGCCAGACTTTTGATGCCTTTCATGGAGCCATTCTTCTAGTTGGACTGAATATTGAACACCCTTTTTTTTTAATGGCCATTTAACAGGAACCTTACTGTTGCCTTATATGGTACTAACGTACCTTCATTGATCCTGGAGATCTCCCATTGATGGGTCTGCTCGGAGTTTAGGGATGGGATGATTCAGTCCATGCCCCTTGGCGCCAGGGACGATGAGAAGAGGAACTATGCGGAACTCATTGGGTGCCAAGAAGCCAGGAGATCAGGGCCGCTACAAAGGTTGGGTTGTTGTTCCCGAGAGCGTCTGAGCGCAGGGTTCTTCCAATAGTGGGGGTCTGTAAAACATCTTCTCATCTTCACATCTTCTCTCACATCTGCTCATCTTCACATCTTCTCTCACATCTTCTCTCACATCTGCTCATCTTCGCATCTGCTCATCTTCACATCTTCTCTCACATCTTCTCTCACATCTGCTCATCTTCTCTTCACATCTTCTCTCACATCTTCTCTCACATCTTCTCTCACATCTTCTCTCACTGCTCATCTTTCTTCATATCTTCTCTCACATCTTCTCTCACATCTGCTCATCTTCACATCTGCTCATCTTCACATTTGCTCATCTTCACATCTTCTCTCACATCTTCTCTCACATCTGCTCATCTTCACATCTTCTCTCACATCTTCTCTCACATCTGCTCATCTTCACATCTGCTCATCTTCACATCTTCTCTCACATCTGCTCATCTTCACATCTGCTCATCTTCACATCTGCTCATCTTCACACCTTCTCTCACATCTTCACATCTGCTCATCTTCACATCTTCTCTCACATCTCTCTCACATCTTCTCTCACATCTGCTCATCTTCACATCTTCTCTCACATCTTCTCTTAGATATTCTCTCACATCTTCTCTCACATCTTCTCTCACATCTGCTCATCTTCACATCTTCTCTCACATCTGCTCATCTTCACATCTGCTCATCTTCACATCTTCTCTCACACCTGCTCATCTTCACATCTTCTCTCACATCTTCTCTCACATCTGCTCATCTTCACATCTGCTCATGTCCACATCTTCTCTCACATCTGCTCATCTTCACATCTGCTCATCTTCACATCTGCTCATCTTCACATCTTCTCATCTTCACATCTGCTCATCTTCACACCTGCTCATCTTCACATCTGCTCATCTTCACATCTGCTCATCTTCACATCTGCTCATCTTCACATCTTCTCTTCACATCTGCTCATCTTCACATCTGCTCATCTTCACATCTGCTCATCTTCACATCTGCTCATCTTCACATCTGCTCATCTTCACATCTGCTCATCTTCACATCTGCTCATCTTCACATCTGCTCATCTTGCTCATCTTCACATCTGCTCATCTTCACATCTGCTCATCTTCACACCTGCTCATCTTCACATCTGCTCATCTTCACATCTGCTCATCTTCACATCTGCTCATCTTCACATCTGCCTTTTCTCTCTCCCTTTTCTCTCTCTCGCCTTCTTTATCTTTCTCTCTTAAGGCCGAGGGTGGTGCCGGCGGCGAGTCACGAAACGTCAACCCTTTCGCACGAAATGAGGGTCGATCGTCAAAAACTGCGGAAAAATTGCGATTTTACTTGCCCCGGAGCAACCCTTTCGCACGAAATGAGGGTCGATCGTCAAAAACTGCGGAAAAATTGCGATTTTACTTGCCCCGGAGCAACCCTTTCGCACGAAATGAGGGTCGATCGGCAAAAACTGAGGTAAAATTGCGATTTTTTACTTGTCCTGGGCAAACCTTTCGCACGAAAGAGGGTCGATCGTCAAAAAAAACTGAAGAACCATTGCGCTTTTCCTGTGCCGGACTTGTCTGTGTGTAAAAGACTGTGTGTGCAAAAGCGTTTGTGTGCAAAAGCGTGTGTGTGTAAAAGCGTCTGTGTGTAAAAGCTTCTGTGTGTAAAAGCGTCTGTGTGTAAAAGCGTCTGTGTGTCAAAGCGTCTGTGTGTGTCTGTGTGTAAAAGCGTCTGTGTGTAAAAGCGTCTGTGTGTAAAAGGGTCTGTGTGTAAAAGCTCTGTGTGTAAAAAGCCTCCTGTGTGTAACAGCGTCTGTTGTGTCAAAGAGTTGTGTGGTAAAAGCATTTCTGTGTGTCAAGGTAGTCTGTGTAAAAGCGCGTGGCAAAAAGCGTCTGTGTGCAAAAGCGTTCTGTGTGTAAAGGCATCTGTGGGTACAAGGTTGTGGTGTTGTAAAAGCGTCTGTTTGTGTAAAAGCCCTGTGTGCAAAAGCGTCTGTGTGTCAAAGCATCTTGTGTAAAAAGAGTATGTGTGTGTAAAAGCGTACTGTGTGTAAGCGCCTGGTGCAAAAGCGTCTGTGTGTCAAAGCGTCTGTGTGTGCAAAAGGTGTGTGTGAAAACTAGTGTGGTAAAAGCGGTGTGGGTAAACAAGGTCTGTGTGTAAAAGCGTCTGTTTGTAAAGCGTCTGTGTGTAAAAGTGTTTGTGTGTAAAAGCTTCTGCGTGTAAAAGCGTCTGTGTGTAAAAGCGTCTGTGTGTAAAAGCGTCTGTGTGTAAAAGCCTCTGTGTGTAAAAGCGTCTGTGTGTCAAAGCGTCTGTGTGTAAAAGCATCTGTGTGTCAAAGCGTCTGTGCGTAAAAGCATCTGTGTGTAAAAGCGTCTGTGTGTAAAAGCGTCTGTGTGTAAAAGCGTTTGTGTGTAAAAGCCTCTGTGTGTAAAAGCGTCTGTGTGTAAAAGGGTCTGTGTGAAAAAGCGTCTGTGTGTAAAAGCGTCTGTGTGTAAAAGCGTCTGTGTGTAAAAGCGTCTGTGTGTAAAAGCGTCTCTGTGTAAAAGCGTCTGTGTGTAAAAGCTTCTGTGTGCAAAAGCCTCTGTGTGTAAACGGGTCTGTGTGTCAAAGCGTCTGTGTGTAAAAGCGTCTGTGTGTAAAGGCGTCTGTGTGTAAAAGCGCTTGTGTGTAAAAGCGTCTGTGTGTAAAAGTCTCTGTGTGTAAAAGCGTCTGTGTGTAAAAGAGCCTGTGTGTAAAAAGCGTCTGTGTGTAAAAGCGTCTGTGTTTAAAAGCGTCTGTGTGTAAAAGCGTCTGTGTGTAAAAGCGTCTGTGTGTAAAAGCTTCTGTGTGTAAAAGCGTCTGTGTATGTAAAAGTCTCTGTGTGTAAAAGTGTTTGGGTGTAAAAGTCTCTGTATGCAAAATCGTCTGTGTGTAAATTGTCTGTGTGTAAAAGTCTCTGTGTGCAAAAGCGTCTGTCTGTAAAAAGTTCTGTGTATGAAAAACTTTACAAAAATACGATGCAAACTATTGTCTTGTACTAGTCATATACTGTCTTGATACTACTCTTCTCGTCTGCCTATAATACATCTTTATCATATTATCTTGTAATATAGTGTCTCCATACTAACAACAGAAGACTCTGCTCCTCTACGCTCTCGGGCCACCCGTCGTCTAGTTTTTTTTGTCATCGCTGATGACCTTAAACTGCTGGGCTGTTGATCATTTTCATGGGGTAGCACCAAAATAGCATGAAATGAGGGGAAGCGTCCCAAAATTCGTCAACAGAGGTGAAATTAGATGAAATCCCAGGAAGTTCGGCACCAAGAGTGGTGATTTCACGGGTTTTTGAGCAGCCCTTTTGGACGGGCTTTAACAAACACAACACCAAA